TAGGAATTAATTTATTACAGTTTCACTATACAGTCCACTGATATAATTTGTTTATATCATATCTACATCAATAAAATCATAGTTTACTTGAAAGTGTTAGTTTGTATTATTACCAAAACATTGGCGCATCACGTGCCGCAACAATTATTAGTAGGTATGAAAATAAAGAACATAAGCTAAAGATCAACATATATATTTTATTTACTTAAATATGTCATATTTATGACGGAAACCTTATCTTAACCTACATTAATTTTGTATTTAAAATAACGGCATTATTGCCCAATTCCGATTGCTTATACAATTATTAACGTGGAACACATGGGTTATGGTTTAAACGCTTGAATCAATGCAAATGTGAATGTCAATATAACTTTTTTAACGATATTTTTCGTATATATTTCGTGCGTGGTTTCGCTGATATACTCACCATCATGTCCTCTTATGTAGTAATTAGTAGCCAAAATGGCGGAATCCGAAACTGTTAAGGATTTATTTCTAGGTTATAGCTAGCTAGAACTGTACCGCTCTGTTTTAGAATAAGTTCATGACCAATCCTGAGGGTTTTTAATTAACATGTAAATTCAGGTCTCCGAAAATGTCTAAAATTACATCTCTATCTGTGTTTTTTACTTCCCTTCATTACGAACAACGTGTATCTAATTACACCAATACTTATCTTTACACAAACGTTCTCTTCCTTCACTTAAAATTGTTGGTAAAAATAATTATGAAGCTCAATGGTGAAGGTCAATAACAATATACTATATGGAACCCTGATGACTCCGCTCAATTTTGTAAATGCCTCTGCAAACGCCACCTAGTTAATATACAGTATATAGATGTGTCATAATTAAAAGAATCCGGAACCGCTGTAAAGCAGTATATAAAATACAGGCTGAGAATCATGAAACAGTCTTGTTCCCATCCGTGGTTCAGGACTAAAAGTGGAGTTTAAATTTTGATTGTAAAATAGACACCTGAGTAATCATTATCAAGTAAATTGTTAAGGAACATGCTCAGGTTCATTGTTCATAAGCATGTGTAATATTTGATGTAATACTAAAATTTAAAGGCTTTACTTTCATTTTTTTTTATTTTATTGTTAAATTTAAAAGTGATTACTAGCATATGTAATCTTTGCTAGAACCAATATTTATAATTTATAATAGTATAGATTCCGTTGCACATTGCAACGTGCTTGCAATTATACAGGTCTTATAATAATAATGTTTCATTTTTGAAATCCGAATGGAATTAATAATAAATAAAAGTTTTTTCTCCCACTGGTAGCTACGGGCCAGTTCTAGTTACGATAATTATAAATCCCTGTGTTGTGAGGGAAACGCCACCGAGCGTCCTTACTCGATAATGGGGGCGAAAGGTGCCGAATTACCCACCCGGCCTTGGCGTGGGGATTTCTAAAGCGTCCGTCCGCGCGAACCACCATTTTGAGGGTGTCCGCGTCAAACACGTCCGGGCTAAACACGGAGCCTGCTTGCGAGTGCGCGTGCGTTGGTGGTTAATCCCTCAGAGTCTTTCGCCAACCTCACGGACTTTAGTAAGGGCCTTGGTATTATCAGTTTGTGATCATTGTCTTCCAGCATACGGAAATAGCATTACAAAAGGCGACCTAAATAAAATCCATGACTACAAAACGCATTACTTAAATTAATTTATAATTGCACGAGAAGAGATCACATAACATCCATACAGAAACGCTGCACACGTTATGCAAATTAAAGATAATTGTGTACACCTAACCTGCATCCTGAGGTTAACTGTAAGAAAGGACCATGAGGCCATGAGGTCCAAAGTTCGCCTCAATAAAGAAGCATTTTCATTTTCATTTCATATTTATTTCATCCTGATGCGAAAAGCTATAGAGCACGGCCAGCTTGAGTACCTGTGTGAGAAACTTCTCTCTTGCCGAGATGTCTCTGTCCGCAGCACGAGGCAGGACAAGTTGTTGCACTTTCCTATGCACAATGATTAGTTATTCTAATCATTGAAGTTTTTAGCTTTCGCACGTGACGTTTACATAGTAATACAAAAGTCCCTCTTTCAAAACATCACTTATATCAATTATTATAAAAGTATTATTTAATTTTTTATAAAAAATTGCAAGAACCAGAACATTATCAAACTAAACTATATTAGCTATAATTATTGTCTGCACGAGTAACAACATGACGTGAGCAACATTAACCCCATGTTGCCACAATAACATTGACTAGTGATAATTGGGGTAAAACTGAAATATAGCTGCCGGATTTATTGGAATGCCATACTCGTTTTAGACATTCATTTGCCAGTTTCAAGTTATACAGAAATAATACTAAATTAGGCTCCATATTTTGTTAGACTTCAGACTTTGTTTGTGTTTATAGTTAATTTTTAGTGCGTGTGCGTGAGTGTGAGTGTATTTGACTTTTAGCGAATTTCCCTATAGGGAAGTAGCTATTACCGTAGGTGGTACGGTAAGACCTAGACCCAGGACCAATTTACTTTTTCATTTTGATGTCCCCAGAGGCCAAAAACACCATTCATTCAAATTTTTATATATGTATATATATATATAGACTTATATATATATATATATATATATATACGTCCGTGAACGCGATAACTTGAGTAATTTTTGTCCGATTTTGATGAAATTTGGGTTAAAGGTGTAAAGCGAGATAAACTTGAATGAGTTCGCGAACCAGCACGATCGGACCATGGGAACGGGGCTTTACGGGGGGTTTTATGGGGTAAAAATTGGTTTTTCTCACTTTTGACCTTCAAAACACAAAATTTCCCGATTTCTCTTTAGACCTTTTTAAAGAGCTTAAAAAAACAAATAATTTAGTATATAAAAGTATTTTTGTTCGATTATTAGTAACGGAGAAAATTTAAAAAATTGTAAATTTAAAATTCCCATGTTATTCTTATGGAGAATATTGTCAAATGTTGTAGTTTGCTTGTTTATGGATATATTTTGATCAAACTTGGCAAATTTATTTATTTTGTACTAAGCTATCAATATTTTACTCAAAAACACACTTTTTTAGTTTCCTTGTAGCAGCAAACCTAGGTACTCGTTAAACCTATTATTAAAATATATCTAACTGAAAATCAATTCAGACAAATGGAAATTCGCTTAGTCGGCAGGTTTGCTGCGGCGGGGGTATTTAGTTTATTGATTGACAGACAGACTGACTCAATTAATTTATTTCACGAAGAAAAGTTATGTTGTGTTGCAGTTAATTAGACCTGAATGACATCTGTTTAACAAATCAACATTTTTTTATGTAAATAAATATGCACTCGTGTTACACATTATATTTTTCCTACAGTCACTATAAAGCATATAAATAATTAGTCTTTCAAACACTATACAACACGCTTTTAGGTTCAGCTGGCAACCCAAATAGGTGCCCTAGAGAAAGTAGAACCCGGTCCGTATCACTCCACTATTTTTCCCCGACAAGAAATGTGCTCCGCGACTTGAGAATATAGTTTTTGTAATTAGAAGTGGTTTACGTGCCTAAAAAAATGCTTTAAAGGTATTTTCTTGTTTATTAAGATCGTAGGAATGTTTAAGAACGTTTAAAAGAAAAGTCAAGAAAGTTCAGAAATACCGAAACTATAAACACGAAATGACAGGTTAAATCGTAGTTATAATAGTCAATCAGCTGCTCATAGTATTATTATCTTTAAGTGTTGCCAACCTATTTCCAAGCGTACACGGATTAAGTGCATAATAGAACCACGCTGTTTTGTGTTGTTTCGTTTGAATCCTGATGTGCGCCAAAGTATAAACCGTATGACAAAGTATAAACCGTACGACAAAGTATAAATATGCAGCAATAAGCAGCTTTCTGTACTATAAACAGTACAAGGAAGCCAACTTTGTCGGGTGACTGTAGGAAATAAATATTTGATCTAGCAATTCTATTTGAATTTAAGAAATAACCAATAGAATATTTAGGTTTTGTTAAAATTGTATATGATTTTAGTTAAAAATGCAATTAATCGTTTAATTTTTTTATTTATATTTTATATATTTATGTTCATATTTATTTACACGAATTATAAAATAATTATTCATATTTGCTCTTATTGGCTTATAAAATACTGGACTATTAAAATTAATTTTAATAAATAATTGAATAATAACAGTAATTAAATAGGAAAACATCTTAAGGAGTTAAGTAGCAATTCATAGCAAAACCCTTGTATTATTTTTTTTTTTTGTCACAATACCTCTTACTTCATTTCAGAAAGATTTCTGGAGAAAAAAAACTAGCAATTTTAAACATGCATAAACTTCGTTGTTGTAAAAATTCAAAACAAATTTCCAAAATTGATTACTAGAAGTGAAGTTGAAAAAACAATTATGACAATCAAAGCTGATGGATGTTGTTTAGCTTAATCCGTTGAGGTGAAATAAATAAATACTTCGTGTAAGTACATCTGTTATGGAACAAGAGTTTATAACATGTAAAGGAAATATTCATCGTTTCATTCCATCGAACTTGGAAAGTTCATTACACGTCCGCCAGTGACTCATCGTCATGATCATGAAGAGGAAACCTCAGAGCTGCACTGGGTATATAACACACGCTATTGACTGGCAGGTGGTTCGTTAGGCCTTATGTAACAGAGCCCATTGTTACTGGGCCGGCTTAAAATAAATTGGCGACCACAACTATATTTAAAAACCGTCGATTCGCCCGAGCCTCAATGAATGTAACATAACTTTTACAGCTCGGTTTCAAAACACATAGAAGACACTTGTAAGCTACATTTTAGATCGTAAACTAACGAATGGTAGAGTACGCGTCGTCCGATGATAAAATTACACCTGACTATAACATCTCGGTTTCTAACACATGGAAGACACTTGGCAGGTTTAGATTCACGAAAGGTTAAGTAGAGGAGCAGCGACATCCGCTCCAACGTAGAATGAACCATACTTAGCCTAACAACACGACACAACACACTCGACTTACACCAAAACACCGCCACGAAGTCTTTCTCGTTGAGAACTCGTTCGAGTTGCTTCGCGGTCACTTCCTCGATCACGGGTTCGGAATGCTTCTTCTCCTTGGCCGCCGGCGGTGCAGGTTCGGCAGCCTTCTTAGCGGCGAGGACGGGCACACAGTCGCACAGCAATAGCAGGAGTACTGTCCATAGACAGCACCTCGCTAGCACTCCCATCGTTACTCCCGCGACCCCGCGAGTGAAGCCGACGATCCACCGACCAGGAGGCGACTAAAAATAGGGCTCGTAGCGCGGCGACCGCTAGTAGAGCAGCGGACCGGTAGAGGCGCCCCTAGCTCGCTGATATGAAACTGTAGCCTTCAGTAGGCGGTTCTAACCACTGACCTTTCGCTACTATTCTCACTTGAAAACATTGTACGAAATCGAGTAGGTATGTAGCCACTTATCTGTCTCTAAGACCGCTAAAGCTTGTGTAGAGGATAAACATTAGTTTTGTAATATTTTAATTCGTACAATAATTCCAAGCAAATTCGTCTGAAACATGTGCAGTACACCTCATTATTAGCTTAACAGCACCAGATAATATACATTGAAAAATTCAAAGTGGTTGAAATATGTCTAAAGATATCTACATGTAATTAAATAAACTGTATATCTTATCTAAGAAATATGTAAAATATCCGTTAAGATATTCCTTAGATATTTAATACATATTAAAAGTTTCACTATAAATTTAAATGAAATCTTTTTTGACTTAGATAATAATATTCAATAAATCTTGAATGGATAAATAGTATATATTTGTGTAATGTTTCGATGCAATATCCTAAAAATATTGTACATATATTCAGTACTAATACTTTAATACTTTATTATTAAATGGCGACCATACAAAGTAGGTATTTTAAGCCAAGTATGAATGGAGATGAGTGTAGGATGAGTGGCGCGATCTTGTAGTCTTGTTAGTGACTAAGGCCGACATTCCTTAGACACAGCTGTTAATTAATAGCCCCTACTGCTAATGGCAACTAAGGGACCTACAGTTTATTGTGGAATCCGAACCACATTTTTGCCTTGGTATATTACGAATTGGTCTACTTATCAGGAAAGTACGGCGGATAGTCGTAGTACTCACTCGTGCTATCTATCTATATCTATACACTAGCTAGGTATCTACGAACATATATCCTGTAAATATCAATCCTACATTGACGAATGGAGATTGATCATTAAGACGATAAATGCTGATAAGTGCATTATTGTTTCATCAAGAATATTGGATGTTACAGTTAGCCTTATTAAAACGCAGGATCTAAATTCATCCAACAAATCAACAAACTCTAATCAAACTAAAAATTGTAGTTTTTATATGGTTATTTTGGTAGGATAAAAATTAGTGTATGTCGTCTCCGTTACCCTAATCCGTGCTACGCGTTAAAAAAATCAAATAATTTTTTATTCAGCCCAAAGTGGACAATAAACTGCATTAGCGATGTTTACAAGAATGACTTTACTTTTCCAAAGGGACTGTTTCATTAAAGTCAAACTCTTTTAGTCAGAAGGGAACAAATCTGCATTACACCAGGTAAATAGCATAAGTCTCACCCAATCAAAAAGGTGTAAAAAAACCCCCAAAAAAAACTGTTGAGCAGTTCCGTAACATTATAGGATCCTACCATTGTCTTTGAATGTATGATTAAACACTTTTTTATAATAATAATAACAAAATAACAATAATGCAAATATTTTCTTTTTAATTAAAATTCTTTTACTTATTTGAGAAAATGTATTAGTTTAACAAATAAGGGGAAATATCAATTAATCATATAACAATTATAATAACATTACTAATGGTAATTAATTAATCTATATGCAAATACCACCAGTACTCTCTCTAACTCACAGAAAAAATTCAACAACTTGATGCATAAGGAGAATCATAGTACCAAAAATATTTAAGTATTGGACCATTGCAGCTGTTGGCTCCTCTTTAACCACTTGAAAACTAGTATCATCAACAATCACAGATAAAAAAAAGTTGAAAGTATTTGGTTGGAGACCCCTGAGGGAAAAATTGTTCTAGTTTCTTTTTCCAAAATTTGTTTTTATGAACTATTTAATACAGATACTCGAATGATAGATGTGCTTTTCAGACTAAATCTTTATTATTTTGAGTTTTTGTTTCAGTATTTATCATAATATTATATTATTTTAGTGATCTGGCAGCAGATTTCCGTATGCCATTCAGTTTTAGAAGTTTGATTCTAATATCTGTTGAAAATTGAAATTAGTGACATTTAACCTTCTTCACAATATTTAACAAATATAAATATCTGGATATAGATATCTTAAATGCTTATAAGATATTCTATAGATACCTCTGTGCTGTTAGTGTAGGAACAAATAGGAAAGCACTGTTTTCCATAAAACATAGAACAGTATAGATTATAGGTGTGCCAAAAATTAACTAATAAAAAAACTCATTCATGGTTCATTTTAAACCTCTATTAAATTTCCATATTGCAGTAATGATAAAACTTATATATTTGTATTCAGTATCCTCTCATGTACACAGAAGTATTGGTATTGACCAGATTTACACAAATGCAGATTTTCAATACGAGAAATAAACTTAAGAATAACTTAAAACAATATAAATAAAGCAGTTGACAAAAATCTGTATCCGATAATTGATAATTATTAATAATTAAATAATGATAATTCAATTAGGCTTTACAGATCTGTTCCACGAGTTTTGAAATCCCTTTCTCAAGAGCTAAAGCAAATATTAAAATTTGAATGTTTAAACAATACTGATGATCTTTTAAAACCTAAACTAGAAACTTCATACTATTGTAAGTTTTGTTTTATTTTAGTTGTTTTTATTTTTATCCTTGACTATCAATCACATAGCCTATTTATATTAAAGTTGTTATATTCTGTATGACAATAGTAATTTAGTAGTTTTGAATAATTTACTATCCTGTGTTCATGAAACACATACTACTAGTCTATATTTAATTATTTTTGTCTATGATAAAACATACTCCCTTAAGATTTCTCATTTTCATGGAACAGTTGAAGGCAATTATAATGTTAGTTCTGTCCGGTACATGTAGAAGTCGTGTTTTGTTTAAATTTGTTTCTTTTTATTTCTTTAATTTAAAACCACACCATAGACTAACCAACCACAATAATTCGTCCCCTAGTTATTAACCAGTAAAGCCCAAGTTTGTACCCAAACAGTAAAGAACAAATCATTAAATTAACTTTCAAATAATAGAAACAAAATTGTGTCGTCACCATCAGACACAAAACGAGCTCCAAAAATTTACAATGGGATGAGAAGTCTTCATGTGTTGGTTAGTCTATGCCACAAGTCAGTGAAAATAGATCAGCTTTTAAACTGTTTTATGTTTACGCTAAGTTGTCAAGCGGACCAACACTGTTTATGTCTATTGTGACAATGTGAAAGGAACAAATAACACCACCGCAGGAAACCTGCAGTCCAAGCGAATTTTCATTTACCTAAATTTCTACTAAAATATTCCCTTAAAATTGTCAGATTTATTACCTACTAGGGCTTTCCCTGACTATCGTCGGTTTAAATGTAGGAAAAACATGCTTTTCACACAGATGTATTTTGTTAACGCAGCAACGCGCACCGGGCAACTGCTAGTAGTAAATAAATGTACCTACTCAATGCGTTTCATTGAATTGAAAAATAAATAACAGCAGTTAAATTATACAGTTGATCAAAATGTAAACAATGTTCTTAATAGGGATAACATGGGAACTTTCAAAGCCACTGGGGCAGAGCCCGAGGGACTTTTTAAAATCGGTTTAGAAAAGGCGGAGGAGTTCAACCAACAAAGTTTCATGTAGCGTATTAATTATATAGATTTAAATAAAATTAATTTTAATGAGTGCTTAGGTTTGCTGCTACAGGGAAGGTATTGGGGTGTTTTTTGTTGAAAGCTTAGAATGAAATAAAAAAAAAATTACAAATTAAAATAAATCCATAAACAAGCAAACTACAAGTTTGTTTATTCTCCATAACAATAACATGGGAATTTTTAATTCAAGATTTTTTAAAATTATCTCCGTAACCGTTAGGCATACAACGCTTCATTATACAATATTATTTATTTTTTTCTAGCTCTCAGCTCTACAAAATGGTTTGGAAAGAAATTGTGAAATTTTGTGTTTGTGTGTCAAAAATGAGAAAAACAAATTTTTACCCCATAAAACCCCCCATTCCCATAGTCCGATCATGCCTTTTCTCGTGAACATGACAAATGTATGGAAATAGTCATATGAAGACTAAGAGTAATAATTTTAAAATATAAACTTTTTTTAAATATAACGTTTTTAAACACACTAAAAAGTAAAGAATAATTTATAAATATGGGAAGAGAATAAATACTTGTAAGATTAAAAACGAAAAACTTTGGGCGCATGAAATAGCTTATTTTTAGTGCGTTTGAAAACGTGGTATTTTAAGGTTTTTTTTACTTATTTTCTACTTTTTGGTCTTAAATGTGTAACTATGTTTACCCCATGTATGCCTCAAATGGTACCATCTTTTATCAAATAGTAAGATTGTAGGTTTCATTCACTGTTATTACGGTACTAGTCCTGAAAATAGGTGTTTACCGGACGAGTGTGGTTGTTCCCGAGCGAGATGAAGTCGAGTATGGGATTACCATACGAGTCTGGTAAACACATTTTGGACGAGTGATGTACGATAGTTTGCGCCATACTACTATCTGTTCAAATCCTTATAAATTGCTAGAATTACTACCAACTAAATGACTAATAACCACTAGTCATAACCTCTAAGAGAGGTCATGTTTTTAGTTTTTGTTCATAACCACTCATCCGCCAAATACAGTACAGTATTATCAGCTGGTTGGTGTCCAGTAAAACTCGGTACACGTATTGAAACCCCATTTGATGTCCCAGAGCCAATCAATAACTTGTCTTTTATGGAAACAATAATTTGATGTCCTTGAGGTACCAACTTTGTTTAGCCTTAGAAGGGTTTGCTCTGAAAGATCAAAAAGTATACGTTTCCTACTAAAAGTGGTAGCACCCCATGTAACATTATCGTACACTGTTTTTAGGAATCAATGTTGTATTCTTCATAGCTAATATAACGATAATAAATTACTTAACTATTGTGATAATACATTCTGATTTTGCCCTTTATTTAATCGTCTCTATATTTTCCAGTGAAAGAGATTTATCCTTATATTTACTTTTATCTTAGATTAAAACTCAGTCTAACTAATGAGCGGGGGTGAAAAAAACAAGGTTATTAAAAAATGCAAATTGCTGCGTTTCTTATTTTACTTCATTTTTAAATACAATTACAAGGGCTTTCTAACAATACAAAAAATTCACTTAACTTTATCGGGAGGGATGAGGACTGGGATCGAGGGATAGGATAGTATCAAAATCGATTTGACTTTTTTCGGGGTCAACGCCTGGGCTTTCGTGTGTCTCGGCTCGTTTCCTTCTTCACAACCAAAAAGTCTTTCTTTCTGTAAACACAAACCTACGAGTCCAACTATCTGAGCACGGTTGGGTAAGCGGGGACGACCCTTGAGAGACTTGTTGGTCCGAGAGTGGGGTTCGTCCCCTATCCTCTTCACTGTATTGATACACGACAGGCAGGGCAGGGATACTCCATGTATCTTCACTGAGTCTCTATACCACCAACACAGTGTTCACATCACAACTTTTATTACCATTGTGCAATTCAATGAAACTTTAACATTCAAAGCCAATTTTCAACTATTACTCTTCACACTATCTAAATTTTACATTTGCACAGTGGTAATAAAACTTGTACATGAGATTTCCGTAGCGTTATGTCTCTTTTGCAAGGCCTGATGGGCAAGTATTCAAAACAAAACTAAATCAACACTTGAGAACACAAGGAACTGTGACACAATACTCCAGATTTGTCACATCGCATTCACTACTTGGATGCAAAAGGTTGAAAAAATGAAACCTAATCAGAAAACATAGCACTGCATAAATATTGAAATTACTAGATGAATGCTTTAGGTACTAATTGAAAAAAATAACTGTTTTACAAAGCCAAAAATGGCAATATGCCACCAGAAAACTGGTGAATTTAGTGTTAATTACACCAGTGAAGAATCCTTTACTGTCCGTAATTTAAAATTGTTAACAGTAGCAAATGTGTTAACAAAGAAATGCGAAAAAAAATTATTGATGAAATAATTTTTAAAAATCCCTTTCATAACCTCTTTACTTCCCATCAAGACCATAGTTCTGATAAAGGAGAACTTTATACAATATAATAATTAAGTCAATATTCAATCCATTGCTCCTGAATCTTAAATTATATACACAATGTGTATGGTACTGCTAGTAGCACTATATAGATAGATAACACATTTTACGAGAATGGTACTATAAATACAATACAACGTCTCAAATAGTGTAATACCTTTGACTATAAGAATTACAAACATTTCAGCATAGAAATTTCCCTCGTTAAAATAAGTATCTTTTTAAAGTGCTACAATGCTCATCAAATCAAACATTGTTGTTTTTTTTAATTTAGTCTTAACTCGACATTTTTATATGTAGGCTAATTTATGTTTTTTAAGGTTTAGTTACAATTTAGAAAGAACATGTGATGGTAGTAGTAAAAATAACCAGCACATATAAAGGGAACGTTTATTATTTGTAATTCTTATTCAAAATTGTTTCTTTTTATTCATTTTTTGTCTAAGTTAGGCGAGTTGAAGAATTATCAAACAAAAAAAACCCTGAAATACCAACTGGATGAATAACTAAACATTAAGAGCCATTAATACAGAAGTCTCAAAAGGTACCATATTTCATCAAATAGTAAGATTGTAGAATCATTGCTAAGCTATTGCTTCCATGTTTCCATCGATTTGAAAAGAAACATCGTATGCCTGAAGAACAACCAGAATCAATGGCTCAAACCAGGACAGATCACTTAAATGATAATATTATGACTGAGTACGGCCAAACTTGGTTACTTTTAAACATAATTCAACTTAAAGTCCTGTTAAATTTCAATAACTACTAAGAAGTAAAAAGGAAAAAACCAGCTCGTGTAGTAAATAATCTATATCTATTAAAGACAAACTGTATCAACTTTTTACAATAAACTGATTTCACAAAATCAGTAATAATTATTAAGCTTAATACCTATGCTAGGAAATGAAATGTAGATAGTTGAGTAGAAATATACCAAACAACTTTTGTAGTGCATTTGACACTACTTGGTATTTGTGTTTAATAATAACTCGTGTGTTCTTTTTGGGAGTTCTCTTTAACTTGCAAACACTAAATCCAAACAACTTGAAAAATAGCATTGTAAACATGAAACTGTTTAAAAATTAGTATTTCAGTGATGACAATTAAAATCATGACTTCATTTCAACAACGGTCCTGAATGGTAAGTAGCTTCAGTATCAATATTGAAGTCAGTAAACTGTGGTTTAAAATATAATTACAAAGTAATTTTTAAAGAAGTTAAAATATGCAGTAGAAATGAGTAGCTCCCAAAAAATTGCAAAGCCATTGGAGAACACATCTGTCTTATTGGCCAAACCTTGTAGCTTATATAATACAAAGTTATAATACATCATGTCACAAACACAAAACAAAGGTAGGTAGTAAAGTTTTAATTGTAATCTTCAAAAACTAAAGACAACCAGTAAAATCTGGAGCGAAATGTAACAAATGAAGACATTATCGAAAGGCTAAGCCTGCATCATTAGATGAAAAGTTTCATAAAGCTTAATCAAATAAGTATACAAAAAAAGCTAAGGAAGAGAAAACACCATGACAGTATTAGTAATGACAAAATCAATAAAAGTCTTGTAACAAACTCGGTGAAACTCGCACATCGTGAATAAGTGACATTGCCTGAAGAGGGATCGTAGCCAAACATAACAGTACGATGCAGTGAGTACCGGACCCCCTCTCGACTAATCACTTCACAGAAGCTATATTAGACCAAATTAAAAAGCCGCTTAAAACTCAATTAGTACAAAGCCGTCAAGAAAAAAACGCTACCGGTTCAAAACGATAACAAATATCAGTCGATAAGCCGATACTATCTCATAATAGGGTATTTACAAAGCTCGGTCGAGAGGGGGTCAAACGATGACAAAAGTCGGGATTCTTTTTCACGAGTAGTCCTGAAGCACTGATATCACCAGAAGCACTAGGTGACCACACGTCCTGGCGAGCGGGCCGGCCTCCGAGCCGTTTCTTATAAATAAATTCTTTACATATCTAATCAGTTTGTTGGAGGCCGTAGGCTCGCCAGAGCACTTGGCCACTCTCACATTACTGCAGACTGTCGTGCCAAATAACAAAAACAAAATTCAATATGAAACTAGGCTGAAGTTCCATTGACCATGGAGACCTCTTTGCTCTTGTCAGGCGCCCGCTTGGTTGGAACACTCCTGTTGGGACGGGGTCGTTGACCCTTGGGCCCCTCTGAGCCTGGCGCTGCTGGTGTCCCTTCCTTACTTGACTCTGCATTCTGCTCTTGTGTTGAACCACCAAATACTGCAACAACCAACAACTAAATTAGCATATATACTAGCTCTAATAAAAAACTAATTTGAATCACCTTAGAGACTTGTTTTTACATTTTTGTGTGGACATCATCACTGTCTCCTGCGGTCAGGGCAAAATCCTGAACAATCTCAATCGGGGGCAACATTATTGTCTTCTGCAATCCTGACAACATTCTGAACATATCCTGCAGCCCTGTAGACATCATCAACCATCACACAGTAAAATTCTGATTATCTCCCGCTGCTGTGTAGATATTATCATCGATCCTCCCAGTCACGGAAAAGTCATCTTCATCTTGACCAACTGTGGCTATATCATCATCATCTCCAACGGTCGAGTAGACATTATTGTAGTCTTCCGCGATCGATTTTCATCATAATTTTCCGATCAGGCAATCATCACAGACGTGTAGCGTATCAGTATCGACTTTTGACGATCGATTCTCGTTACCAATATTGTAGTATCCTTTATACATTCTATGATCAGCTGTTGTTATTAATTATAAAACAATGTAGATACCAATGTCCAAGATTTAATTAAATTGGTGTAAAGTCTAAATATAGCTTCAAGGTCGCACCCACCTCTTTCCCACCACCCTACTTAACTCACTGTGGCCCGAGCTCTTTTTGAGGTCATTTCCCAACTTCTCCCACCCTTATATTGTTTCGCCTCTCTATTGTTTCTATTCTGACTTACATTAAATCTATTTCTTACGTAACAGAACAGTATTCGATTTTTCTACTGTAAAACAGTACTTTAAAACCAAAAACACTACCGATCATGTGGTTCTGTGACAACTGCCAAGTCATTATGCCAGTTGCTTTCAGTCGACCTGTTCTGTTGTGACAAGTTTAAAAAATAGGTTAGGGCAACTACCTCTTGCTTATTTCTACAGTAATACAAATTAGCCAGAATTTTTTATGACAATACAAATTACAGTTTAACAAATATATATTTTTTTGAAATTTTAAATCAAACTGGACTTGCGATGTGTTCAAAGAAAAACTTGAGTTTCAAGGCCATACTCGGCTCTAACAGACAGATTTAATACATTTTCACGTCCATTAAAATTGCTAATAATGCTTTATACAAAGTTGAAAAACTACATTCACTAAGAATTTGTCCTCTAAGTGAAGCAAGAGTAATAATACGAAACTCAAAGAATACACAAAAACTGTCAATTGTGATAGTTACTTAACCGATTATGTGCCATTATCAAAAGTCAATTAGTCACACTAATATAATTAACAGTAACAAATCATCTTCATACGTGATCTATCAATCAATGCTTGTCAACGCTTACCATTGCCATTTCCGTTAGTAGTTGTGGTGACGTTTTCTGAGGTGGTAATAGGAGGTGATGTATTGTTGGTGGTGGGAGTAGGGGAGGGGTTGTGACTGCGGGTCTGTCTTCGTCTCCTCCTCATTGGTCGCTGGGCTCGCTTCCCCTCCACACTCGACACTGACTCTACAAGACACATAACCACCACGGCCCGTCATATTAGTGTGACCCAGCTCTCGGCGAAAATGCATGCTGTTACTTAAACCAGAAAAATCATTTACCCTTTCGAGGGAGATGTTAGTGAGGGAAAAAGTAGTGTCAATAACAAATTGTGTTTTAAAATATTTTATTCAAGTGTAACTTTCAATCGAAACCGTAACCAAGAAGAGCCTGCTGTGTGCCAACAACATAATGTTACTCCAAATGCAAACGGACTGTCGTTGCCTATCATGTTTTTGAAGAACTTTTGACAAGCTAGTTATGGTCACATGATCTGACTTGGTAGTGGTTATTTGTCCAAAGCAAGATAATCTAACATGCAAGTATATCATGCACATGCAGACAGTAAAAGCTCATTCCAAAAGACTCTTGCTCAAAAATAAAGGTATTTTTTATACATATAGAAAACCTCATTTGCAAGAAGATAATAAATAATGGGAAGAAAAGATAAACTTTTCAATTTTCTTGCTTAACTGACATGACTGTAGGTTTATGGACCAAAAGCTAAAAATTGGCGGTTACACAAGATAAACCCCCTAATCAAGGTTTTAGCTAAGAGTGAACAGTTCAAATTTTTAAAAGAAAGATGTTAAATTATATTTTTAGAATTCTTAGTCTTAAAAAAGGAGCAAGTGTAAATAGCTTATTCCCTAAATGGGAAATTCGCAAAAAAATAAAAAATAAAAAAAATAACAGTACCCTAATTTTATGGTTTGCTAAGAAGCCAAGAAAATAAAGAATAATCATCAGATAATCTAGGTAAAAAACGGCAAAACAAGTTATTTACACAAGTTCCCGAAAATAAAAAAAATGTATGATAAATTTTGGAAATTCTTACTTTTTTCCACCCATCTATATTCGTGGATAGGATTTGGTATTTACAGTGGGTTGGATTAAATGTCTTGAATCTTGATGTAGATATTTAAATAAACTTGCATTTATTAAAATCCAAGATCTTAACAGACAAAAGATGCAATTTATTACTAGGAAACTCAATGTAATAACTCAATGTAAAATTCAAGCAACGAGGCTTGACCGTTAATTTGATATTTCTATTTGTTTGCTTTGCAATATGAATTTATTTTGTTTGAGGGATGTGATTGATTGCAAATTAGAAACTGACTATCTGAATTCCAAATCACTTAATGAAAGAAATAAAAAAAACAACATTAAATTACATTAGTATTAGTAAGAAACCATCATATATCAGCCGTAAGATTACACCATTGGATTTCTTTAAGTAATTACTAATAAAGAAATTTGTCTGTTGTCTAACTGTTATTAAAGAAGGCAGAAACCTTTTACCGCGATCACAGAACATCGTCAACATGTCATACGCTCACGAGTCACGACACTATTGTCAAAATGTCCTGTGGTCACAGCGACATCATCTAAATGTCACACGGTAAACATAAACATATCTCCCAGTCACGGCACCATCGTCAAAATGTCTCGCGATCATGGCACCATCACCACTTGCGACATGGCGAAATTACCAACAATCAGAATAAATTCTGTCCTAATAAAAGCCTGAATAAATATAAAACAGTATATCTCATGATGATCAAGAATATAGTTTTCCTAAAAATTCCCTGAAATTTCAGGACTTGACCATTTACAAAGTTTATGATTAACCGAATGTGGTATGGTCCCAATTGATTTGTATAATTAAGAGTTCTACTACTCAAAAAGCCCACTGAATAGTATCATTGACTATTAGATAGTGAAGTGGACATCCCAATCTATATGGACCAGATGTCGCCAAGTTTTTCATTAAAAAAGAACATAGTTGTGCGAGCCAGTCACTGAATACACTAGTGTCTAAAACTGTATTTTCTACCCTATTTTTAGTTGCTGGGTCAAAACAGTTGCTATAGCTGACAATAAGTGAATCCATTAGTTTAACTTGGTAAAACAGTTGACAGAAATTAGTAATTTAGATCAGTACAATCTGTCAGAGACATCAACTACGATTTCGATTAAAAAACTGGCAAAAGCTTTAAACATGGGAATGGAATATCTAGTTGTATCAATAGTCAAAGGTAGTATTCAATTTGATTTACAATTCCCAAAGTCATTCCAAAGTAACTTAAACACTTTAGGGCTAATAATCTCTACCCTTTAAACTGAGCATAAGCAATTGTCTAAACATCACAAAATACTTTGGTTTAGATATTGACAACAACATTGATGAATGAGATAAGACTACCTTGGCACTGATGATGGTGTTTGAAGTTGTTTGATTTAGCCCTAAGACTCAAGAGTGACTTACCCCTATCTACGCTGTCGTGACTGTCCAGCAACGTATCTTCATCATCATTCATCCTCCGTCTGTCATCGGCAGGTCTACCTCGGGGCCTGGGATTAGGTCCTCCGCGCCTGACACAAGCAATTCGTGTTGAATCAGCATCTCAAATTCGCCCAGTTTAAAGATTCAAATTGAAGATTTGATCAGCTCAATTGGAGGATTCTTAGATTAAACATTCTATTACATCCATTCTTTGTCCACACACCTTTAATCTGAGCGTTTGTTTCAGGCAGTAAACTATGGAATCTCAAGGTTCAAGACACAAACTCCACAAATACAAGACTCAATCTGAACGTTTACTAAATGTACCTGAAAATAGTCTATAGAAAACACTATTCTGTTCTTATAAATTATATAGTACTTTAACAAAAAGGTATACCGACCTTCATTACAAGTTTTAGAAGTAAGATCATATTGTATATGTCAATGTGAGAGAAACAGCAACAACAACCTGGACTGCCAAAAACTGTAGTAGGGCTAATCTGTAGCTTTGTATACCATTAATTGACAATATGTATCAATATTGGTGTCATTACTAACATGACAATGTATTTGTAGACAAATGTGGCTAATATTTAGGTTATGTTTTTTAGACGAAATCAGAGTTTCAGTATGTTATCAATTGGAGCTTGTTGTACAAATCAATTTTGTTCCAACTATGTTTTTCGGTTATTGAACAAGTTTAAATAAAGGTGGAGGGCGTGAAGCTTATACAGGGTGCGGCAAAACCAATCCATTTTCTGCAGCCCACTGTTCAGCAACAGGTCGTATGAGAGTAGTGGGGTTAACCTCGTTGGAAAGCCTACACACTGCTACTATCTGTAGTCATAGAGCAGTGGTCACCTGAGCTGTGAGCGTTTGTTATTGAGTCGTATTTAAAAAGTAATGATTCAGTCATTGCAACTGAGCAGCAGTTCTATGCATTCGTTTAACTAGGGTAGCATGGAGAAGTTCTGTCGCGTAGCACAATCACGTGGTGGGTTACTAACTCTAGAACAGCTTCTGCGTCCAAAGTCAGATCGGACGCCGGACAACTAACAGAGTTTATCCTGCTGTGGATAACAGTCCTCACCTCGTAGGCCCGCCCGAAAACAAGTGTCTGCTTTGAACATGTCTGATCGTTGGTTACCACACAAATTTTAAAGTTCGATCTTAATTTTCATCCCTAAAGATTAATTTGTATTAATATGTTTAATTTGGTTGATTATCCATACAGATTACCCGACGGAACCTCTCCATGTAGAACTAATTGAAAGAATGCATGGAACTGCCACTGTGTTACAATGACTGAATCATTACTTTTTAAAACAAATCAATAATAAACGCACATTGATCAGGTGACCACTGTTCTATGACTACAGATAATGGCAGAGCGTAGGCTTTCCAACGAGCCTATCCCCACCACCCTCAGACGACCTATCCCTGGACAGTGTGCTGCAGAAAAAGATAGTATTTTTTGCCGCAACCTGTACAATCCATTTAGTTTGGTTTACAAAATTTAATAAATTTCAAAAAACTTTAAAATTCAGAGAAAAGAATAATCTGAAAAGTGTGAGTGTTTTACCTGTTAGGATAACCACCCTGGCCTCCTCTTGAAGGTTGATATCCACCTTGTTGTCTGGGAGGTAAGTCTCTCACTCTCTCATCTGTATCTGGCGTTTGATGCCTTGAACCTAACCAAGCATTCAACAATTAGTTAAGGGAAACTCATTAGGCTGATTAAGGAAAAGGGGTACAGTTCAGGTAGCCTACCTGAAAAATGAACACACAAAGGTTACAAAAAAATAACACTGATAATTTAACTTTGCCTCAGTGATTTACTCAATTATTCTTTTATTGAAGGAGCCTAGTATTGCAGAGATTTGCCTTGTCACCTGTCTGTTTGGGTACCTACTATAGATATTTTTCTTGTAAAGCATTTTGTCTACATGGAGCCCACTTAAGGAACACCAGATAGTCAACAAAATACTGTATTTTTCAAAAATTACTTTAGAATTACAGGTATTTCTATGCTTAAGTAGGTGACTGGGCTAAGTCCTGTGTATAAAACATTAAAACAATGTACTTAACTTGTGTTATTTAGCTACTCTTATTTGAAAAAATCTTCCAGTACAAAAATATTAAAAAAAAACACAGGGTGATGACTACGAATTAACATAATGAAAAATCTTTTCAGTGACCTTTTGACTTAACATATTACGTTACTGGTCCGGAAGAAAGGTGTTTGCTGAACGAGTGTGGTTGATATAGGGATTACCATACAGTAAAGTTAACACCTTACTTAAAAGCGACTTAAATATTTTGACGTACGTAACCTAACAATAAAAAACAGTAAAGAAAACTTTCAATATTATGTTCTACTAGTTGTTGTTAGTTGAACACGTCATTTTTTTGTGAAAGGCAAACTAAAACTATTTTAGATTATATAACTATTACGAATGTGAGCTAATGAACTTGGAATTATTTATATCAGCTGACTTCAGAGTGTTCCAAACAAACTATGTGTGTTACTCTTTACAACCTTCAACGTCAGTCAAGTTTTGTACCATAATAAACCTCACTTTTCAGAATCGGTATCGATACCACTAGTATCGAGAATCGGAATCGGCTCATCCCTAGTTATAACCACAAACTGCCATTAGGTTTTGTATAAATTTAATTTTGTTGATAATTTTATGTTTATGAAATATATCAATGAGGTGTTCCACAACTAAAAATAATCAGCCTTAATGTCTAGGTGCTGTCTGACAAAAGTCCCTGTGAGTTATTTAAGTAGGCAGCAAACGGCTGTTCCCGGGACCAAATCTATAAGTGGAAAGTGAATGGAAACAGAATAGTGTCGCAAAAAGAAATTTGTGACAAAAGTTTTTTTAAATTTTCCTAGGCTATTTCAATTGTTTTATTTTAATACAAAAATTAAATCTGTTTTGTGGATGCACTCAATGAAAAAACAGGATCTTTTCACCATCTTCCTCTTCCATGATCATGGATACCTCTAGTAAAATCCATCATTTTTCAATCATATCGTCAAACATTTATAAGACAACCGATACGTATTATAAGGAACAGGAATATGATCGATTAATTTGCAGATGGCAAAACACAGTAGCCTAGTAGCCAACGATGTCAGCTACGAGGTTAGAGCTGCACTTCACAGTCTTCAGCATAGATTAAACATACTCCTCAGGAAGGAATGTCTCATTTTCCATAATCTCATTTGTTATAATTCTCTTTACTTGAAATAACCGTGTATTGAGTTGATATACACTTTTTGCAACAATACTTGAAATAAATACCCCCACCACAGCAAACCTGTCGACTGAGCGAATTTTCATTTGTCTAAATTGATTTTCAATCAAATCTTCAAATCTTTTTAAATAACATTAGGTTTAACGAGTACCTAAGTTTGCTGCTACAAGGAAACCAACAAAGCGTATTTTTTAGTAAAATATTAATAGCTTAGTATAAAATAAATAAATTTGCCAAGTTTTACTAAAATATATCCATAAACAAGCAAACAACAACAACATTTTGCAATACAGTAGACTCTCAGTAATCCGGCAGATATAGGACCGCCATACTGCCGTATTAGTGAAAATGCCGGATTACTGGAATGTTATCATTAAAAACACTTAAAATGCAATTAAAACACGTCTCCGAAGTTCGCGTGATCGGAAACCGCTATTGCCACGATCGGGCATGACAATTACGTTTTCGCGGGAGGCGATGATAACGACTACTTGTCCGCAGGAGATAATCGTAAAATTGCCGCCATCGCGCATGACGACGATGACGTTTTCGTGACCGCGGAAGATGTTCATGATTTTGCCGCGATCGCGCAAGTCGACGATGACATTTCTGGGACTGCGGGAGTAGACAATGATGTTTACACGGCCGCGGGAGATGATAAAATTTTTGCTGCGGCCGTGGAAGGCAACAATAATGTCTACATGACCGCGGGAGATGTTCATGATTTTGCTGCGATCGTGCTTAACGACGATGATGTTTCCGTGACAGCGGGAGGCGATGATAACGTCTATACATCCACGGGAGATGTTCGTGATTTTGCTGCGATCGTGCTTGACGACGATGACTTTTCCATGACCGCGGGAGGCGATGATAACGTCTATACGTCCGCTGGCGATGTTCGTGATTTTGCCGCGATCGTGCTTGACGATGACGTTTCCGTGACCGCGGGAGGCGAGGGCGATGATAACGTCTGCTGGCGATGTTCATGAATTTACCGCGATTGCGCATGACGACGATGACTTTTCCGTGACCGCGGGAGATGTTAATGATTTTGCCGCGATCGCTCAAGACGACGACGTTTTCATGACCACGTGAGAGAATTATGATGTCTACATGGCTGCGGGAGATAATCAGAATTTTGCCGCGATCGCGGAAGACCTCCCATCAAATGACGCCGGATTACTGGAGTGCCGGAGTGGTGCAGTGCCGGATTAGAGAGGGTCTACTGTAGTCCCTATAAGAAATAACACAGGAATTTTAAATTTACAATTTTTTGAATTTTCTTTGTTACTAATAAACGTACAAAAACACTTTGATATACCTACAAAATTATTTGTTTTTAAGCTCTTTAAAAAGGTCCAAAGAGAAATTTTGTGTTTTGAAGGTCAAAAATAAGAAAAACAATTATTCACCCCATAAAACTCTCCGTAAAATCCCGTTCCCATAGTCCGATCATACTGGTTCGCCAACTCAAACCAAATTTAATTAAAATCGGACTCAAGTTATCACCTTCACGGACGTATATGTAAGGTACTATAATTGTTGTTAGAAAACCATGGATGTAGGGTACTAGAATTCCCAAGCACTTGGAAATCTCACCCTCTGTTACTCTAGCTATCAAGATCCTAACATACCTAAAAACCAAAAAAATATAACACCACAAATAATAGATTTAAATATGTTATATTTTATATATATATATTAAATTAAATAATGTTTAGACAAATCTGAGTAACAAAAATCGGGATAAACAAATCAGAGGTCGAATCAGAGAAACAAAGTAGGTTGAAAAGTCAAAGATCATATCAGGGAAACAAATAGAGTAGGAGTAAAAAAAAAAATCATTCAGTCAATAACGCTTGAAAAAATCAGGTAGGGAAAACTAGTTGGCTTTGACAGCTTGTGATCTTCTGTTGGGAGCAGAGGATTGGCGAGGAGGCAAAGGTGGGTAGTTGTAGGGAGTTTCCTGTTTTGTATTACCAGAGTTGAACCGTGAGTCGTTGTGTCGACCACCACCTCCTCTTCCACCCCTCCCTCTGCCACGCATCATCCCTCCTCGTCCTCTACCTCCACCCATCTCCATGTCCGAGTTGTAGCCTCTGCAACACACAAACATTCTAAATCCACTGGCCTACCTTAAGCCTGCTGATGAAAACAGTGCATGATTGCTTATTGTATGTCTACTTGACTTGCTATTTTCATCAGTTATGTAAGCCTGATACCAACTGTTTATTGTTTTCGAGAATGAAGGCTTGTTTCTAATACTAAAATACTTTGATTCTTAATAATTCTGGAGTTTATCCTGATTGCAAATGATTACGTTAACGTAAATAATTACCTAACACTAATCAATAATAAAATTAATCAGAGTGGTTTATATATTGATAAAGAACAATTTTAAAAGGTTTATGTATTGTTAATTTATATAAAGACATAACATATATTTTTTTCAATTAATTTGTAAAAGTAAAAATGTTGGAAATCCAAGCATAGCCTATAGGACATTTTCAGGATGGCAATCTTGTGATATCATCATGATTGCATTAGACGGCTGCAAGGTTTGTGTAGTTATTAGTTTAATAACTATTAATTTTTAAGTACAGTAGATGATCACGGTTAGGTTGCTATTGGGGGAGATTATGGAATCAATATCAAATTCAGGAAAATTAAAAATTCTTCAATGACACTAATATACGGAAGTATTTTTTTTTCATTAATTGTGTTTTTTAGGCTATATAAGTTAGAAGGTGGTAAAAACTTTATGGCAGCAAGTTTTTTAGCATTGTTTTTGTCATAATTTCCACTCACCTATCATTACGCCTTTGGATTGGAAAGCTTTGCATAGAGCCCATATTTACACCATGTATATTCCTTAATTGTGCATCAATTTCTAACTTGTCTTGCCTAAGCTGCTCTACTTCCTGAAACAAAATTATGTCAGTTAAAAACAAAAATAATTAACAGCAAATATTGTATTAATGGGTTGGATTACAGACATTTTTTAGTATAATTTTGTGTTGGCAGGACATTAGCACGCCAGTTGTCTGAGTCAAACCTGACTGTCCGACATCTTGAAAAGTTCAAATGTAGATTGTGTTGTGCAATATCATCTGCAGAGAGAACACCTGAAGCTAAAAAAAGGCGCTGTAGCGGTTTTATTTGAACTAAATAGTTTCAAAGTTGGCTACTAAAGTCGTTGCCGTGATTACAAAACTAATACTGTAGCTATAAAATAAATAAATGTTAAAATAAAATTCATTCTATCCCTGTCAGGTGTTGGTATTGGAATCGACTTTTGGCAATCTATTTTTTATATCGATAATAATGTCCAAGTATCGGTGGTATCGGTAAATTACACATATCTATCTAAAACTCATTTTAGAAATTCTAACTCATTTTCCATGTATTGCCACTAATTACATTTAAATTTTGTTATTTATATCCAATATCGTATCCAAGATGGCAGCCAAAAAAGCATTCCCTATCGAAATGAAGTACAAACCACCCAATAAATACCGTTGGCGGTCAAAAGTTGACATCTCAAAATATTTGCATACAAATCGCATGCGGTATCTTTTTTTTTTTAAATTTCCAATATTGGGAAAAGCCACCATTTTAATCTTGATTATAGGGGGGTTCCCATTGCCGGATTTTGGTAGAGATCTTCCTTAATACGTACTGATACAAATTAAGCTTTAATTGGCTATGAAGAAATTTTTCCCTGGTTAGGTTGATTTTTTTCTTCTTTTACCTGGACTACTACTCATAAACTATAAGAGAGGTTATGTATTGTTTAAAACCACTCATTGCGAAATATAATCAGCTGGTTGGTGTCCGGTAAAACTCATCACAGTACAGTAATAAGTAATAAAACCACAATATTTGATTAAGTTGGCAGCAAACAGCTGTTTTCTGGACTAAATCCTTGCGTTTCAAGTTCGTTAACCCTAGGACTGCCTTTTGCTTGCCGTTTCCCGGCGGTTTGGACATTTTGTTTCAAACGCTTACTAAGCAATGAAAATGATTCAGAAGCGTAATAATTTTGATACCGTTAGAAAGAGGAGATTCTGAACTTTTATTTTCATATATTAACGAACCTCGAAGCGCTAACAGATCCAATATAACTGCTATTATATATTGAACAAGATTTTGCGTGCTTAACTTTTTCGAGTCACGATCTTGTAAAACATGTTATCTTGACAAAAATCTACAAGTCTTAATTTTTGCCTAAACAGGAAGTGGTTGGTTAGTACCATTGGAAAGAGCTTGAGTTTTTCTTTTTGTATATAGAACTTTGTCATACGACGTTAGGATGCCTGAAAAATATATTTTTTTTTATAATCTGTTTTGTCAAATAAATATGTTGATAGTTGACATAGTGATTAGAGTCATACCTATTTGAAGCTTAAGAAAACGTTCTATCTCTATGTTTTAGTGCCTTTCAGTATTGAGATTCAGGTGACACATTATTTGTAACTGGAAAAACATGTTGTTTGCGTTCTGCTCGCCGGAATCAAGGTAAGGTTTTCAGTACGGGAATACATTATTATATGTGTTAATTTTCATCAGAGGTTAGTGTTTTAGTGTAAAAGAAGTGTATTGTCAGGAGGTGTTTTATTTATGCATATTACACTGGGTAAGTATTATTATTTATGTCCAAATTTGTGTTATTGAAATAGTGATTGTTTAGAGGTTATGCCTATAGCCTAGGCCTAAATCCTAGCCTAGCCTACAATCAGAATGTACGTCTCACGCCACAATAATGCTTCTGGAACCTTTATTTGTTAATATTTCTGTACATTTTCTTATTCAGAAATATATTTCCTCTAATACATGTACAATTTATCATAGTAAAGTAAAATAAAAAATTAGATCTAACTTTGAATAACTAATTTTTGTTTTCGGCAACTAAAATTTTGTTTTTCAATTCATATTAAGTCATGATTGTCTGTAAAAAGTTTGGTGTAAAAATGCTAGAACTCTGCTTTTGTAAATGTTGCAAAAAAAGCACCAACAGGGATTCCTGATATTTTATTTTATTCTAAACCTCCTTTCTTTTCTGAACAAAACAAGTATGAATATAACTAGGTTATCAACAGTACTTTAGGCACTGCAAATTGTTAAAAAACCTCTGCAAAATGGCCAAAATTGCCAGGGCACCGAGCACTTGAGCATTAATCAGGTATGAGGTCAGGGCAGTCCTAGGGTTAAGACAGTGTAGTGTGGCGTTAAATATATATTGACACAACTACCTATAGCAATTAAGACTATTCAATATATTATGTGCTATGCAATTCAGGTTAGTTTTCAAAAGCATGTAAGTCAACAAATTTGACTTACTTTTAAATGTGCTAGATGATATTCCAAAAGTACTTTGGCGTTGCTAATAGCCTCGACAGTGCCAACAAAAACAAAAGGGACCTGACCCTCTTCCCGGGGGATGGTGGGTTGGGGCTCGTTGTCTCCTTCTATCTTAACACGCACCTGCAAACACAGAAATCATTTTTGATGGTCAAAAAGGAACACCTCTATCAATTATGCTAGGGAGAACAGGCTTGGCTTGTAAAAAAAGGCTTTGAACTTAAGTATCTACATTTTACTTTTAATAGCAACCAACCATCTAATCAAACAAAGTTTGAAAAATGAAGTTGCTGTTGACTCAGCCTCCAAGACACCAGCAAATCTTCAATATGAATTACGTGGCAGAGGTTTTTTCAAAATGTAAAATCAAATTTTTTTATTGTGTGCATTTTATAAAGTTTACAAAAACGTGTATTTTAAACACCAGTTCTTAAGTAAAGCACATTAGCTATTGTTTTGAAGTCAAAAACGATGCTTTATTCCAAAACTGGTGAATAAAAGGCAGATTTAAGTAACCTAAGTCTGTTCTCCCTACAAACTCAAGCACCCATGTTAAATACCACTCCCCGTATGTTAGGACTAGGGAACAGGTAGGGAGAGTCAACGAGCTTACCATCAATCGTCCTGAATACCTGAGATCTAGACTGGTAGGCAAGTACTTTCCTTGGTTATCAGCAACATGTCCACTTGATACGTGTTGACTCTCCCTACCACTTTACCACAATCTTTTACTCTGAAATAGAAAACGGCCAATTAATGTCAAATTGTTTATTTGGAATTTTGATAATATGGTAGCCTAATGGTAAATAACGTAGAAAACTAAACAGTCCAACGAGTTAAGTAGTTAAGTTTATTTAATTCTTCATTTCAGTTTTCTTTATCAAACTGAAATACCTGATCTGGTTTTTCAGGTGGAAGTAATTCAAACACAATTCACACAGTTAACTTGAAACTCAGCTTCGTGAAGTAGGCCTAACATAACAACCCCTCAAGAGCACTTTTATAATGAATTACCTATATTACTTAAGAACAAGTAATTCAGTATAACAGAATAGTGCAATGAATTTAAGACTCATATAAAAATATCTTTATTTTACTGAAAATAGCTAAGATTCATGAAAAATATTGAGGTTTCAAGATGCAGTATCACCTATCAAAGAACAATTAATTATATTTCATTATTATACTATAATAAGAATCTATATATTAATAGATAAGCATGTTTCTTTAAGACCTTTATCTTTTCATTCATTTTTCACTTTTTCATTTTATTCATTCATTTATATCTCAGCTTGTGTGCATCGCAGGGAAAATGTACGCATACTGTTGAAAGATATTTTCCTGTAGATGTGCAGAATCCTTTTATAAATTAAAATAGGCTCAAAAATAAGCACAAAAGTTATTTTAAAATATACAAAAATTAACATGGGTCTTATGGGTTGTCATGCTGGTGACGAAATTACATTGAAATATCAACAGAAAATCAAAACAAATGTAGATCCACAAATGTTTAATCACATGTTTTATTCACAGCGTGGGATGAAAATAGAGAAGTCTGTACATTACATATTTTTGGTAGAGTTTTCGACCTCTGGACGACCTCTAGTTATAATAATTACAATTACAGTTTTATATATTTTAGTTTCATTAACTACCAACAAATTATCTAATCGAAATTAACTATAAGGCCAACTTATTGAATTATTATGTACCCTTATACCAGCTATATCATTAGTAGTAATTGCAATTACCTTAATTCAAAATTGTATAGGCCTACTTAATCGACAAATTTAATAAACCACTAATTACTATAAAAGCAATTGGTCACCAATGAGGCCTTACTGAACCTATGAATACTCAGATTTCATAAAAAATGAATTAGAGTCTTATAAAAAAGACAGAGGATTTAGAAAAAAATTAGGGTTGACTAATCGAAGTAGACAACCGAATAATTATACCACTTAAGCACAAATCCTAATTACATCAACAGACGTTATCCACTCTTGAACTGTCTACGATATTGCCATGACCGCGAAATATGTCAAAGAAGGTGCAGTGACCAAGACACATGTTGAAAACAGTGCAGTGATGCCTTAAAAATCAATATTTTTAGTTAACTGGTGGCGCAACTAGTGGCGACAACAGTGGCCGATGTGTAGTGGCATGGACTCAAATAGTGCCAATTCCCTGTGGGGTACTACCGAAAAAGTGGTCCGTTAAGTTGCCAGGTGAGTGTATCTGCCTGACAACCGGTGTCGCCACCGTTTTAGTGGCCAGGCAGTCGAGTGGCATTGTAATATACGGTGCCAATTAGCCATGGGCAAACGGTATCACCACTGACTGCACACGTATATGCTAAAAACCTAAACAAACTAACACCCGTAATTTGAGTTGTGTGACGTGTTATTCTTCTACACTTTTATGTTGTTATTATTTATTATTTTGCAAACCAGTATCTATTAACCGTTTACAGGGTGTCCACCAGGCCAACCATAAAAAATTCAGGCGTAAATCATGATAAAAAAAGAAAATTCCAGGTACTTCAGTTCGTACTTTTCATATACTTTTCATACTAAAATTTCCAACGTGTTTTGCACATTCTTAATACTGATCATTTTAATTTTACCAAATTTTCTGTAAGGATTACTACACCACCAACCTCTGTTTTTAGCGAATTTCCCTATAGGGAAGTAGCTATTACCGTAGGTGGCACGGTAAGACCTAGACCCGGGACCGATTTACTTTTTCATTTTGATGTCCCCAGAGGCCAAAAACACCATTTGTTCAAATTTTTATATATGTATATATATATAGACTTGTGTATATATATATATATATACGTCCGTGAACGCGATAACTTGAGTAATTTTTGTCCGATTTTGATTAAATTTGGTTTAAAGGTGTAAAGCAGGATAAACTTGAATGAGTTCGCGAACCAGCACGATCGGACCATGGGAACGGGGCTTTACGGAGGGTTTTATGGGGTAAAAATTGGGTTTTCTCACTTTTGACCCTCAAAACACAAAATTTCCCGATTTCTCTTAAGACCTTTTTAAAGAGCTTAAAAAAACAAATGATTTAGTATGTAAAAGTATTTTTGTTCGATTATTAGTAACGAAGAAAATTTAAAAAATTGTAAATTTAAAATTCCCAAGGTTATTCTTATGGAGAATATTGTCAAATGTTGTAGTTTGCTTGTTTATGGATATATTTTGATCAAACTTGGCAAATTTATTTATAACTAAGCTATCAATATTTTACTCAAAAACGCACTTTATTAGTTTCCTTGTAGCAGCAAACCTAGGTACTCGTTAAACCTAATGTTATTAAAATATATTTAACTGAAAATCAATTCAGACAAATGGAAATTCGCTTAGTCGGCAGGTTTGCTGCGGCGGGGGTATTTTGTACTTCCATATAGTAACTAATGTAATTTTGGAGTTATAGGTTGTTTTTCAAGTGACCTGCAGATATAAATAATTCAGAAACTACAAACATTTCACGTAGCCAATTTAAGTTCTAAACCCTTCTAAACACATGAAATAAATACCACGTTGAAGGTAAATGAAGATATTAAAAAATAGATTAAAATAAAACTTTCTAGAAGTGTGCCTTTTTGAAATTTTTGGTCAAGCCAAACTCGAATTTAAATATTGTGATCATCTAACACTGTCGTAGAGACACCAACATAATTTTCTGCGATAACAGAAAAATCCTGAATATCTTACTCAGTAACAGAAACATCACCACTGTCTTCCGTGGTTGTGACAAAGTTCAGCGGTAACGGAAACATTATGATCCTCTCCCGCGATCACAATAAAGTTATCATCATCTTCCTTGATCGTAGCTTAATTCAAATAATTTCCCCGGGTCATCATCATCAAGCAATATTTTATAGACATCATCATCGTTTCCCACGGTCACGGAAACGTCATCGTTGTCTCCCGTGGTCACGGAAACGCCAACGTCGTCATGCGCGATCGCAGCAAAAATCACTAAAAAATCTCTAGGCCATTTGGAGTTTAGACATCATCATCGTCTCCCGCGGTTACGAAAATGTCATCGTCGTCACCCGCGGTCACAGAAATGTCATCGTCGTTTCCTGCGGTCATGGAAACGTCATCTTCATGCACTCTCGCGGCAAATTGAAATTTCCCAGTAAAATACGAAATTCACACATATTCCATGTTTTTTCCCGGTTCAAAAACCCTTGTCGGTGAGTCGGCTAAAACAATTAAAGCAATATTTACATGCAAAGAATTAATAAAATAATAACGCCTTCGCAAGGGAACAACAACGCGCTCCTGTATTGCTGGTATTGCATGGACTTTCTGCAGGCGTTTTTCGTACATGGATACTGACTCCCCTCATGAATCAAATTGTTTTTTGACCACCGCTGAATCGAATCGCACACCCGATGCATCGTACACCCCAAATTGCATCATTAACCATTATGTGCTCCGAACCAACTACCTAACTAGGTACTAGTATAAATTGAAAGTAATTATAGGCTGTGATGAACCGGATTAGAACCGAATAAAATGCTGTACCAAACCGATGGCAGTAATCAGGCCAGAACTGTACCATACTGACCTTTTCGGTGCACCCCAAACCCCTAGTTAATACATATTTTTATTTACTTACTGTAAGAATTCTCTGTAATATATGTGTAGCTTCCTTCTTATAAAAAGGGGAATTCTTTGAATTTCAGAAAACATTAGTTGTTTGATCACTTTGCCATTTTGGCAGGCTCCAAATACACAATCTCAAAGTTATTAGTCCAATAAATCTCCCATGAAAGATGAAAGATGAATATGAAAACAAAAACTTTAGTTCCAGTTTCAGGTTTTATATCTGTATTTTATGGGAATTTTGGAATAAAAATCAATTTAATGAAATAGATGTTGAGAAAACTAAATTGGAATCCTTGAATCCCCAAAAAAATGTGGATTTCCGTTGTTAAACCCTGTTATGAGGTCTACCTATGTATTTTTATCAGAGTCTTTACTTACCACACCACTTTTGTCCACTATTTCTTGAATAATCCTTCCATTCTTGCCTATTACTTTGCCAACGAGGTTGCGAGGTACTTGCAAAGATTCTTCACTGTATTCAAGCATAGTCCTTGCTTTCTTGACTGCTTCACTTGTCTAAAAATAAATTAAATAATAACATAGATAAAACATACTCCCTTAGTAGATTTCTCATCCTTATGGAACAGCTGAAGACAATTTTATTGTTAGTTCATGTACGGTTTATGTAGAGGTCGTGTTTTGTTTACAATTTGTTTCCCGTTATTACAGCCATTTAAAACCTCGTTTAACCAAATAATACGATCTAATCATAAACAATAACTTGTCCCCTAGTTATATAACCAAACAGTAAAGCACAAATCAAGAAATTAACCCTAAAATAATGGAAACAAAGTTTCATCGACACTAGCGCCTTTTTGTCACGTACATGAACTACACACGAAAAACGTGCTTCAAAATTTACAATGGGATGAGAAGTCTACTTGTGTTGGTTAGTCTATGATAATAACAATCAACAATAATTAATTAATTAATTGTATTTGTTGGCAAATCATTAATTAGCATACGCCCTGATATGGTCAAAAAGTCGTTTGTTTGTCTAAAATACTTGGTTCCCAGTTAATTCACAACTTGTATCTAAAATCTTTCCTTGTATACAAACTGATTATTTACTGTGTATAGTATGATATGAATAAAAACCAAATTTGTAAACCAGCTGGTAAAACCAGTTTTGAGTGAATTTCCTATATGGGAGAATATGTTATTGCTATAGGTCTCATGGTAACGCTTAGACCTGGACGGATTTACTTTAGTGTTTTGATACCCTCAGAGGCCAAAAACATGTGTCTATTAACACAATAACTCGTGTAAAAAAAAAATCAACATCAAATTTTGTACAATTGTTTACATCTATTTTTGTATTTAACCTAGTTTGCGAACCAGCAGAATTGGACTGTGAAAACGGGGTTTTATGTAGTAAAAATGGATTTTCCCCATTTTTGAACAAAAAATAAAATAAAATATCCAATTTCATTCTAAATTATTAGAAAACAAATAATTTAGTAGGCCTATATGAAAGAAAATTGTTGGACGCCTAATGGTTGTTACGGGGAAAATAACCATTACCAAAATCTTGAACAATTCCCCTGTTTCCTAACGAGAATAAATAAACAGTTGTTTAGGAATATATTTGGGTACAATTTGTTTATTAATTCATACAACTACTATCGTTTTAATAAAAAATACTTTACCACCATCTTTTTAGCAACAAACCTAATTACTCATTAATTTCATTATAATTAAGCCTAATGTTATTTAAATAGAAAATAAATCTGGCAATTAACAGGTAAATGGAAATTTGCTTCATTTGCAGGTTTGCAGTGGTAGGCGTCGTATTTATGTCTTAACTAACATATTAAGTGTACCTCTATTTAAACAAAAAAATCCAGTACTTTATAAACAAGTATTCACCTCTCCATAGATTTTAAACGTGCAGGAGTTCTCCTCAAGTTCGATGTTGGTGATGCCATCGACCTTACGAGCTTGTTGAATGTTGGCACCATGAGCTCCGATGGCCAAACCCATCAGGTCGTCCCTCACATGGAACTCATCTGAGTAGCTGAAACATCAAGCCAATGGTAGTGTTAAAATCTTTAGTGGAGAATAGACTGACTTACTGTAGATAATGACTAGAGAATATTACTAATAAATTATGGAAGTCAACTATTAATAGAATTGTAATTGCATAATTACCCTAGTAATAATAAATTATGGGAGTCGTAAACAAATAAAATATTTCTTTATTCATAATCATAATATGTGCAATGGATCGTGTCAGATCTTTATTCTAAGTAATAAAAATAAGAACATTAAAATTAGCCTAGTTACCTTTACAGTGTACCTAATTCTTACCAACGCCATTTCATTAAAAAAAAACATCTGACAAACCTTTAATATCTAACCAATTAGGCCTACCAAAAAGCGGCAAAGTTATTGCACAACATAAATCTAAACAGACTTTTTATGTCAAAGCCAGCGGAAGGCCCGAGAGACCTGGTCAGGTCAGAGATTTGTTTGGGCCAAAAAAAGAATAATAATTTATTTTCAAAGAAACATTCTTATATTATATCTATTATTGCAGAGGAATAAAAATGTTCAAATGAGAATTAAATATTAAGTTTGCTCACGACCTTTAAGAATAAAGACAAAACAGAGCAATTGCCGCACTGCCAAAGCCAGTCATCTACTGACAAAAGCCGTGACACAACAGTCCAAAAAAAAAACAAACGTCAAAAGAAAGACTATTATCTAGAGGTACTAGTTCAATTATTTAGTGTTTATTCCATACCTAATTAAAAATATATTTTAGTAGGTATTTTACATAATAAATTACAAACAAAAGAAATATCTGATATAGTGTACAGATATGTATCTTGTTCTTTTATTTTCCTATTGTCCTTTTTGTCATTCCAATACTTCTGATCATCTGGTTCGGCATCAGCAAGTAAGTCAACAAAGAGGATGGGACTAAATGTTTTATAATTTTTTGAAAGTTTTATCAGTAAAATGACTTTTTTCTAGATGGGGTTTCAAAGATATTTCTAAGATCCAATAAAATATTTACAAGACACAAACTACGATGGATTAATTTCTTTGAAAATAATCTGTAACAGTTTTGTTTTTGAATTAAAAAATATATCTTTTTGTCTCTGCTTCCTTGTTTTGTTACTTGCATTTTGTCAGCAATTGGACCAACAGGGTGGTGTTGAGACAGGGGGGAGGTATATGACCTTGAGTTTCCTGGGCCTGGCTCGTGAGAGTGACTCATGGATTGAGTTTAAATGGATTTTTAATTTTTTACAATTATTATTCATTAGCTATCAAAATGAGTTGTTTTTAGATTTTAATCTCTTGCAGTAGGTATAAACGACATGATATGCAAGACTGTATTTTGTTTCAAAAATAAAACAATTAAGACGCCTAATTTAAAATTAGGGAATACTACAATTTTGGTTGGAAACTGGACCCATAGTGACTAAAAACTAGTAAAACCAAAAACCGACCCATCCCTAATGATAAATAACCGTAGTAACTCGTTGAATGGGTGAAGGAGAAACAAAAAAATGAAAACAAGAATAATGAGAAAAAAAACACAGATTTATGATGGGCTAACTGTGGTTTTCCTCATCCATGGTCTCCCCTCCTCCAATGGCCCTCCAATAATCAAAAAGGTTACTGTATTTAAATTATTTCGGCTAATCTGAACAGTGTTTGGTCCCATTTTGTTTGAAATTAGAGTAATTATTTGATCAGACAAAACGTATAAGGTATTATATTTTAGCAATAATACAACACTCACCCTCCAATGTTTTGCAGTTTTGTTGACTCTAGTTGCCGTGCAGCCTCTTCAGTCCTTTTGAGCAGCAGCACTTTTTGGTTCAGATTACGGAAGTGCATCTCCTGGATCATGCTTGCTCGCTTCTTTGAGTGTTCTGACCGTGAGATCACACTGAGAACTCCCTTATCTGCCACGTAGCGGCAGATACATGCATTGATTGCCTTCATGAACTCCTTATGAGCATTATCCATCTTGGCGCTGAAAAAGCAACAAAGTTGATAGTGATAAAAAGAAAGAGGTAGAGAGGGAGAATTAGGGAGTTGGAGGAAGAGAGGAGTGAGAAGGCAGAGGGTGGGAAAATAGGAGGTATGGAAGGATAGAAGATAGAGAGGCCCAAACACTCAGATCCGGGAATAATAACACAGAAGATTATTTTTTTATATATACAAAAATTGTAATCAATAACATAATGAGTGCCTAGTAAAAATGATTGGGTATTATTTCATCAGTAAAATATGTAATAATCATATAACCTATATTTCAGAAGAGTAAAAAATAAAAAATCATCCCACTGATTCAGTGCCAGACACATTCAATTCCTTTCTTTGATTAAAATAACATCATAGCTTTTATTTGTAGAGGGGTGTTTCCAGTATTAATGGGACGATTCCAGAATTGGTCGATTCCGATACTGATACCTTTGATTTTGATTCTCAATACTGATACCTGTTATATATTCATTTAATAACACATGCGATCCCTTTAAATATAGAAGCATGTTATTTATTTTTATTTTATCTTAATACTTAAGCAAACATAACTTAAGTAACTGAATTACTATTAAGAATACTTAGATTAGGTTAGCCAATAAGGAAAATAAGATACTAATTCAAGATAATCCACTTTTCAGAATCGGGTTTCAAGTACAATGAAGCGAAGGATTAAGTATCAGTGATTCTTTGATACCACCGGTATTGAAGGTATCAAGAATCGGAATCGGCCCATCCCTAGTTTCCAGATATTGATCTGATAAAATACTGAACTGTTTTAACTGTTGTTTGATTTAATTCAACAGCCAAATAATGTAATACTGTTGCAACTATATTTAGGTAGAGTTGGTGTTTGAACATATTAACATTTGTTGGGCTTCCCAATTATAATTGCAATTTTTTTTCTCAAGGTAATATATAGTATTACGTCTTTACTACTTTCAGTATTGAAATAAAATGAGTAGATTTATTTTTTATCTAAATGTAAGAACAGCAGGAGTTATTTACTGAGGAAACACCCTTTTAATGATGAAGATCACATCTATGAATAAGCCACAAAATTTCAAAACTGTGGAAATTGTAAGAATCACACTCACTATTCTCTAAGATCCTCAGGCACCTCAATCTCAAACTTGTGGAAGGTGTTGGCATCTATCGGAGGATTGCTGTTCTTATGCCTCAATCTCTCAGGAGGGACTATTTCAGTGTAAGTACTCTCCCATCCTAGGTACTCCACGACGTGGAAGTCACCTTTGATCATCTGTAGGAACAGGAAACTTACAAAACTCACAGATACAGCTACAGCTACACAGGATGATACTAGTTTATAAATTAAATTTGGACAATAAATGAGCAAGAACTCCACACATAATTTATGGTTGCTTATACTAAAAGAGAATAAACAAAATAAAAGGAATAGCTATGGGCGGGAGCTTATTTTGTATGCATTTCAGCTGCTAGGCATGTATGGCGCAACTCGCTGCTGTCAAGCTGGGTGGTAGTGTTTGTCTTTAGTGACAGTTTTTGTTGGCGCTATTTTTCTAGCATTTCCTTTTTGGTAATGATAAGTAAAAGTGAACAACTTGCATCTGTTAAGTTTTGTTTTTTACTTGGTTAAAGTGCTACTGAAACTGTTTTTATGTTGAAAACAGAAGGGAAAAACATAGGTGTATGAGTGGTTTACTAATTACTTGTTTCGTTGTACTTGTATTGCTGACGCTTGGGTCGCGGTAATCTGTTGGTAGTGCTGTGAGGCTCTGAGGACCTTGTAACTATTTAGTATTAAAAATGTATTATAAAACAACGAAACTAGAAACAAATTTCATCAACAAAAATTACATTCTACAACCTAAAAAGAAAGCAATAATAAAAAACAACCAAACTGCCTTAGATCTCTAGAGATAAAAGATCTCTATTAATCGTCTCAATGCCATTTGCACAACCTGTTTATGCATGAAAATAATATTAAAGATGTTTGTGATAAAAATAAATGCAAATGATAAACTCTACAATTTTGTTTTTTAAACCCAATCATGGATCAAAAAGTAAATATTTAAAATTACCAACCTAGCTTCTCAACTACTGGCTATAAACGTAAAAGTAAAAAAATAAGTAAAAGTAAACGTAAAATACATAGGTCAAAGAAGTTATAAGAACAAGACTTACTCAATATACAGCAACTACTCTACTTTTGACATTTTTCAGTTCAATATAAAAGCTATAAGTACCGTCTCTCGTGGTTATTGTAAAAAGGTGAATGTTTAGTAGGTTATATATATTTTGTCAGCAAATTTCCCTATAAAGATGTAACTTATTACCCTTGGAAGTCTTCATTTAAAAAGTGTAAATGTGTATAACCTACTCTGAGGACTTCACTTTGTGGAATTAAAAATGTTTTCTTGTACAATTTGTCTTAGTATTTTTTACTTCTTATTACTATTTAAGGTTTCAGTAAGTGAAATAATTTAACAGTGAGGTGCTTATTATTCTCTTGGTATATTATGTATCTTGGTTTATGCATTTTGTTGTTCAAGATTATAGGACAAATAGCTTTAATAATGAATCACTAATGCTACTGTACAGCAATAGCCACCATGCTCTACTTGTGTAAGTATAGTAATGAACTGATTTGACCCTTGCCTTGACGATAGCCCGCCACCAACCGCAAGACTCCTGCTCGTTGGCCCGGGAGTGAACCTCCACCTCCTGGTTCTCCGTGAACACCTTGTCAACAGGCTCCCCGGGCGGTAGCCGCACCATCTCAAAGTCAAACTTGCATTCCGGTTGCCACCTAAACAAACAAAATAACTTGTTTACTCGGCGAAAAGTAAATTAAATTAAGTGATAAACAGAAATTGTAGAACTTGTCGCTATCATCACACTAAAGTTTCTGAATTCAACATAGCATTTCATCATTTAGCTTCGGCATCATAAAAAATACTAATAACTGGATTACGTCTAGAAAGCTCTGTCATCTCACACGTACACTAAAAATCCCTGTAGCCTACATTTAAAGATGAGTAGAATTGCCTAAGTTGATAGCCCAAACACCCCTAACACTGTCAGGTTAGTTCGCTAAATAACTAGTTCGCTGTTGGTCGCAGAGCAAAAAAAAATAGACTAAAATATATAACGGAGCATGCTTGCAGGGATTCCAGTGTCCCACCAAAACAAAATTTAAGGACTAATCCAGGTTTTTCATGTTCAACAATTTCCAGGATAAAACTTTTGTTACAGCAAAACAACTTTTGACCGCAGCAAAATATGTGATTATTTCTCACGATCGTGGCAACATCCGTAATTGTTTCCTGCAATCCCGCCAAGTTGCAATGACTTCCCGCGATTGCAGCAACAACCGTGATGGTTTCAAATTTTAGCAACGCAAAACAAGAAGAATCTTTGATTGCAAAATATGAAGAAGAATCTGTTTTTTCAGGTGGATTTTTTTGGCTTTCATTCAATAATTAAAATTTTCCAGTCCTTAACAAAATTCACGGATAAAGTTGACGTACTATTCCCAGTTTCCAAATCAGCTAGACACCTTGGTTTGATCCTTGGTGGTATACTTACTTTAGAATGCAAGTTATTGATCTTAAATTAAGACTACTTACTCATTTTCAAATGCCACTGAAACTTCTTTTTCAAAGACATCAGTAACAAAGGCCTGAAACAAACACATTTTTTTATTCAAAATTTGACAGTAATTAGGCAATAGAATGAGCATTCTATTTTATACAAAACGTATATAGAACCTAAAACTACAGGCCATAGTAAAAGTGAACTGAAATAATAATAATATTAGATAAGAGGAAGACATATTTAACAACACAAGAATCGTTGAACAAATTTTGCTTTATGAGATAGGTAGACTTTTTTTTACCGAAATGTAGACAATTAAGTCTTGACATTTTATAGCCTTCTAATTAAGAAAGAGAGGTGCTTGCCTCCAAAGTTCATCATAATTATTTATTATTATATTATTACATACAGAGCTTCTAATAAATTTAATAAATTTGAAGATTTGATTTTAATGGAGACCCAGTTTTTACCCACTAATTAGTTAAAGAAGTTGTGTGAATTATTAGACCATCTGGAAGTTGGCAATGATGTTTTGCATATCTACATTACAAGTACGAATAATTTTTTTTTTTTTTTCATAAATAGTTCAAAATGAATAAATGAATTTATTTCCATTGAGTAAAAACCTATTACAGACATTGACAGTGTTTGAAAAATTAAGACTGGCTGCTTTTCAAGAAGTGTAGCCAGTTACAACAAATAAATAAACTATACATTATAACAGATTTTGAGTCTAGCATCATGCATTAAAAACTCTCATGCTGCCAATTTGGGTATCAGCCAAATACATATACCGATATTCAGATAATAAATAAATAACAATATAAGTGTAGCAAATTGTAACGTGCACAATTAAATGCAAGGTTAGGTAATACTTTACCAAATTCAATAGCATTCATGACATCACAATTAGACACTGCAATATATCGATCAAAGATTTTAATCTTCTTATGCATTCTTTAAAATGCAGGCCTACTTATTTTATTAGCGAATTTCCTTATAGGGGAGTAGCTATTACCGTAGGTCTTATGGTAAGACCTAGGCCCGGGACCGATTTACTTTTTCATTTTGATGTCCCCAGAGGCCAAAAACACCATTCGTTCAAATTTTTATATATGTATAGGCTATATTTGTGAGTGTCCAATTCAAATAATTTGTAAATTCAAAGTAATTTTTGTCAGATTTTGATAACATATGGTTTGAAGGTTTAAGGCGGGATAAACTTGAATGAGTTCGGGAACCAGCATGATTGGACCATGGGATTGGGGTTTTACTGGGGGTTTTATGGGGTAAAAATGGGGTTTTCTCTTTTTTTACACCTAAAACACAAAATTTATAAATTTTTCTCCAGACCTTTTAAGAGCTTGAAAAAACAAATAATTTAGTATATCAAAGTGTTTTTGTACGGTGATTGGTTACAGAGAAAATTCAAAAAATTGTTGATTTAAAATTCCCGTGATTCTTAAGGAGAATATTACAATATGTTCTAGTTGGCATGTTTATATGGATATATTTTGATCAAACTTGGCGGATTTATTTATTTCATACTAAGCTATTGATATTTTAATAAAAAACACTTTATTAGTTTCCCTGTAGCAGCTAACCTAGGTACTCGTTAAACAAATGTCAATTTAATAGATTAATTGAAAATCAATCCAGGCAAATGGAAATTCGCTTAGTCAGCAGGTTTGCTGCAGCGGGGGTATTTTTCTTATCATTTGCCTACTTTTGAATCATAACTTAAAATCATAGACCTATAGAAAAAGGAATAGAGAATAATAGTTTTATTGGTGTGTAATAAGCCGACTGCTATTACACATTAGTTTGTTTAAAGCACTTTGCAAACTTGTCGCGGTGTAACTGAACCAGAGATGACTAATATGGAACCTCTATAAGAGGGTGCAATTTTCTATTACAATCTCTGCACTAAAAACCTCTTTTGAGTTCAGTGAGCATGAAAATACTTTAAAAAATCAACTAAGATCCATAGAAAACATAAGAAAACCGAAAAAAACAAATAATTGAATAAAATTGTTAAAATATTTTTCATGACAAAGGCAAAATGTAATGCTACGAAATGCTGACGCTAAATCAAAACACGGCAGCTGGTTATCAGGGTCTCTACTACATTCTAGATAAAAAATTCATGAACTTATTATTTATTAAATTCACTTGTAATTTATATATAAATATTGGGGAAATTATGACCAATAATGCTCATTTTTGAACAATCAAGATTGCTAACAATTTTTCTTTTATCAAGAATTTTTGAAAATTGATACAGTACCCAGGAAAACATGTACGTAATCTTGCGGTCTTTTGAAATTAGCGTCCGTTGCGGCAAATCACTAATGATTTAATTTTTGCTCGAATAACAAACTCATATTTTTCATCAAGATTAAATGATGTGGCAAGTTTATCTGTAAGTCTCATTCGTCACTCTCATTTTAAGGACCTTTACAATCTTCATCCTCATCATATTAATCAGCTTCGTGTAGGCTATAGACTGTATGAAACAAACATGGGCTACTTAATAGTTTATTGTTTTTCTATAACCTCCTTTGACATTGACTTAAACATAAGATCCAGGCTTCAAGTTTGTCTCGGTTGGTGTTCTATTGTGTTATTTTGCCACAATGTCTGAAGGTGCTCGAGTTTTTTAGGGGCAAGCATAAAGGATGTCTCCGCATAAAGGCTAAATACCAATCCTCCCCTTGGTTCCGTAATTAAGAACATTAGGAATAGAATGTTCTGCAACGTACAGTGCAAAAAGACCCAAAATTGCCTGCCTGTCACAAGGGTAACCAAATTTGGCTCGTGCCAACAAGCACTCTACTCTACAAGTTCATTTTCTCCTGTAATTGACAAAGTTGTTGGGCATCCAGCTGCTTGATCCTCTGAACTCACTTTTCCACTAATATGCATCAGCTGTATTAAGTTACTGATTTCATAATCCCATATTTTGCTGCAGCTTAACACTGGTTCAGTTTCCTCTCTTTAACCAAATTACCTAACAGCTTTTTGCAGGTCCTGTAAGGAGTAAGTAACAGAATGTTTTTTTTTGTATGTTCTTGACAAGTTTTTAATGTTTTTCAATTATTTTCTTGTAGCAGGAAAGCACAAATAATTAATTTTCCATTCATATTAAATGTTGTCATAATTACCTCATTTTTGAAAATAAATGGGTTAAATATGAACATATACTTTTAGGCTAAATTACAATTTTTAATGGATATGGAAAATGATAATCAAAAGTAGAAAACAAACTTCATGGGATTAGTAGCCTAGGCCTATAAAAATTCCTTCAAACAAAAAAAAATTAAGGTTTGGGTCACTTTGAATCAAAGCGTGTGAAACCCGATAATAGAAAATTTTTGACATATTTTAAAATTAGGCTATTAAAATATTTACCTGATATTTTCTTCTAACAACTAGGCTATTTTTTTACAGGTTAAGTTTACCAATACAAAATACACATATATAAAACCATGTAAAATACAATTTTTTATAATTTTCCTGCCATTATATTGTTTTTTAATGGCCCTAATTACCCTAACTGACCCTAACTACAGGTACGCAACGATTAATTACTTATTTTATAAATCAATAAACTTAATATGTTAATGCTATATTGTCATCACGAAATGGTTCCGTGATAGGCCTAAGGTTTTTGGGCCTATTCAGCTGATCACGGAACCAAGTCTCCAATAGGCTAAACAATATTTTTTGGTAGGGGCTTAAGGTAAGTTATCAATGTTTAGGGACCGATATTAGGCCCTACTATCGATGTGAATATTTATATCAAAGGATCAAAGGTCAAACACTACCAAAAGATACCAATTCAAAAGATGATTGATAGGTTACTTGGTTGAAAGGATAATTTTATAACCAAGGTAAACTTAGGGAAGGCCAAGCCTATTTTAACTCACTGTGTTACATAAGTTTAGGGCCTAGGCCTAAGTGAAATTGAATTAGGTTTAGGGTGACCCGGGGCAATTCTGGCAGCCAGACGTGAACCTTAACTTTAACTGCTTGTACCGCGGTGAACATATTTTTCATTTTATTTTGACAATTACCATAGTAGTTCTATGTTATTCCTCTAGTGTTTTCATATATTTAGACAACAATCTCAAACTCCACTTAAGGGGGTTTGAGGTTTTTTTTTTTGGAGTGTCAGATGCCAGAATTGCCCCAACCTTGGGGCAATTATAGCAATACCTTATATTTTCCTTATTGTTTAAATTGCTCTGACATTGGGGCAATCATGGCATAGGCCTAATTTAGCTGTTTAAGATGGTGTTTTAATTTTTGTTCTATCTCTATTTATAAGGAAGTTGTGAATAAACCGGTAAGACAGTACAAGCGTACAAGGGCCTTAACCTCAAAACTTCTAGCAACAATAAACAATAAAAATAATCAGGCTGCCATAGAGTAATCTAAGCAAAAGGTGTTTACAAAGCCATCCAAATGAACTGAAATGAAACATATTACACATAACACAAGTTGTTATACAATTTATTCTTTAATTTATACATTATTTGTATAAAGATATATAGCTGCCATAATTGCCCCGGGTTCTTTGCCACAATTGCCCCATAGCATATGAAAATGGGGCAATTATAGCACCCATTTAAATTTAAATATCTTAAAGGGATAACTGCTATTACTATTTTTGTTCATGAAGTTTTAAGTCTGAACAATTATCTTTGAGTATAAAAAAAAATAAAATATAAAATTCATAGGGGAAAAAAATTAGCCGTGTGCGATGTTTCGATATCCTCGGGCTGTGGAAGAAAGTACTTTTTTAATCGCTAATAAAAATTACTGCAAACATTTTATTTTTACAAAAATGCTTTCCTATATATAGGAGGTATATGCTGAAATAACAAATATTGCTTCACTGATCTGTAAAGCTGAAATTTAAAAAAAATATAGGCCATTGCTATAATTGCCCCGTGCCAGAATTGCCCCGGGTCACCCTAATGAATGTGCTATTAAACAAGGAATGCATAGTTCTGTTTGCTTCCCTAAATACCTATTAGTACGTAAAATTCAGGGTAAATTGTAAAAGGTTGTTGTAAGTTAGGTACATGATAGGGATTGAATCCCACTGGCGTACGGTAAAGATTCTTAACTGGGCTACGCCACTATTCATCAAAAGAAAATATTTTGAAATAGTAGGTAATTTGTAGCCTAGTATTTTTTTCTCAGGATTTTAATTTTTCAAAAACAGTCTGCAGGCGACATAAACTAACAACTCGATACATTAAAACCTAAACTTTACCTTCCTAATCTAACCTAACGTCAAAACACTTAATGCAGTCACCAATTCGCATAAAGCACGACCTACCACCTTGACATGCCTAAATAAGAACTACGTGTAATTAGTCCACCAGTCCATCTATATCTCCATAATGTGACGAAATTCCTATTAGCCTATAGAAAACATTATTGACTACAGAATCACTTGAAATGTTTCTATGTACAACGATGTTAATCATGTTTAAATCAACAAAGTTATTCTTCTCATAAACCATGTTACTCTCTTCACTTAACCTGAAAATGTGACAGCGTAGCAGACTAGCACTACGCAGCACGTATGAGTAGGCCTATTTTTGTTTTGTGTTTTAGTTGTAAAATGACGTCACTAGGCATATTGCCGATGACAGAATCAGAGTTAGTTAATAAAGTTCTAAAGTAGTTACGTCCGCTGTAACTTAGGCTTAACCCACGATTCATCGCACTTGTAAATTATAGCCTATCCATCCTACCTTGTTTTTGTTTATTTTATATTTTCACGGCGATATTTTGAGAAATATTCGTCAGCCGTAAAAATAATGGTAGCCTACGGTATTCAGTAGACCCCCTCTTAACCGACCTCGTATTAACCGATAATCCGCCTTCGGTCGTAAATACAGTTTGTTTTAACCGACCTTGCTTAGAGAGCACTTCGGTTTAACCGCCGCATTCTAGGAATCTCTGCATTTCCGCTCCCACGCTGGGCGCGATGGGAACTGAACCATACACTTATCTCCACAGGATGTGACTAAGAATACATTATTTTGTATATTGATAACAAAAAATATAGAATTTTGTCGATTTGTCATCATCATTTGTACTTAGCAAATCCTGATCTGATTTGTTATATGTGCAGCAAATTTATAAAATGATTATCTTATCGCTAGAGTAAACAAACAACAAAACTTGTAGGGAGAACAGGGAAGGGGGGTTGACAACTCAAAGGTCAAGATTCCTCGAGCGTCCACCAATGAGAAGCTACCGGTATAAGTGGGTACATAAACACCCGCCTTGTAACAAAATGGTTGCTTGTATCTTTAATTTCCACAAAAGGTTCTGTACTGTAGGCCTATTATGATGGATTTGGAAAGCATCAATTAATACATTACTTACAGAAGGCCTACTAATTTAAGTTATTAAAATAGCAATTTTGATTGACTCTTGCCTAGTACTAGCTTACAATCTAGGCTATTTCACTAAAAGTAGGCCTATTTGATTTACAAGTTAACAATGTTGTGTGTTTATTTATGACTTTTCTAAGTATCAATAGGAAAAAAAGGAGATAATAGTAAGTAGTTTATTTTATAAAAATAATGCAAGTATGACTTTAAAATAATGTTTACCTATATAATTAAAAATTAATAACACTAGCCTACATTATGTTATGATTTTAGCGATTGCCCGTTTTAACCAACCTTTTGAGTTAAAAGTCCGACCTAGGTCTTGTCCCATTAGGGTTGATTGAGAGGGGGTCTACTGCAGGCTATTCAGGATTCAGGAGGTAAAAAACTATAAAGTAATGTAAGATATCAAAATTAAAAATTCGTTTGGAGGCACCTATATGGAATTAACACCGAACTGACTTTGCTTGAAATTTTCGTTCACTTTAACTTAGCACTCAATTAAGCCTACAGTCATCCCTTTGTGAAATAAAGTTCATCTTTGTAACAAAGTGCAAGATTAGAAAGTTAACTTTATAACGGTATAAAAACTATTCCATTCTAATATATTTTTAACCATTTACTTATTTAGAGTTAAGCTTAACCAAAACTTTGCAAAACGTAGCTATTACAGTATAGGCCTAAGTTAATTGCTGTCACTACAGAAACCACCTGGCCGCTACTGTAGTAGTCGGGTTGCCAGTTGGAGGTTTAACCATAGACTAAACAACACAAGTAGACTTGTCATCCCGTTGTAAATTTTGACGCACGTTTTTCGTGTCCAGTTCATGTACGGTGACACTGGACGCTAGTGTCAACAAAATTTTGTTTCTATTATTTTAGGGTTAATTTTTTGATTTGTGCTTTACTGTTTGGTTATATAACTAGGAGACAAGTTATTGTTTATGTTTAGATCGTATTATTTGGTTAAACGAGGTTTTAAATGACTGTAATAACGGGAAACAAATTGTAAACAAAACACGACCTCTACATAAACCGTACAGAACTAACAATAAAATTGTCTTCAGCTGTTCCATAAGGATGAGAAATCTACTTGGGGGAGTATGTTTTATCTATGGTTTAACATAGCAGCCTCGGTTGGATTCCCCCTATAGGGTAGGCCTTGGGTAATAAGTTACCTTAGGCTAGGCTATAACTTGTCAGTGGGAGGCCTATTAACTTATTAGATTATAATTTAATATTTGCCTACCGGTAATCCTAGAGTAGGTCCGGTTCTAAACCAAGTTTCAGTTATGTCAATACCTAGACTGTGGCCTACATTCGTTTTAATAAACTACTAGTTAACAAGGTATGGAGCTAGGGCCTAGGCCCTAACTTAAGACGATTCCCGATCGTTGGGTCGGACTCAACATTAGGTTACTGATTCTAAGAATAGTTTTCTATTAATAATATTACTTCTTATGAGTTAATAAATGAACAAGAGCAATAATAAACAACAAACGGGATCAAGGTTTATGACATGATCAGATTATATTTCTTTACAAAGTTGTTTCAATTTCCTTGCACATGTAAAAATCACGCCCTGTCAAAAGACATGGCGTCCTAACCGTGCTGCAAGGAGGGAAAGAAAACATTCGTAGCAAAAAAGTAAAATTGGAAAATACTAAAGGGGTTTAAATATTTGAAAACTGATATCTTTTGAACAGATTTGAGCATAAGTTACAGACGGAATTTCCATACTTAAGTTAATACAAACCTTGTAATAAGCACCGTTGTCGCCGCAAACTTCCACCTCGAGGTCATCCATCTTGGTTTTTAGTGCAAAATGATCAACGGGACAACGGGTCGGAGACTCGAAGATTTTAGCCAATGGGCGATTCGTGTATTATACAGTATTGGGCAAATGGCGTTTCATTGGTTAAAATGTAAGAAGACGAAATCTTGATAGCAGAGCTGAAGTAAAAGTATATCCTCTATCATCTCTATCTCTATTCTCTAGCAGTCGACTCGAAGATTACAAATGAATTACAAGATTCATAACCATAAGGAGTAATGGATAATTACCTTTAGATTTGGTTTTACTCAAATAAGCTAAAACAATAGGGTCAACAATACTATTTTTGAATTCACTACATTAAAAATGTCAGGGAGTAGTGATTCAGAAGAGTTTTACGATGCCGAAGATCTTACACCTTCCAAAACTTTAAGGTAAGTAAGTAAGTTAGTAGTTAGACCTAGGCTTTCTTGTTTTCATTCTAACATAACCAATAAAGACGATTCTTCCCATTTGTAAGATAGGCTACTGAGATTTTGTTAGATTTTAGGATAAGGACTAGGTAATTCATTACAAATTGTGTAGATTAAACTTAAGCATAGGTACCTAACATAACAAGTTGCAATCAAAGAGATAAAGTTATTAGGATAAAGAAAGCCTTGAATTTGTTCATGCTTGTCAAATTTAAGCTAGGCTACTAAAGAATTAGGCCTCCACTTTTACAACCTGGGGCCTGTTTCTTAATAAACTACAAACTAATATTATTAACTACGGTAATATAAATAATGGTTTTAAATACCTTCAGTCACCAGTTCAAATAAGTCGGCTGTTGCGACCTAGGTTTCGGCACGAAGTTGTACCATCATCAGGCGGGCCAGTTTTGAGTCTTCAGTCCAATGGACGTCGTTGGGTTAAAACAAATAACAGTTCATGACATACAGTAAAAACACGCACACGAACACATCTAACGAATAATAGGCTACCAGTGTTTACAGAAGGACGACATTTTTGTAAGTTCACCGGCCACGACAAGTGAAATCCAAGCCACAACTAGGCTAACTGGATCGTTCAAGTGGTCTATCTGACCTTTGTCCTCGGTATTGTTTTGAGCCATGTCTAATAGGATGCGTTAGTGTTGCTTGGGTTTCAATTATTTTGTTATAAATTAAATTGGAGCTGTGGTGGATTTGGTCGTTTATTAGGTTGTCGGTATCTACTTTTAACGATTTGATACAAAATGACAACTGTCTTATGTTTGTAGAAGAGCCAAGGGAAGCACCAGTAGCAGTGTGCTTGGTAATTCAAAGAGTGAATTAGATCTTCGGGTATCGTTCAGAGATGAAGTGGAACAGGATAAGTTGCCGTCTCCGACAAAGCAGACTCAGTCGAGTAGCGATCCTGTGGTATGTGTAACTTCAGACACTAACTTAACTCTTTAAACTCAGCACATATAGATAGCCTTAATCTTTGAGTGTTAAAAAATAGTAGCCTAGGTCTATTCAATCAAATGTAAGTAGCCTTGGGCCAAAGAAGGGAGCATTTATTTGGTGGCACTGCAAGTTGGTTGACAATTTTGAACATGTCTTGCCTACAAGATTCATATGTGCTGTATTTAACCATAGACAGAAGAATTAAATATAGACTGTCAGTCGTGCTGCGGTTGCCATGGTTACCATAGGTTCTGGCACACACTGCTATATTTAATTCTTTTTGTCTATGATTTAACTATGTGCTATTCAGTATGTTTATAAGAGATAAATTTTGCAAGGCAAAGCTCTTAAAGTATAGATATAAGTCAACCAACCTGGTAGAACTATAGTTGAACCCTTTTCTGTAATTATGAACTATTAGCTATAATTCAGTGCTAAAACTAACTGCCATTCTACCCCTGAAGAAGCCCCTAAAAAGGGGCGAAATATCAGTTAAATTATGTTACCGGTACTTTTTTGTGATCTATTAACCTGGGACTCTTTATTCAGGTGAGTTAGTTGTTGTGTATCCTTCCTTTCTCCTTAACAAATTCTAAATACAAGTAGTTTTTCCCCTTCAAAAATTTTCCAATGGATATACCGGTACGGTAAGTAATGTTCATAGGTAAACTCCTTAAATTGTATGTGGATGCATGAATAATTTAATTTTGTTTCAAATACATCCCTTTCTATCTTGTAACCATAACTGTTGCTCCATTGACAGGGGTTGGAGAGGCTCCACCAAGGCAGAAGGAGGTTCCGAGAACTGCGACAGCGTATGCAGACAGATGACGAGGAGGGAGGGGGTAATACTTCACCCGCAGACAGCCAGACATCGTCTGTGGAGGGAGTGTTTGCAGGTCCGGACACGAGCAAAGCCAGCCATCCTTTCCGCATCATAGAACACGACGCTCTCAGTCTACAGAGTATGACTTCGCTTGGTAGAGTCGGACGGCTGCTCAGCGGCACCATGCCTGACCCAAGTATGTTGAATTTGTCCTATCCACATAAATACAGACTGCACTGAATAAAGCTATTTAATTATGACAAGAAATTTGCCTAAATGTAAAATGATTAAATTATCTTCATAAAGTAATCTTTGTTTACCCTGTTGGTAACTACTGTCTCTGGTTGCCTAACTATCGTTAATCCTACAAGTAGACAACATCATTTACATCAATTATGAATAATTGAGATGGGGATGCCACCTAGGTGCGTATTTTAACCCAAATATGAGTTAAGGATGAGTGTAGAATGGTGTGTGATTACCGGGGGAGCTTTGTTACTGACTAAGATCAGCTGTTTCATTAGCCAGGATCATTTATTTAAAGCCCAATGATCAGGAACAGCTGGGTCCAGTTTCGTACCATCAAAAAGCTACTGACTTTTCTCAGGATCAAACAAAGGATGTAAGTTTAAAGTTAAAAAATAATCTCACAAAAAATTGTGGTGCCTCAATCCTGTCTGAAACAGCTATTATTTCAATCATTTGTTTTGCTCAAACATATTAATTCACTAGCAAACCCGTTGTGGCCCTCCCCCTAATGAAATTCAGAATTAGTTACTGTGAATCTGTAACACACACTTAACTCTTGAAGTTGTAGAATATATAATTCACAAATTTTGGCGCAACAAACTTACAACTAACTACAGCCATTTTAGTTTTATAATCAGGTTTTGACACTACTTTCATTTACTTCATGTTGTAAAATTCTGATTGCTGAATAATTATGATTGTTTAAATCCAGAGGAAACTTGCTTATGGGACAACATATACAGTAGCGCTTTCAGCTCTAGTATGTTGTGTAGCCTACAATAAGGGTTTCCTCCGTAACACCCCTCTTTCACCTGGCCTTCCTAACTGATTTTTTTGATTGAGGTGTCATTTAATGCTTATAATCTAGCCGAGAGACGAATTGCAACGAAAGTTATTTTCTTCAGTGTTTTTCCCCCTATTTTTTTCTAGAGTGTGCTTTCAAAGATCCAGTGATGATGGCCGACTTTCTATACAGTGGTTTTAAATGAGAATTCTAGTTTAATACCTGGCCCTCCAGTTGAATTTTTAACTGTTAAGATTTTAAATATTTTAATTAGGTGGTAGTCAGTTTTATTTTTTATTGAAAACTGTAACCTGATTGAGATAGGTGAATCACTCTCAACGGTATGCATCTATAATCAATATAGTTAAAATGAAATACTTATGAATTAGTAGTTGTTCCAGTCTGATATAACCATATTATTTTTATGATGAGGTTTTTTTCTTGAATTTTAAATGTTTTCAGCTACTAAGTAATCTTTAAAAGGCGAGAGGGTATTGCATTATTGATTATACGTCGGAGACTAGTTTTGAACCTTATTAAAATGTGTGATTTGCACATGGGCCCCCTCGTCTACATTAGTGGCGACTCCAGGGGGGCCATATATGCGTCTTTTGCCAAGAGCCAAAGACAAATTTAAAAAAAAAAACTTATCTCACCACCATTTTATTTGATTATAATATAATTTAATTAGCAATGTGTTGCCAAAAGGTAATACTTGCCACCATCGGTTTTTAGGACAAGTATTGGTACCAACAATCAACTTTAAAATGTGAGTTCAATACCAGTATTTCTTCAATACCAACAGGACAAGGGCATATTTGCAGAGCCCATATAGTGATAACGGATTTTGATCAGGATTAGTTATTGATACTGACCTTAAAATGTGATGGTGCATCACTCACACTCACTCACTCCCATGGCCATTTAAATGCCCAATGCCGGATTTGGCCAAACTGCTCTCCATCCCTCCATATCTTCTGGCACATCACAAATTATTAATTTAACTTTACACTATGATTAAATATATTCCAAGCCTGCAATAGACACCTTAAATCATTAAATATCACCAAACTGTCATTGGAAGGAGGAGGGGGGCAAGTATAATTCATAACTCCAGGCAATGGCCCCCTCTGAAAATCCATCCAGGAGCCGCCTCTGGATTACATTCAATGTTTACACATTTGAATTTTAACACACTTCAGTTTTATTTAGTATTCAACTATTCTCATTATCCATATATAAATCCCAAAGTACCCATGAACTTTTGAGAAAACTACAAGTCAAACCTCCATAAACCATATACTTAAATTGTTTGTCATGATAAGAAACCTTATGCAAAACTATCCATTATTTCATAAATTGCACTGTAAGGTCGTAATTCCTTTCTAAAGGGAACTTTCCACATACATAAGGTAAAAAAACACAGCTGTACTTATTTGTTTGTTATTCTTTCAATTTATTACCTTATTAAAATCAGGTGAGATTATTTGTTTGTATTACTGTATTCTGTTTCCTATATGAAAGTAGTTATTACCATAGGTGGCACGGTGAGACCTAGGCCCGAGACCGATTTACTTTTTCATTTTGATGTCCCCAGAGGCCAAAAACCCCATATTCGTTCAAATTTATATATATACGTCCGTGAACGCGATAACTTGAGTCATTTTTGTCCGATTTTGATGAAATTTTGTTTAAAGGTGTAAGGCGGGATAAACTTGTATGAGTTCGGGAACCAGCATGATCGGTCCATGGGAATAGGGTTTTGTGGTTTTATGGGGTAAAAAGTGTTTTTTCTCATTTTTGACCCTCAAAACACAAAATTATCTCTAAATCTTTTTAAAGAGCTCAAAAAACAAATAATTTAGTATATCAAAGTGTTTTTGTACGATTATTGGTAACGAAGAAAATTTAAAAAAATATAAATTTAAAATTCCCATGTTATTCTTATGAAGAATATTATAAAGTGTTGTAATTTGCTTGTTTATGGATATATTTTGATTAAACTTGGCAAATTTATTTCTTTTATACTAAGCTATTTTATATTTTACTAAAAAAATACACTTTATTAGTTTCCTTGTAGCAGCAAACCTAGGTACTCATTAAACCTAATGTTATTTAAATAGATTTAGGGTAATTGAAAATCAATTCAGACAAATGGAAATTCGCTTAGCCAGCAGATTTGCTGCAGAGGGGGTATTGTTTATTTCAGCTTAACTTAACCAATCAATAGTTTTATTAATACTTATGAATCCAAACGGGGTGAAGCCCGTGGGTAACAGCTAGTTAATCTTAAACTTAATTTATATTAAACTACTGGTAATCCTAAAAGTTACCCTTTTCATTTGAATATTTTGCAATATTTTTTTCTTACCTTTTATAACCTTTTGTGTTTTTATCTTAGATTGATAATGCAGCCAGTCAGATAATGCATTGTAATGTTGCTAGGTCAGTTATGTCAGGTCTAAATGTGAGTCTGGGAGTGTCATATCTGATTAAATTGTTTCCATTGATGATAACTGTTGTTTTCGATGCTGCATTACATAATAATTTTTGCATTGAGAAAAGCCAGGAAGTTATTTGTAAAGAACCTCAAGTAGTGTGATACTAGACGTCAGGCCTATGACAAATAGGTATGTTTGAGAAACCTCCTATAGATTTTGTATTGTATTTGCTGAAAGTTGTACCATATTGCAATGCTAAGAGCTTGTTTGTTTTTATTGTAACCTAAATTAAAATTTTTGTAATATATTTGCATTGCAACATTTTACTTAGTTTAAAAGAAACAGTCAAGATTAATTTAAAATTTTTTTGTCAATCAATAAACTTAAAATAGGCCTACCCCTGCCGCAGCAAATCTGCAGACTAAGCGAATTTCCATTTGTCTGAATTGATTTTAAATTTAATCTATTTAAGTAACATTAGGTTTGGTTTAACGAGTACCTAGGTTTGCTGCTACAGGGAGACTAATAAAATGTGTTTTATAGTAAAATATTAATACTTCATAGATTAAAATAAATAAATTTGCCAAGTTCGATCAAAATTTTTCAACAAACAAGCAAACTACAACATTTTACAACATTCTCCATAAGAATTACATGGGAATTTTAAATTAGCAATTTTTTGAATTTTCTCTGTGACCAATAACCATACAAAAACACTTAAGTAAACTAAATAATTTGTTTTTGTCTTTTAAGCTCTTTTAAATGGTATAGAGAGAAATTGGGAAATTTTGTGTTTTGAGGGGCAAAAATGAGAAAACCCAATTTTTACCCCATAAAGCCCCCTGTAAAACACTGTTCCCATGGTCCGATCATACTGGCTCGTGAACTTATTCAAGTTTATTCCGCCTTACACCTTCAAACCAAATTTCATCGTAATCGGACAAAAATTACTGAAGTTATCGCGTTTACAGACTTATAAATAGTGTACCTGTTACTCGAATTCGAGCAATTGCGAAGTATTACAGGTGTTATTTTAAAATGAATAACAGTCATAATTTCCGATTACCTACCTTAAAAAAGTCGACTCAAGATTATGGAAAAACTCATGATGTACATAACAGTTTGATATAATCTACATTTCTTGTAAATATCCATTTTTCAAAAGCTAATCTTTGTTTTCTACAAATGTTTCCCACTCATAGCCGCATTAGGTTGTCCATAATAATGGTTATAAATTCTTTACAAAATCATTATTTCTATTTCTTTTACTTGGTGGTATTCTATGACTTTCCAATGTTTCCATAGTTTGCAAATCGGCTATTTCAATGATTGCTCAAGAAATGCAGCACACTGTATTCAGTTTTCTTTTTAGTTTTAGTATATCAAACTGTCCAGGCTTTCTCATTTTTTTCTGTTGTAATATTTACGCCAACCCAAATTCAAATACTAAATACTGAATTTACAACCAAGTCAGTAATGTTTGTAGCACATGTTTTCAATTGCAACTAAAATATTAACGGCAGTCATTAAATTATCCAGCTGATCATAATGTAAACAAATATGTTCTTCATAAGGATAACACGGGGACTTGAAAAGCCATTGGGGCAGGGCCCAAGGAACTTTTTCACAACTGTAAGGTCAGTTTGCAAATCTACACACCTAGACGAACATTTTGGTATATAAAATGAGCCATTAAATCTTAAAACAAAAAAGCCTTAGGCTATTATTCACAAAGTTTCATGTTGCGTATTGGTATTATTAATATAGATATATACATATATACAAATTTGAACGAATAGTGTTTTTGGCTTCTAGGGACATCAAAATGAAAAAGTATATCGGTCCCAGCTCCAGGTCTTAGCGTGCCACCTACAGTAATAGCTACTTCCCTTTAGGGAAATTCGCTAAAAAGAGCTCATAACTCTGTTGAATAAAAGTTTTTATTTTGTCAATGATTGAGTTAAATATTATTATATTATTCGTACATGGATGTCACGAGTGTTGTTAATCTGGTCATGATGACAACAATAGTTGTGATTGATTGTGCAAAACCTGTTTTGAGAATAAATCAGTCGTTTGAAAATGTGGATATACAGTACTGATTGATTTATCAGAATTATGGTTGTCTAGATAATCATGTTTCCTGTCGTAGACATGCCCACTCTGACTGCCAGTTCCTCGCCTAGTGGGTCAACCACCACTCTGCGTAGCCAGGGAGAGGGTTCAGAACCTCCCCCGTCTCACCCCACTACACCCCCACCTACAGCCCCTGTACTGGCTGAGCCTGATGTCATAGCCAGCACCAAGCCCCCGCCTACACACGTGACTACAGCTCCAGCAGACACCGGCCCCGTTGCCCCACCTAGACGCAAAAAGAAGAGCAAGCCTCCTGCCCCACCTACGGACCTTCCCATAGTCTCTGACTCCATTCCAATACCCTCTAAGGTATGTGTCTTATGGAAGAGTTTTCTTTCCTTTGTGAGATTTATCCACTTTATTTTTTAACTACGTTTTTGAGTGAAGTGTTGAAATTGAACCATTTGAATCGCAGCAGTGATTAAAAATAAGGTATGTAGATAGAATTTTAAAATTAATGTTCTAAGCTATTTTTACTATTTTGAGGGAGAATGTACACACCTATACCCTGGGAAACGTTCTTAGAATAGATTAAACGGCGAGGCTACACTGAACTTAATAACATAAAAAACAAATTAGCAAAATTCACACTTCCAAAATTTAAATCACTGTCAAAAATTTTCAATCTGAAGTTGTTAGTAAGATTCGCAGACACAATGTATCGTAATCTAAAATCACAAACGATGTGTGGTAAAGATAAAGTGGTATAATGTTTGTGGTTTTAAATTATCCATTAGAAATAGTATAATAAATTGTATGATGGGTGGATTAAAGAGCAATGATTTTGCGTCTATAGAAAAAATTCCTTGAGCTCATCAATCACTGGGTGATATTGAACGAACGTATTTTAGTGGTTTGACTGTTTCGCCTGTGATCTCCCAGGTATGTCAATTGCCAAACAAAACCACATATCATGGAAGGGTAGTTGTAGGTCTCCTATCCTGTATTTTGTGATGATCCGACTCCTCGGTTTTCACAGCCTGGTTGTGATGTTTTCCCACAGAAGGTGACAGACGAGGTTGGCAGCAGTGGTCAGTTGTTCAGTCAGTCTCTCCCCAGTCCTGCCACTACGATAGAGTCTCTCACCCGTGAGTTTGAACACTCTTTGGACATACACTCTGCCATACAGGGACAATATGTGGTGAAACCTCAGGTAATACTAGCAGGACACCTCCACCTGACTTTTGACATGTCCGTGTGGTAATTTCTTAATTGGTTTATTTTGTGTTAATGTTTTATTAAAACGTTTTTATTTTGCAGTGATTTCAGTTTGTATACTAATAAGATGGCCAGCGTGAATCCTAATTTAGGAATAAATACATAATAAGAATAGAATAAGAATAAGAATGCTTTATTGCCGTTACACTGGTTTACATGCATGGCACAGTCAAGGAAATGTCTTAGAACTAAAGGTTTTAACTTAGGTTTAATTTAACATCATTTATGAAGTCAATTTCTCTATATGGACACAGGTTTAACAGGTAGTTTTTAAGTACTATTTTAAATTTAAAACAATTAAAACATCTTATTCTATTAGGTACCGGTAACATATTATAATACTGTTTGGATTTTTCAATGAAACTAGTAGCTGTGGTGCTGTATCGACACTGTCTAGATATAAAATTGCAGCGGTTTCGCGTGTTGTAACTGTGTACATTTTCATGTGTGTCTGTTTTACTAAAACTATTTTTTGCAAACACAAGGCAGTCTAAAATAAGTAAAATATACATTGCTTGTACAGTTAAAATATTAGCCTCCCTAAATAATGGTTTACAGTGTGTACTAAAATCAACATTGTACATGATTTTTATTGCTCGTTTTTGCAATGACAAAAGTTTTTTTATAATTACTACCTCCCCATACAATTGTTCCATAACTTAGATGGGAATGTATTTGTGCATAGTAAATGCATTTCAAGGTATTAAAATCTACACTGTTCTTAAGCATGTTTATTATAAATATTCCTTTGTTAAGTTTTTTTAGCTGTATATGGACTTTCCACTTTAAGTTAGATTCTATAAAAACACCTAAACATTTTACACAATTTTTATTATGCCTATTATTAAAACTAATACATAAATCTTGAGTTTTTTCTATATTTAAAAACAATTTATTGGCCTTACACCAGTCTTCGATTAAGCTATCTGCTTTGTATGCCATTACTGTTGAATTTAGCAAATTCTCACTTTGAATTTGTATTGCTAAATCATCTGCAAAAAGATAAGGCTTAACATTAAAATTAGATCATGATAAAGAAGCAGGAGAAATCTCACTGTCTGTTAGTCAAAGAATCTATTTCATTTTTTTTATCACATGTTTTTTTAGTTATCGTAACTAAATTTATATAACTTCATATAGCCTATGCCTTCATTTTGGTTTAAATCTTCTACTCTTTAGGTGGTTAAAGAAGTGTTTTGCAATTGAATTCAAACAGAAATTTTGATTACTATAATTATTTAAATTATTGTGTAAGTAAGTGGATAGTTTGTAATCAGGAGGTTGCAGGTTTTTTGAGTGAACCCCACCCAGCTGTTCATGCTCATTTGACTTTCAATAAATGGTCATGACTAAAAACCAGCTAATCTCAGTCAGTAACAAAACTGTCATACAGTCTAATTTATTACATATTCATCCTTCGCTCAACTTCACCCACCTTAGTATGTAGTCGTCATAATAATGAAATTTAAAAAAATATTTGTTTAAGGGGAAGAGGGGGAAGGATTTTATGTCATGAACTCAACAATCAAAAATTATTTAAAATTTTGTCTTTGGATTTTCAGATGAATACACTCACTATTTTTAAGTTCTTTTTAGCGAATTCCCCATATAGGGAATAAGCTATTACCGCAGGTTTCATGGTAAGACCGAGACCTGGGACCGATTTACTTTTTCATTTTAAGGTCCCCAGAGGCCAAAAACACCATCCATTTAAATTCATATATATTTATTTATATATATGTAGGAAATCTATATTTATGTTTCTGTTAGCACGATAACTCAAGCAAAAATTATCCGATTTTGATGAAATTTGGTACAAACGTGTAAACCTACATTTATTCAAAAGAGTTCGCGAACCAGCATAATCGGACTATGGGAACGGGGGTTTTAGAAGGGGGGGTTTTATGGGGTGAAAATATATTTTTTACATTTTTGACCCTTAAAACACAACATTTCATAATTTCTCTCCAAACAATTTTGTAGAGCTTAAAAAAATAAATAATTTTGTATATTGAAGCATTGTTGTATGCCCAACAGTCACAGAGATAATTTAAAATATTCCCATTTTATTCTTATGGAGAATAAATCAACTGTTGTAATTTGCTTGTTTATGGATATATTTAAACCAAATTTGGAAATTTTGTTTATTACTAAGCTATTGACATTACAATAAAAAAAAAACACATTTCAGTATCTTCCCTGTATCAGCAAACCTAAGTACTCACTAAAATTACTGTTAATTAAATAGGAAATAAATCTGAAAATTTTTGGGGAATATTTTAGTAGAAATCCAGCCAGGTAAATGGAAATTCGCTTAGTCTGCAGGTTTGCTGCGGCGAGGGCATTTACTTAATAAACCAGTTACACTAAACATATTTTTTTTAGTTGTTACATATTCTACACAATATTTAGTAAAATGTAATTATTTGTTCAGTTTTATCTGAGTTTTTTTGTTTAGGACGAAGCTATGTCCAAGGCTGGGGCTATATGCGAGGGAGACAGATGGAAGATAGAGCAGAAGACAAAGCTTGAGTCTCGCAGTTCTGCGGGTCGCAACTCTAGCACGTATCCTCTGGGTAAATCTGAATATTGTTGTTATTTAGAAAGAGTAAACTAAATCACTTCATCGGGACTGCTTCACAGACAGTAACTTATTATTTAGTCATGACGTGTTAGTCTCATTCCAGAAAGCCATTATCACAGCCTCCGGAACAGGTGACAGGCACTAATACATCTTCAATACATGCTTCTTGAATTAATTTAGGATATGATAAAAAATGTGTGCCTTTGATCTGTAAGCTGTTTAGAACACCTATGCTATTATATGTGACTATTTCATGGTTTATGAGTATTTGCAAAACTTTAATTTGACGCTCATACAAAATAATCATAATTTTAGGTTCCTTGAAATCGCCCCGAAGAACTAATACTAGAGAGCGTCGTCGTTCAGCAGGTGATGAGCACGGGCTGGCGCAGCAACTCAACATGTTTGTCCGAACACGCACTGACTCCGGCAAACAGCTTAGTGACGCGGTCAGTATACTGAGAGAGTTTGGTAGTTCATCAATGTTTAGAATTTTGGTTCGTTAATTCTTTTCCCTGCAATATATTTTGAACCTGTGGAAACTAAACTCCTGTTTTTCCAAGGATAAAGGCTTTTATTGTTAACACTGCTTAATTTTGTATTTGTCATATTTTTTGACTTTAGAATGATGTAAATGGGTATCATACTCACAATTTGTTAGGGTTTTTTTGTCAAGTAAAGTTCAATAAACATGAAAAATAGTCTTGTAAATAGTTTACAATATTTGCTTGAATCTTAGTAAATAAATCCTTAACACTTTTGACTTCTACATTTTTTGGATTAGTTTTTAAACTTTCCTTGAAAAATTAAGGTCACATTAGTCTTATGAAAGTTCATTATATTTTTAGAATAGTTTCTTATGCAGTCGTTGAGCTCAATTTGAAGGTTTTACAAAAGTTTTATTTAAATGTTACCACTGTCTCACTTTAACACTATCATGTGTTGAATGACCTTGGTCTTATACCAAACCCTAAACTGAGGGGCTTGGACCATGAAATTTGATGGTGTATTGGAGGTACAATGTGTGTTGATAGAAACAGATCTCTCTCGACGAGACTTCCCCCACCACTCGCTCCGCCATTAAAACTCTACGGCGATGTGCGAGTAGCGCAGATCTAGTCCCCGTAAACTGCGTGGTCACGCGAAGGCGCTCTCGTAACGACCAATGGGTGAGCAAATAGCTCCCCATAGAGCCTGAGCTTTTTCACTTTGGTTTTGTACATAAACTGTAGTGTTAGGCTTACTCGCTTTTTATTTGTCTTAGGCTACATTCTCTTTACTTGATAAGTTGGTCTCTTGGTAAAAAATCTGTAGCACTTAAAAATTAACAGTTAAGTGTATGAGTAGATTACTTTATTTTACTTTATTTAATTTGCATTTTCCACCTCAAGAGCAATAGGGTTAAAGTCAATGAGTGTTTTTGTCTCAAAACTTCACAAACCAAGGTTTCGTACACCTATAATTAACTATCCCAGTCTTTGTGCAACATAGGTCTTTGGTATTTTATCGCATTATGTATTCTACTTATATTAGTGTTACGACTATTTCTTAACATACATGCAAGTAGTTCGATCATTTAACTTGTTCAGCTCCGGTTTTTTTTGTGATGTTGTATATTGTTTATTAATTTTGTTGTACGCTTTTTTAAATATAAAGATGCGAAACTATAACAATTAGTATAAAAGTCTTGTAACACACTACTGGTCTTGATGTTTGGTTAAACTCACCGTCACTAACAACGAACTCCAACCTAATGTTTGAGTGTAAAAATATATATACATGTCAGTAAATGTAATAAATGTCCAATAATTTTTTGGGTTAAAATGTAAAAAATATCACATGATTTTTGACTGTTTTTTTCTTACTTGAGCTTAGTTTGGACTTTGGAGCCATTATCAATCTTAAGCTAATAAAAGCTGTTTCCAACACCCACACATTATCTTGTCTCAAAGTATTTTTAAGGTATCTTTTTTTAAACAAAAGTATTCCTGTATTTATGAGTGTTTTATAAATATTACCTTACTTTTGCCCAAATATATACTTTCAATTTGTTGTTACAAATACTGTTTAGGTGCGTGCTCAATGATACATTTTTGTGCATTAATTATTTCATGAACATCTACTGTTAAATCAATAATTGCTATTTGATTAGAGTAACACATACATTGGCATGCATATTACATTATTGTTTTACAACATATGCATGTGGTTTTTTGTACAATTGGTAATTTTTTAAATCTTGTATTTTGAAACTTGTCTTGCCCAACCAGATAATCTCTGCCCTTTAATTTTTTTCTCAATTGTTGTGTATTTAATACCTATTCAGTTGGGGGTTTCCTAACTTTGTCTGATTTCAAGTTGTAACTATACGATTATATCATTTTGTATCCTATCTCTTTTTGTAACCTTTTTTTTAAGATAGCAGCTCAATCAAAAATTAAATAAACGGTACCAGCAATCTAACACATACTTTCTCCCATTAGCTTGTCAACAACCTTTATCATGCGATGAGAGCGATGAGAGTAACTATGATATTTAATAGATAAAATTACATAAGTTGCATTAACTTTTGAACTGTAACTTTTACAGGAACGGGAGTTGCACTATTATGAGTACCATATCAGTATTTTTTTTTTCAAATCCATTTTTCAGTTTTTTCATGGGTTTTTATGAGAAAATAAAATAACATAAGTTACAGTAACTTTTGAACTGCAATTTTACAGAAATGGGGAGTTGCACTATGTTGTTAGGAATTATAAGGACCATCACATACTAATTTTAATCAAAACCGGTTTTTTTTTCAAAAATATGATTTTTTATTTTTTTATTTTATCCATTTTTAATGGGAAAATGACATAATTAACAATAACTTATGAACCGTAATTTTTACAGGAATGGGATTTTTACTATTTTGTTCAGAATTTAAAAAACAGGGTGTCTAGTAGTCGGGAAAATCGGGAAAGTCGGGAATTAGTATTGAATTTCAAAATGGTCTTGAAAAGTCGGGATTTAGTCTTGAATTTGATTTCAAAGTCGGGAATTTTCATAATTTTGCCGCGATCGTCGTCTTGCGTTTACGTAACCGCGAAAGCCAGTGATGATGATGTCTACGCGGCATCGGGAAATGTTCACGATTTTGCCGCGATAGTAGACGACGGCGATGACGTTTCCGTGACCGCGGTAGATGACGATGACGTTTCCGTGACCGCGGGAGACGACGATGATGTCTACACGGCCGCGGGAAATGTTCATGATTTTGCCGTGATCGCGGACGACGACGATAACGTTTCCGTGACCGCGGGAGATGACGGTGATGTCTAAACAGCCGCGGGAAATGTTCACGATTTTGCCGCGATCGCGGACGACGACGTTAACGTTTCCGTGACCGCGGGAGATGACGGTGATGTCTAAACAGCCGTGGGAAAAGTTCACGATTTTGCCGCGATCGCGGACGACGACGATGACGTTTCCGTGACCGCGGGAGATGACGATGACGTTTACGTGACCGCGGGAGACGACGATGATATCTGCTCGGCCGCGGGAAATGTTCATGACTTTGTCGCGATCGCGGGAGATTACGATGACGTCTCCGTGACCGCCGAAAATGACGATGACGTTTCCGTGACCGCGGGAGACAACGATGACGTTTCCGTGACCGCGGAAGACGACGATGACATTTCCGTGACCGCGGGAGACGACGATGACGTTTCCGTGACCGCGGGAGACGACGAAAACGTTTCCGTGACCGCGGGAGACGACGATGACGTTTCCGTGACCGCGGGAGACGACGAAGACGATTCCGTGACCGCGGGAGACGACGATGATATTTGCTCGGCCGCGGGAAATGTTCATGATTTTGTCGCGATCGTGGACGACGACAATGACGTTTCCGTGACCGCGGGAGATAACGATGACGTTTCCGTGACCGCGGGAGACGACGATGATGTCTACACGGCCGCGGGAAATTTTCATGATTTTGCCGTGATTGCGGACGACGACGATCACGTTTCTGTAACCGCATGTCTAAACGTACGGTACGCGGAAGATTTCATGATAAAAAAAACAAATTTGCTAGTTAGAATTTTTTATTGCTGCATTATTTCTTTACTTGAAATCACCACATTATCATAATACTACTTAATGACAAAGACAGTGGTTGGTGTAGTATTATTCAGAAAATTTTGTTAAGCTATAACAATTGGTACCGGTATCAAGAATCGAGAATCGATACATTTTGGTATCAACAACCACTAATTGTTGAAAAAACTAGTCTTGAAAAATCTGGAATTAGTCTTGAAAAGTCTGGAATTAGTCTTGAATTTTATAATGGAAATAAACTAGACACCCTGAAAAAAGCTGTAGGATACTAAGTTTTTATCAAAGTCGTTCATTTACAAGAAAATCAGTGTTTCAAATATTTTATGGGTTTTTATGAGAAAATCACCATTACAAAAAGAATTAATAAACTCCTGGAGATACCATGAATTAGAACCTACATACCAAATTTCATCAAAATCGGATCATAGGTGTAGTCTTTAGCTTTGAACACATATAGACAGAACACACACACGTACAGACATCCCTTGAAAAGCACTTTTTTGAATCCAAAGGGACCCAAAATGGATATATCCACTCAAAACTCCACTCATAAATTTTGATGAAAACAATCCTTTCTCCATATACTATGTAAAGGGGGAGAAAGAAAAAAGTTATCCCTATAATATACTTTGCAAACATTTTATGCAAATAAATAACATAGGCAATGTATTAACTAGTTAATAATTTATTTTTTAACTTATTATGTATTATCATTGACTATTGAATACAGAAGAAGACATCCCATCTATATAGATCAGCTGTCGCCAATTTTTTACTAAAAAAAGAATGTAGTTGTGTGAGCCAGTCACAGATTGCGCTAGTATCTAAAACTCTATTTTGTACCTTATTTTTCGTTACTGACATAGTTGCTGGGTCACAACAGTTGCTATAGCTCATAATGAGTCATTCCATCAGTTTGACTTGGTAAAAACCATCATGTAATCGGCAGAAATCAGTAATTTAGATCAGCGCAATCGGTAGGTGGCTCACATCAACCAAGACAAATTTTATTAAAAACCTGGCTACAACTGTAACATGGAGATGGAATGTCTAGTTAAATAGACTAGTGTTCCTGCCCAATCCAGAAGCCAATTTCAAATCCACCAATAAAAAGACTTATAGTCATAAAATTATTCCAATTCAAGGATTGATTCTCACAACTAATCTCACCTGTAATTTTCCGAGCTACTACAACCCATGTGTGACGATTTCAACATTTATTTTCATGTATCAAGTTTTGAGAAAGATTGTGTGTAGGTTGTACAAAGTATTAAATGCTTAAACACCTACTTTTAGAGAAGTTACTTGTATAATCATATTCTAGTCAATGAACCCTGTCCAGCCTATGATCCTTAGTTAACCCCCGAGTGGTCTCTTGATTTTTATCACACATTTAGTGTCTTTGGTCTGTGAGACCGTTTTAGATTTTTTTTTATTCTTTGTATACAACTATAAAAAACTGTGTAAATTATTACTCCTATATATGTTTACATTTGTATGGGGTTTATCGTGAAATAAAACCCCTCTAAGTGTTGGACCATCACCATTGCTGGCACTCTTGTATTACAGTTTATTGTTAATGTTGACAAGTACTTGACTTGTAATCAAATCTTTTAAAGTGTTGTTAAAACGAAACCTGAGAGTGAGAGAAAATTAATGTAACATTTAAATGTTTGCCTCATATAAAATTACAATATGACAAAGAAATAATTTTAATTGTTTCATTAGATGGAAGGTCTCCTAAAAGTACTTGTTTACCGATCCTTCTGATAATCCTACTGTTGGTATAAGTTACACAGTGTTTGCACTTTGGTGTGATTTATATTATGCACAGTGCAATTAAATCTAAATTCCTGAATTATTGTTTTAAAATTATTAGCGCTAATCATCGTTGAGAGTTTACACCTATCATGTGACAGGTGTATACATTCACTCTTTAATGTAAATTTCACATTTTTAATCAAATTGATTTGTAAGTTTAGTCGGCTCCACTCAAAATATCTGTATGTCTGTAACTTGCAGGACTTGTTACAGGAGATACTAGAGCAGGTGACAGTGCTGAACCTAGACACTGGAGAGAGAGTGCCACTGAGCATTGCTGAGGACAAGCTGCCTCAATGTATCAACCCACTGTCACTACACATCATGAGGCTCACATCAGAGTACGTCAGCAGCACCAGTCTAGACAAGGAGAAGGAGAGTGATGAGGAGAGTGTGGACAGCAAGAAGAGCTGTACAGTGGCGGAGGAACCTGGCAGGGTACAAACTTCACCCATATTTTAAACATTTATTATTATTGGTGTGTCAAAACCGAATCCAATCTCCAAGCCACCCAAAATTAGGAAAGGTTTTGATTTTAAGATTCAATTGGCAGGTTTTGAGATTCAGTGCAGAAATATCTGTCATTTTTGGCCCTATTATTATTGATAACATAAATACGTCGCAAGTCTCCTGCCAAAGACATAAGCCTTCTAGACATCGGTCCTCTATCTTCACTAGTGCCGCTGTGAAGTGATAATTTGATTGCATAAAAACATTTATTATAACCTCTATTTTTTGTAACCTGAACCAGGTAAATAAAAAAAACTTTTTGCCTTTAGGTTTTGAGATCCAAACTTTCGATTTTCAAGATTCCATTGTCAAAGTCTCTGGTTTCGAACATTACAAATTTTTTTAAGTTATTAATTTACATAGAAAAGCAACATATTAAGTAATAAACATATTTAAACAAACACATTTACATAATAAGTATTTACATATTATTTATGAAGAGTGAGAGAGATGTCTTTTGAAGCTCTACTGGCTTTAGCCCTATGAACAAGGACAGCTCGGTCCAGTTTCAAACCACCAAAACATTTTTGACTTCTCAGGATCGAACCAGCTAACATTTGATTGCTGGTCAAGCACTGTAACTACTAGGTTACCCTGGGCTATTTCTGAACATTTTGATTCTGGACGAGTCGTAAGGAATCAAAACACGAAGAACTCATTGTCTTCATCACTTACTCTCAGTGGTCATCTATACCCGAAAGATTTTGGCCTTACTAGTTAGCTCAATTTCTTACTATTCTGTGTGGCTCTAAAAATGTATTCTCATGTCTTACCACCTGAATGTTGCTCTTCATTTGTTTTTCCCCTCTTTAGGTGTCCTAAGAGTATTCTTCCATCGGACTTTACTTGCATTTACATAGTTATATATTTACTTCCATCATCTCAGTTTCAAAACAATAACTATAACCAGACCTATGAAAACTCCCTAGGTGTCTTATCAAGGCCTACTTCATTTGCAAGCTATGCCTGCTGTTAACAAATTTAATTATCTGAATTTTCATATTAAGGAATGTCAGTTTATCAAGTCAAACCGTGTCAAAGATGATCAAACTGAATTGAGATAATAAATCTTATTATCCACTGTGTTTTATAGATGAGAAGGAAGACAGCACAGCTGAAGAGGCTGATTGGCTCCACAGTGATGAAGACAGTCCACAAAGCCAACACGATTGCACACAAAGTGTCGCGACACAGAGATGACGGATTGGAAGTGGTGGACGAGATGTGTGTGTCAGGAGAGCAATACATCAAGCTCAAGGCTTCCAACAGCCACAAGGGACCTTACGAGTTTGACTGTCTACAACACGTACAGGTAATTCTACTAGTTTTGTTTCATGTTGTGGTTTTTATTATGGAATACCCATAAATAATACTAAAAAGCAAAGTAGTAGTCATCTCACAGGCCTGATGTTTTTAGGATGGCTAGTTTTGGGAAAAAATGCAATTTTTTATGAGCCAATTGAAAGTCAATCCTCAATTCAAGTTTAAAATGAGGAATCATTGCAAAAGTTAATTTTGATACCACCAACTACAAATGTATCGTCTGTTCACCTAACCAGCCAGAGTATGTTGTGTGCAGGACTTGGAGCACGTGGGTCCAGTGTGGTGTATGAAGTTCTCCCAGTGTGGACGACTGCTGGCCACTGCAGGACAGGACAAAGTGCTGCGGATATGGGTCGTCCGAGATGCTTACACCTACTTTCAGGTCAGTTCAATCAATACATTTGCAAAGTATAAACTACAAAATCTTGATGTGATTTCTCTTGCATTGTGATAGAAATCCAGAGAGCTAGAGTCCTAGTCCAGAGCTTTTTGATACACAAAAATTCACGTAGTGTTTTGTAATGAAACTTCTTCAGTTCACCCTTAAGACCCTAGCCCCCAAACCCTTGTCAATACTATACCAGATTTTTTGACAGCATGTTCTTTTTTATCTTACTTTTCAGATTTTAAGATAGATTTGTATATAAAATATTTGTATCGTGCCGTGCAATGTGTTTGTTATTCAATACCTTTGTCTGACAGGATATGAGGACCAAGTACAATGCTGAGAAGGTGTCTCCCACTCCTTCGCAAGAGTCTCTAGTCTCACAACATTCAGCCGAGGACCCCAACCTTCTGAACGAGCTGGCCAATGAGAAAGCCCCGTTCATGCCCCGTCCATTCTGCACATACACTGGCCATACATCCGACCTTCTGGATGTATCCTGGTAAAATGATATACAGATCAATAGCAAAGTGTATATGTAACAAGCTCTATTCCTTATATGACTGGGAATTGTGTTCTCAGTTATGTTGTAATATCACTTAATCTTTACTGTAATTCGTTGATTTTTGTGGATAATTTCTTGTATCCTTTCTGTAATTAGCAATGACATGTTTGGTACCAAATTGAATCTCTTACTCCAATCCTTGAACTAAAAATAAATAGTTTTGGGTCAAATTTGGATGGGTGTAATAGTAATTCTGTATATTGTTGACTGGGATAGTTAATAGATATAGGATGTTTGTTAGCTATACTGTAAGTAAATCAACCAAACTTCAAAGTTTATAAAATTATATTATACTAAATATACAGTGAATTTAATGAATATTGTAGTGGGACTCCAGGTTCAGGACTGAATTTTTATGGATTCAAACACAACATTAAAAAAATGCCTGTATTCGACACAGTACACGGGAGATCTTAGCAACTAGACTTGAGCAACTTGAAGGATTCCTTTCACTTGTCTGTGTAATTTCCTCAGTTTTAATGTACTTCAATTGTATTGTTTTACCGGTTTACTGTTACTACATTTACTTGGTTACTGTTAAAAGGTCAAAGAACTACTTTGTGTTGTCGTCTTCAATGGACAAGACAGTGAGGCTGTGGCACATATCTCGCAAGGAGTGTCTCTGTTGCTTCCAACACATAGAGTTTGTGACGGCCATTGCCTTTCACCCGCGCGATGACCGTTACTTCCTCAGTGGCTCACTGGACGGCAAACTGCGGCTGTGGAACATCCCCGACAAGAAGGTGGCCGTGTGGAACGAAATAGAGGGCCAGACCAAGCTCATCACTGCAGCTAACTTCTGCCAGGTAGTGCAAGTTAAATATTCAACCTTTTCAGGTTAGTTTTGTTTAAGGAAAGGCTCTAGGCCAGGATTTTAAATTGTAGAAAAAGGAGGACAGCAGCTAGCTTACCTTGAAAGTATGGGTAGGCCATAGAACAAGTAGAAAAACAGTTTGCACACAATATTTCGTCCCCTAAGGGACTTTGTCAAGTGTAGAGAGAGTTTATAAATTCAACCTTTAAAATAAAATAAAATAAAAATAAAATAAAATTCAACCTTTTCAGTGTGCTGTTATGCTAGTATTTAATTATATGTTTGTGTTTGGTGGGTTGTTCCAGATCACTGAAATACATAAATGGAGGAAATATCTCTTTAGTAGAGTAATCCCTTGAAATGCATTTGAGAACAGGTGTCGACTCCAAATTAGCGCTCTTAAGGCTGAACGTGGATGACCTTATTTTAGTCATCTTCTGCTGTAGCTTGACAGATTAAACATTTTATTTGATCCTCTTATGTTGAAGATGAATACTGTTCTCCACTTGATGTCCTACCTAATTTGGGTTGGTATTTATGTTCAACAACTCTCAGTTCTCCCTGTTTTCCATCTGTCTTCCATCTGTCTTGGTCTTGGATTCGGAAAAAAACTTCCCTTAACACCCCAGGTTAAAGTTAATTTTTCCAATCCATACAACAGGATAGGAATATGATTAATGAATGATTTGTTTCAGAATGGAAAGTTTGCAGTGGTAGGCTCGTATGACGGCAGATGCATTTTCTACAACACAGACCAACTCAAGTACCACACACAGATACACGTAAGGTCCACCAGAGGCAAGAACTCTACGGGACGAAAGATTAGTGGCATAGAACCCATGCCTGGCGAGGATAAAATACTGGTGAGAGTTTAAATATCTCTGCGACAGTGTAGTTTGTTGTTTTCTATTTGAATTGATTGGCAATAAAATGCATATACTCAAATTAGCTCTATATAAGTGTATCTCAAATCACTTTTAGGATGCTAGAACATCACATAAACTTATGTGATTTTCTTATATGGTTAAAGTGATATTTTATTGACATCTTATAAATAGACAAAAATATAAAACAAGTTTAAAACTTCTTCAGAAGGTAGATTGTTGAGAAGTATTAGTTAAGTTTTTAAACTGTTGTAGCCTTCAGTGCGGTAAATTGTGGCTAACTTACAGAAACTTCTGCAAAAGCATGAATGTATGATTTTATTCAACCAACATACAAAATTTAGATTTTATCCGGCAATTTGTATTTGAGTATAATATATATTTTGTTGAAAGATATTTATGGAAAAGGTTATTAATATTTTGTGGCATACAGGAGCAGGCTTACCTCTTCTACAAAATCCGTTGAACAATATGTTATGTCAGGTAACATCGAATGACAGCCGCATCAGACTCTACGACCTGCGAGATCTCAACGTCTCATGCAAATACAAGGGATACGCCAACTTCAGCTCTCAGATCAAGGCTTCGTTCAGCCACGATGGGAAGTACATCATCAGTGGGTCAGAGAACCAATGCATCTACATCTGGAAAACACACCACGACTACTCCAAGTTCTCCTCTGTGCGGCGCGATCGCAATGACTTCTGGGAGGGAATCAAGGTGATATATCAGTGGCTTTAAATAAAAATTAAATTGTACAACTTCTACAGTATTACAATAAGATGCCTACTACAAAAATTAAACACTTTTCATTGGTCTTTAAACAACAGAATAGTTAGTCTGTAGTAGTAAAACAATAAAATATTTTATCAAAAATTTACCCATCCTCCTTAAATACTGTAAAAACCTCAAAAGTTTTGATTTAATATTCTTATGCATTCCTATACATAAGAAACATAATAACATTGCAACATGAATAACACATAGATCAATAACACAGACTTGCATGTTATATTAATAAAATCTTTGAGGAATGAAATTAGGGTAGCTCAGGGTATTAGGTAATTGAATCTGATATGCGAGCACTAGTGTTCTTATAGTACCACTCGTCCCGTTCAACCAATGGCAGTGTATACAGCTTAATGTACAGTATTGCATTGGCTTATTTATGTACTTACTTCTCATTCGGTGCCATGCACCATTGTTTTGTGTTCAAAAAACAATACAAATTTTGTTATTTATGTTCTCATGGAGGAAAGTAAATTTCATCTTGCAAACTATTTATGCTCTATTATATTCATTGACTCATACTCTTCCTCCTAGCTACACGCAAGCCCGCATTTCTAAAGTCTGAGTAGTCGAGTGTTAATAGTTCAAGTCCAAGCAGAGTCTATTGTGGCATTGGCCTATCAATCAACGATGCCATCTAATTATAATACAACACACCAGAAATACAAACCACAATCAAAGGCCACATTACAACAAAACCAGGGCTTAGGTCGTTCACTGAGATAAACATAATTAAAATTGCCAAGGGAGTATAACACAAAATGTCTGTTTGATTCACAGGTACACAATGCTGTAGTCACCTGTGCAGTGTTTGCCCCCAACCCTGATGTCATCATACGTCAGCTGGAGGGCCCAGAGGCACAAGGATATGTGCTCGTCAGTGCAGACTTCAACGGCAGCATCAAAGTGTTCCTCAACAAGACCCGGCCTAAGCACAGTTCACTGCCAGCCTCAGCGCTTGCATAGCAGTCACTTGTCTCAGACCCACTACCATTAGATCAGTCATAAAAATTATTTACCGTAGCTTTATATTTCTTTTTTATAGTTTGATCGCTTTCTTGTTACCGTTAGATTTGGAAAGTTGATTCAGGTGAGATGATAGATTAAGCCATTCCAGTTTGGTAGATTTTTGGTAAAACCATACAGTTTGTTGATGCAATTGTATATATACATACTGCTTAGTGGTTGCGCTTTATTCACTTTTTTTTTATTCGTGATTATTATCGTAAATATATAAATATACCGTAAAGATGTGTGAGGATATAAAAGCAGCTCATGCCAAAGTAAACTATAGTATCCTTAAAATTCAACTATCTTTTTCTGTTGCAGTATTATTTTTTATAACAGTTTAAAATAATACCAATTGTATACCGCTGTATACTTGTTATACCAATTGTATACTTTATTATTAGCTAAATAATAAAGATGTCGACTCAACTAGGTGCCACACATTCCTCTTGAATGGGAGTCAAATTAAAAATGTATATGTTTTTAGATATTTTGATGGTGAATCTTCAAAAGTCAAAGGATCTTTTTCTCCAAATGATTTTTTATTGATGTATTTCTATTACTAGCCTCACCAATGAGATGCTATCCTCACCCTCAAAATATGTTCTGTTGATTCTTTTTATGTTTACAGTTTGTGGCTTAGCATTTTATAGGTTCAAACTTTAGTTATTTAATAAATGAATATTTATTTTAAATCGTCTACTGATCAGAGATAAATTATTTTTATATAATCATACTTTCATTATACAACTATACATTCTTATTTTATGGTTTTAAATGTGCTGTAGGTAAATGTTTTTTTTACAATTCAATTAATTTGGATATCAGATTTATGAAGAGATAATTCAAATGAGTTATACCATTTTTATATATACTGTATAGTAATTTGTAAATATTTATAGAAATTAAATCAAAAGACTGCAGTTTGTAAAAATATAGTATGTAACATATATTATGGAGGTTGAACTAAATCATTGATAAGACTGGAAATGTATATAGCACTGCATGGATTTTATATAGAATTTTGCTTATTTGATTAGCGAAGCCTAAAGGAAGGGTTATGTCAGTTTGAAAACATTGTACCGTAGTCAGTCATTTGAATTAAAGAAATTGTACCAAGGTTAGAACTTTTATTGTGAGTTGTTACTATTTTAGAAATTTCCATTTTAAAACTTTTTAGATTTTACATTGTTTTGTTAAACTCATTTTATGGGGTTTTGCTAAATGTTCTGTGCATGATTAATACTAACGTTGTTATGACATGAATATAGAGTTGCGTATAAATTAGGCTGAATTCTCTAAAATTTCAATGTTTTGCCTATTCTTGGTTTCCTTTATTTGAGATAGTTTGTAGATACTGAAGCTAAATATTAGGGATGGACGGGTCCCGAAATTTCGGGAATTTTTCGGGAAAAAAATATTCCCGATTATCGGGACGGGATTACATTTGACGCGGGATTTTTCGGGACGGGATTTGGTCCGATCGTCGGCGATTTTTCCGCTTCGCGAGTGCCGATAACGCCGTTATTGCGAGCGATAGGTCCGCGAACGCAGGAGACGAAGTCATACTGACGATCGCGCCGTGACCGCGGAGTCCTACCGACGATCGCGCCGTGACCGCGAGTCATACCGACGATCGCGCCGTGACCGCGAGTCATGACGACGATCGCGCCGTGACGGCGGAGTCATGCTGACGATCGAGCCGTGATCGCGAGTCATACCGACGATCGCGCCGTGACCGGAAGTCATACCGACGATCATGCCGTGACCGCGAGTCATGAGGACGATCGCGCCGTGACCGCGAGTCATGACGACGATCGCGCCGTGACCGCGGAGTCCTGCTGACGATCGAGCCGTGATCGCGGGTCATACCGACGATCGCGCCGTGACCGGAAGTCATACCGACGATCACGCCGTGACCGCGAGTCATGACGACGATCGCGCCGTGACCGCGGAGTCATGCTGACGATCGAGCCGTGATAGCGAGTCATACCAACGATCGCGTCGTGACCGGAAGTCATACCGACGATCATGCCGTGACCGCGAGTCATGCCGACGATAACCCCGTGACCGCGGAGTCATACCGACGATCGCGCTGTGACCGCGAGTCATACCGACGATCGCGCCGTGACCGCGGAGTCATGCTGACGATCGAGCCGTGTTCGCGAGTCATACCGACGATCATGCCGTGACCGCGAGTCATGCCGACGATAACCCCGTGACCGCGGAGTCATGCTGACGATCGCGCCGTGACCGCGAGTCATGACGACGATCGCGCCGTGACCGCGGAGTCATGCTGACGATCGAGCCGTGTTCGCGAGTCATACCGACGATCATGCCGTGACCGCGAGTCATACCGACGATAACCCCGTGACCGCGAGTCATGACGACAATCGCGTCGTGACCGCGAGTCATACCGACGATCGCGCCGTGACCGCGAGTCATGACGACGATCTCGCCGTGACCGTGAGTCATACAGACGATCACCCCGTGACCCGCGAGTCACAAGTTACTATAGGTACCTGTAAATTGTTACCCATTTTTTGGTTTTTATAGATCAGTGCCACAAATGGTAAAAATTGATTTTGTATGTCTTTTTTTGGTAACTGCAATACAGTACTTTCTTTTTATGCACAGAAAAAAATCCCGTCCCGTCCCGTCCCGAAAATCGGGAAGGAAATAAAAATCCCGTCCCGTCCCGTCCCGAAGTAAAAATTCAATCCCGTCCATCCCTACTAAATATGATAATTATTAATAGGAAAACTTGACAACAACGTGTTAAATACCTTAAGTTGTAACAGTGAATCATGTATTTAAGCAGTAAAACATTAAATTTATAAATTTTAATCGTATTTTGTATGGAAAATGTTTTATCTCACGTTTTCAAATCTAATTTCCAGTTTGTCGTTGTATTATCTTATTTTATTATTACTTTATTTTAATAATATTTATTTGTTGTTATTTTTTTTTCTTGTTGGTTTCTATAAATTATATAAATAAATTGAGGCTGTAGCTGCTAAATGGGACTATCTCAAAAACTGAAGTTTAGAGGTTAATGTTTGGTCGTCAGCGTTTGCAGCTGTCTGCTGAATTTTTATTCCAGGATTAGTTTTGCCAACAGTGTTATTTGGAGGCTTCTGATTGGCTGAGGGAACACCATTACCGCAACGATACGGTTTGAAGCCATCAGCCTCGGTGGTGTAGTGGATAGAGTGCTGGGATGATAAACTGAAGGAGCAGGGTTCGAATCTCACCTGTGGCACTATTTTTTTTTGTCTTAAATTTTTTCATTTTCAGCAAGTTTAATTGGTTTGGTTAGGTTATGACAGTTTAATTTAATAATTAAAACATTATAAAATTGAATTTGAGCCATTTATAGTTTTATTTCATAAACAGAACTATTTTTTTTATTAAACCTTCATTCGATTTTTCATTATGAGCAAGTCCGGTTAGTTTGGTTAGGTTATGACCGTTTAATTTTATAATTAAAAGAATTATAAAACTGAATTTGAGGCATTTATATTATTTTATTTTACTAGGTGAAACCCGTCGAAATCGACGGTTACTTTCAAGGCTTATGCTAATTCATCTAACTGCGATAAATTGAGTGAAATTATACATATTTTGAGCATTTAGCATTGTTTAGAGATTAATAAGTGTACAAACAATAATGATATTAATTGTGTTAGTTACCAAATATGGTTGATTATTCAATGAATAAAATATTTCCCATACTGTACATCATCGGAGTTATTATTAGTGTTATCTGGTAACAACCTTTGGAAGAACCTTTAAATAGTATTAAAATCGTATTGGTGGATCTTTTGTAGCTAACACGTTCACTCCCTTAAAGACTTCCGTGATTTAATCAGTGTAATGCAGATTAATCTATGATTTTTTTTTTTTATCTGTTTGTTGGGAAGACAAGTTCTAACTTCAAAGGGAGGTATATCCGTTACAGTTTAAGTTTGATTTTGCATTCGTCACGTCGCGTCAGTTCATATCGTACTTCTGTGCCAATGAATAACCCTCTAGCACAGTTTTGAGAAATTGGTTATGGGGTTACTGTTAAAGCTGGAATTCCTTGACATGGGGGAAGTCAGTTAGTTGTCTCAGCCTTATCAATTAGATACAGTTGTCAATATAATCTCTCTGCGGAATGGTAGGTGTAGTGGAATATACATGAAGTGAAGTTGGCTTTTATTCTTGAACTGTTAGGGGCCTCCTCATTTATATGGTCGTGTGGCTTCATTGGCAACAAATAAGGCAAATTACATAGCAATGTGGCATTTCCAAAAGGCAAAAATTAATGTATTTACCACACATCACAGCTGTTACGTAAATATTGACGTTTACATGCATTGTTAATCAACGTATCTTATAAAGGATGATGTGATCTAGTTTAAAAGGAATATGACCTTTCTGTCATGACAGTAGCTGCTTAAATAGTATTTACTCATTGGGCCATTTTTACAGCCAAAATGTCAAGTTATTTTCAATAATGTTACCAACCCAGTGGGCTATGGCCCGTAATATAGGCCACTGCAAATAATTCGTCAAGATAGGTACCATTTTACGATTTTAGGCAAGGTTTCTGTGTTTGGATGTTATTAGACACGGTAAGAGCACAACAAAATTCTTCTGCAGATGAATTATCTGTTGGAGAAATATGAGTCGAATTATAAATGTCACAATAAGTAACCTCTCTGATAAGTCAGCAGTATATTGCAGTTTTTCAGCTTAATGACTTTCTAAATCATGCACTTATTTCTATATAAATATTGTAAAATGTTTTATCCAGTTGCTGTAAACTACTATTAATTTAACAAAATATGGACACGGCTCAAATGGGCACCGTGCCCTTCTGCACTTGTATTATTTTGTATTGTATTACACAATCGAAGATTTTTCCAATGATTGAAAACATGTATGACAATAATCTCATGAACTTACGATGATCCGTCTAGAATAATATGATTAAATATAGGCAAAAGTGGTAACAAAGGCAGACACCAACCCGTAAAAGAGATATAAGATAGTTCAATAAGAAATAATTGTAAGAGTTACTGTGATAAAAGATTTTCCATTGATTTCGTAATGAAACGTTATATTGCAAAACATGACATGATACAGAAGTTTTAAAATCAGAAAATAACATTGCAAATACTTCTTTTGGACAACTCAGTAACTCCCAATTAATGTGTGTTGTTTAAAATACAATTTTAAAATTAACAGCTGTTTCATTAAAAAGTATTATCCACATGGCCAAAATGTAAACAAATCTGTGAAGGGATCTTTAAAGGCTTCTGGGGCAGAGCCCTAAGCGAATTTACTTTGTTTTTCTTTTGATAACTCATCTACAGACAAGACCTTTCTTTGGACACCTCTACCAAGTTTATACGCCCAGCCGTTCTCTCAAATTAGTGAAGACAAAGTTTCCAGTTAAATATTTAGATTCCCCCATGTTAATCTTATGGGAGAAAACGCAACTTTGATGGAAGATCCTGCCCAAACTAATAAAGATTCCAAAAAACCAAAAACACTTTGCAAAAATACAGATCTGGGCCATTCTTTTGACACTTTAATCATCAAAATCGGTCCAAAAATGAGGGAGGAGTTCTGTTTACAAAAATCGGCTTAGCGTATTATATATATAGATAGATGAACAGAACTATTTTTTCTATAATTAAACCTTCATTGGATTTTTTCATTATCAGCACGTTTGTATAGTTTGGTTAGGTTATGACAGTTTAATTTCATAATAAAAAATTATAAAATTGAATTTGAGGCATTTATAATTTTATTTTATGAACAAAACTAATTTTTCAATTACTAAACCTTCATTTTAGTCAATCAGAAGCCTCCAAATGACACTGTTGACAAAACTTATCCTGAATAACAAAGTGTGCCAGCCGTCTATGATTAAAGGGCCTAGTGACACCAGCTGACTTTAAGAGTCATACCAACCAAACAAACTGAAATACAAACTTATCAAAGATTATACTAGAAGACATGAGGAAGCGAAATAGGGACTCTCCTCTAAAAGGGCCCGTCTCGACTTAGGCCCTTTTAGCAGCTACAGCCTCATAACACTTGACATATGTTTTGAATGAGGTAACGGTAATTAACAATTACATGTGCAATGTATTGGATACATTACCGTAATTTGCTTTGAGAAAAAATAGAAAGTAAGAAAACTAAAATGTTTTATTATTGGTGTTGTCATTTACAACTTTTCTTTGTCATTGTTTTAAGATAGAGACACACAACAAGGTTACAGAACCTTTGGTAAAGTCTAAAAGATGTAATATGCTATTTGCTAAAGAGGTTCAAAATCAAAAATATCACATCTTTTTTTTTTTGTAAAAAATAACCCAAAAGTTGCAGCATAATTCAATTCAATTGATTCTTATTCACTCTTACGTATTGTCACAATTAATAACATCAATACTCTTACTATACTTGTGTCGTCAGCAAACAAGAGTGATGAGCTCAATCACTGCACCACAATCATAAGAGTTTTAGAGGTTTGTACTGCTTTCCCTTAAAAAAAGTTAGAAATTTCTTCACTCAAAATACAAATGTCATAAACACTAACAAGGATGTGTAGTACAATAACTCGAGTAAAAATTATTCGATTTTGATGAAACTTGTACAAGCGTAATAACCTTTTTCTAGCAAGTTCACGAACCAGCATGATTGGACTATGGAAAAAGGGTTTTAAGGGGTAAAAAATGTCTTTCCTGTTTTTGACCCTCAAAACATAAAACACTAAAAATTTCTTTCCGACCCATTTTGAAGAGCTTAACCAGTTGGCCAAGACTTTTGGAATTGATCCGTGTAGCAGCCGCCTGACCTAATATTACGCCATTGACTATTGGATAGAGATTGTTGTATTAATAGTCAAAGATTACGCTGACATCATGTCCTGTACCTAACTAACACAAGTTTCTGTACAGTTAAATTAACATTGAAGTAAATTTCTTTTCGCCATACTACACTGTTTTAATAGACTTTCCAAGTATGAAACTAGTCCGGAAAACCTTACCGCCTGCTTATGGGGTTGCATTTCCTACTGTACTGTAATGAATTTTTACCAGGCACCAGCTGATTATAATTGCAATAAGTCAACAAATCAATAAACAAAAAGATGTCCTCTCTCAAAAGTTATGAGTAGTGAGTGATTGTTTAGTACTTTAGTCGGTGGGAATATATAACAGATTTGTACAGTTTCTTCTATTGTTAGGTTATTATAGAGAAGTATGGTGTAAAATATTGTTCGTCACTTGTCAAAAATGTTTTCACGTACTCGTCCGGTAAACACCTATTTTCCGGACTAGTAATGGATTGGACTGTTACAGGATAAAGTAACTGAAATATGAATCCCATACAGAGTTTACATTTTTCAACTTGTATACAATCTTAGAAATTAATTAATTTGCTATTGATAAATGCATGAGAATTTATATTTACTTTCGTATACACTTGAGTTTATATAGATGTGTACATTTTTTAGTGACAATAAGTGATATTGTTAAATAAAATTATACAATTTTATTTTTGACTAAAAAAATAGTTTTGTTAACTTTTGGGTGTGCATAAGTTTTTACATTAGGTACTTAGCTAGAGCTAAGCAGTTCCAAGCAAATCAAAGCACAAAGGTTTTATTGTATTGTGCTACATTTTAGAAATAACCATGTAAATATTGAATGAAATTTTCCAAAGTGTAAAATAAGATTGTACAGGTATCTGGTATACAATATATAAATATATTATTTTAATAAAATCATGTGATGATATTCAAATTTATTTAGAAATAAATTAATAGCAATAATTCAATTGTTGTTTTAAACCTGAATTTACCTCTTTTTCTATAAGATTAAACCCACTGTAAGTTTAGAAAGTAATTTATTTGGCTAGAGAGTACATACATGCTTAGGTATGTAAACCATGAAAATACGGAAGGAAAGGATTAAAAAATATTAAATGAAGCTCTTGTATTGTTAGGAAAGGTAACTTGGAGATTTTTTTGGAAAGGGATAGAATTCGGTTAGCTTACCTGAGAATGTTAGAGTCTAAGGTATTTTAGATACACTAAAAAACGTCAATACAACATAACACCTAAAAATGTATTCATTAAGTAACATCACCCATTTGTTATAGTATTCTGGTGAAGAAGGACTTCTTCAGAAAGTGAATTAATTGTTGTATTGTGTTCATAAATTCATTAAAGGTAGGCCAGCTGATGTGCCAGAGAGAGTCATTTGCACAAACCCCAAATGGACAACAGCAGGGTAAAAATGTAATCATCGCTTTATAGCACGTGCCTAGACACTTGGCGTCATTCTCGTAGCATCGTTTGTTTTTCTTTCATTTTATTTTGTTTTACATTTTCTTTTCTTATTGCTCTATTTAAACTCTTTAAATTCAATAACATTGTGTATGTAAAACTAAAAATTAAACTCTGACAACTGTTACATTTAAAATGTCTTCTGTTACAAAGTGCAAAGTGAAATGTATGGCCACACAAAATTCTACAAGATTTTCTTTGATGACTTCTAGAACTTCACTGTGCATTTTAAGATAATAACAAAACTATGTCAAAATTAGCAAAGACCTTGTAATTTTGAACCCAAATTAAATTTCATATTCATTACAGAACAGTCCACTTATCTATATATTAATACGCAAGCAGTTTTCTTTTCACAGTCATAACTCGATAACGGCTGGACGGATTTTAACGTTTTATGTGTCAAATTAACGGTATTCTTTACGTATATGTGCAAATACGTCTCAAAATGTTATGAAAGGGCATCACTTAAATACAGTTAAGGGCTAAAGTTTCGGAACAGTGGTGCTATCCGTCGTCATTGGATCAAACTTAATTTACTTTATTTACAACTAAACATATGGACATGGTTTTAAATAGTTCTAGGTTAATCACAGACTGCAGGACTTATTACTTCCAGAGTAAAGTCAGAATTATTTATATTTGTATTTTTACATCTGTTTATGAAGTTTGTTTCATTAATAATTTAAAGTTAGCAAAACTAGACAACAAATTGTTACAGTTTTGCTCTATTTAGAGCAACAGGTTATCTAGTTATTTTAAAAAGCCGTCTTTTTTAGTAAAGTTTAAGTTACTATAGAATAAATAATTTTGACTAAAATAATATCCATAAACAAGCAGACTACAAAAGTTTACTTATTCTCCATAAAATTATCATGGAAATTTTAAATTTGCAATTTTATTAATTTTTTATATAACCAATAACCGTGCACAAAATGACTGCTCTGATGAGGTAAGGAAATTTATCTCGCATGTCATTGACAAAGGTGAACCCAAATTTTACAAGTTTAATCAACCACTGCAGATGATCAATGTATTTTTCAAGAAAATGATTACAAAGAAACTAGAAGTAACATATTAATAGATTTCCATTACTTGTTCCTAGGTCAAGTAGTTAACATTCTTATGTATAAAATTATGTGACTTCCTTCCAAATTAACTAGTCTGGTGTTTGACATGAAGATTAACAACATGTCCATCAAAACAAACATCACTTCATTTGTGAACACAACAACAACGTAGGATATCAAAGCGAATAGCATTAATGTCATGACTGCATTTCCCACATACTTTACAATAGCTAAAGATGAGTTTGGTATAGACATGTGCTCCATAATTGCTTCTTCTAAATTTATATCCTTGGTTTTAATCAGTTTTATTTTTATACCATTTAATTTTTTGTGTAAATTGTGTCTGTGTGTCTCAGGAATAAGTTGAAATGGTTGTCTAGGTTTCATAGTAAAGATAGTTTGTTTACAATGAAATTAATTGATTGTAGTTGCAAATAAAAAAAAATTATTCATAGCCAAGGTTTTTTTTATAATTCAAGAGTTGAATTATTACTGCATTACTCTGCCAAGTAATTCAAGTTGACATCAAATTGAAAAGTGACAACTTAAATTGTTCAAGTACAAACCTCCATTGAGCGATTCACTCAATTTAAGAATATTTATTTTACTATCATCTGCATCTAGAGTCTAATCCAAATAAGTGTAGCGAGTTTCGTTCTAGATACTGTATAAAGTATAAATAACGTTTGATGAGAAGGGGATTGAATCAAAAACTTTATTATACTTAAATCAAATACTTTGTTTAATTTCTTTCAAAAATTGGGCATGTAAACAAACAAGCATATTATTTGTTTGAATCTTTAACACTGTTAATTAATTATGATTCATCCCAAATCAACACAAGTCTCATTGCATATCAGAATCCAATACTTGCATAACCAATAAAAATTAGCTTATCATCCATTGTTACACTATCAGATTAAATAATTGATTAGATATTCTTAGAATTACTCCATACATCCTGGAAGAGTGTACTGGTTGCAAGGTATAGTAAAATAGTTTATGTACATTTTTTTGTTAAAAATAGTTATTTGCTTAACTAGGGTGCAAAGTGCCACTTTGCACACTAGTTACACAAATAAATATTCTAAAATTGTTATCTTTTATATCAGTTATCTGTTAAACTAATACCTTATCCCTATTGTATTATGTACATTTGTTTGTTAAAAATAGTTATTTGCTTAACTAGGGTGCGAAGTAGCATTTTAGCTCCACTCTCATGTGCAGCAAAGTGCCACTTTGCACACTAGTTACACAAATAAATATTCTAAAATTGTTATCTTTTATATCAGTTATCTGTTAAACTAATACCTTATCCCTATTGTATTATGTACATTTGTTTGTTAAAAATAGTTATTTGCTTAACTAGGGTGCGAAGTAGCATTTTAGCTCCACTCTCATGTGCAGCAAAGTGCCACTTTGCACACTAGTTACACAAATAAATATTCTAAAATTGTTATCTTTTATATCAGTTATCTGTTAAACTAATACCTTATCCCTATTGTATTATGTACATTTGTTTGTTAAAAATAGTTATTTGCTTAACTAGGGTGCGAAGTAGCATTTTAGATCCACTCTCATGTGCAGCAAAGTGCCACTTTGCACACTAGTTACACAAATAAATATTCTAAAATTGTTATCTTTATATCAGTTATCTGTTAAAACTAATACCTTATCACTATTGTATTAGGTCTAGTTAGACAACTTTTAACATGAAAGGGGTTGTTTAGGGGAGGGGGGACATTTTTTTGTCCTAAGACGCTAGGCAGAGCCTGGGATTGTTTTTGACATTACTTTTAGGCTAGACCTATGGGTTGCGGTATTATCACTTAGATAAAATCCATTGGTGATTTGGCGGGATTTGAACCCAGGACCGAAGTAACGCACTCTAATCACTAGACTAGCTTGCTCCCCCGCTTTCATTATATGTGGTACTGTAACCCCTAACCTCAATTCTAAGAGACCTCCATGTTGGGGTGGGGGGGGGCATTGATGAAACGATAATTGAGCAAAAAAAAGTAAACACCCTTATGATTGTATCTGTTTTGGTCAGCCAACTTCCAATGACTATTACTATGTTCTTTAAAGGCTGCTTCCCTTAAAAACTCTTATCTAGTTTAAAATAGATAGGTATTCAATTTTGCCATAAAATTGTTAAATAGACTGTTTGGTTGAAGTGCACAATTCAACACACGTCATTGAACCTTTTGAACAATTTTTTAATCTCAGAAAGAATTCTTTAATGGATCATGTTTTTAAATAAATGAAAATGTATTTTTATTTAGGTAAACTAACTAATAACATTTTTTATACTACGAGTGCTTACTCGTAGTTACACGATTGTACATGCCTAAATTTTGCAAACAGTATGATTTAATCCAATCATTTTTGTAATATCTTCTGATGGTTCAAACTTTTGTAGTTCAGCCTAGGGTCTAGTGCTAAGGTGAATGAACTCTGAATGCAGTGTTCAGTCCATGCATACACACTTAATGAAACATTTACAAAAAAATGTTTTTATTCAAGAAGTAATCAAATTACTATTCTCACTAAGAAATAAAACTAAAAAACAAAATTTTCTCCAACAAATATCACAGAGAAGTAGGGGACAGAGAAAACAGCATTCAATGGTACACTTAAGTGGTGTATAGCACTATAGCTGATGTCTAGGGCAAAGTCCAACACCGCCCTGTTCGCTATCATATGTACTAAGGGCCAAATTGTTAGGTTGAATTGTTATGTACAAATTTTTTTCAAATTGGTATGTATAATTAATTGATTGTTGAATAAGATATTTAGGGTAGTGACAAAAGTTGTTCTGAAAAGCTGGTGTACCAAAGAAACGCTTAATAAGGACATTTTTATTTATTTATTTATTTACTACACTGCGCTCGGTGGAGAAAAACCTTGTGTCCTGTCATAGATAAAACATACTCCCCTAGTAGATTTCTCATCCTATTGGAACAGCTGAAGACAATTTTATTGTTAGCTCTGTACGGTTTATGTAGAGGCCGTGTTTTGTTTACAATTTGTTTCCTGTTAATACAGTCATTTAAAACCTTGTTTAACCAAATAATACGATCTAATCATAAACAATAAATTGTCCCCTAGTTATTTAACCAAACAGTAAAGCACACATCAAGAAATTAACCCTAAAATAATAGAAACAAAATTTCGTCGACACTAGCGCCCAGTGTGGCGTACATGAACTAGACATGAAAAACGAGCTTCAAAATTTACAATGGGATGAGAAGTCTACTTGTGTTGGTTAGTCTATGGTCCTGTGTTCCGGTGTAAAATTGTCTGCTCCCAGTGAGGACAATCACACATCAAAATTCGAACAGAAACCTATCACTTATACTCACACTTCATTTCACGAACAGCAAGTTTCAATGATCTCTACCTCAACTCTATCTAGTCAACAGAACTCAACAAATGTGTTCTCCTTCCCCTGCTTTGCTTGCTCATCCACAAGCCACAAGGTTTATGTCTGCCCTGTCTTTCTATCCATTTCCCCAAGAGAGCGTTTCTAAACTGCAAAAGAAAACAATAGATGTGTCTCGTGCCTCGGAAAACATAGATTTAAAGCATGTAAGTCTAAAGCTTCTTGCTTCAAATGTCACAAACGTCATCATACTCTGCTTCACTTTAAACACGTCAAGACGCCTCAAGATTCTACATTGCCTACACCTTCATCCACTCATGTCCCGAATAACACACATCCCCTATCTCCTTGCTCACAGAAAACACGTTCTGCCTCTTCTCAGCTTGCCAACATCCCATCCATCTCTCTACTCTCCACAACTGACTCTACATTGCACAAGATTAGTGACACCTCTCTCTACTCTGAAGAATCCAAACAAAAGATTCAGCGATTCTCTTCACCTCAAGACTTCAAGTGGAAACCTCACAAGATCTGTCCACAAAGTGTCCTCCCTGCCAATTGTGGATTCATGGACTGTTTCTATTGAATCCACTGGGGATTCAAGGCCCCCGGTATGTTCAGTAAACTTTAACCATTCATATAATTTAACACTCTATGTTTTATTTAATGTACATCTCTTTTCCTTGCAACATGTGTTCTTAATCAAATTAAATTATTCTCTATTGCTAACATATGTTGTGTATCAAAATGTAAATAAATCTGAGTTCTTGTTCTCTTGTAACCATTAAATGTGTGTTCATTTTTTCTCTCTCTCATATTCATTAATCTCAATATCTCCATATCTCTACATATTATTCCTCTGGTCCTTCGAACTAATTCTCATTAAACCCCTTTCTCATTTCTATTCCCATTTTTCAATCATTCCCTAATATTTAATTTCATTCTCTACAAATCATTCATCCTGTACGATAGGAATTTCCGGACTCTTTCTTGCTTGACACATGTTTATTTCTGGCACAACATACCAGTGTTAGAAGTGCACGGTTGTCCCTTTATACCTTACTTCTCTGTGTAAATATAAAGAAAAGTTAATAACCAACATACCCATCATGTGACAGCCAGATGGTCATGAAAGCCGTGTGTGTGTTGGTGGGACATAAGGCCCGAGGGACAGTTTACTTTGAGCAGGCAGGTCCCTCAGCAACTACCAAGATCACAGGGGAAATCTCCGGGCTTACCAAAGGTCTCCATGGACTTCACGTCCATGAGTTTGGCGACAACACCAACGGCTGTCTTAGTGCTGGAGATCACTTCAACCCTGAGAAGAAACTGCATGGTGGTAAGTACCTAGATTGTGTTAGAGCGCTGGCTAAGATTTCACTGTTGAGAAATACTTTATAAAAATTATTTCATTCTTTTTAGAGTGTTTGAAGTCGGTTGTTTTTTTTTACAGAAATTAATTATTTCATGATTTTTAGTGACTGTATAAAATTTGTTATATAGGGTTAGTAAAAAGTCTGGAGACCCCCTGTTAATTTTTTAACGGCCCATACTAGAAAAACTAAACTCGGCACAACTTTATGGCATGTTATGAAGTACTTTTTGGGCATAACCGCCACTTGGTGTACATCCCCAAAATGTTGGCTTTTGGGGGAAACTCAAATATTTCAAATGGCTAGTTTGCATTGTTAGTTTTCTTTTATCACGACCTTCAAATTGAGCACTTGATGGGCCTTAACATTAACAACTTTTGAGTTTCCCCCAAAATCCCCCATTTTGGGTTTGGGAACCAAGTAGAATTAGGCCCAAAAAGTACTGAACATGCCATTAAGGTGTGTAGAGTTTAGTTTTCCTAGTGTGAGCCGTTACAAAATTTACAGGGGGTCTCTAGACTTGGAAAGCTGCAAGTTAAATTTAACTTCTTTCCAATTGCCATTTTTTACTGGATTGAGATATAGACCTCTAGTTTGTGTTGTTGGTTTTATTTTACCAGGACCTTCAAAAAGAGGGGTCACTCGATGGGACTTACCGTTTGAAATATTTGAGTATTGTAATTTTTGGGAGAGAAGAGGAATTGAGGGAAACTGTGTTTCATCGGGACTAACAGGTTTACAGACCTGCTCTTTCATTAGGATGCTATTTGAGTTTATTTTATACTATTTAGATGAATATGCAATTTACATGAGAATTATTTATTCATTGGCAGTGTGTTTTCCTAGCCCCTACAGACCAAGAACGTCATGTTGGAGACCTGGGCAATGTGACAGCTGATGAAAAGGGGATAGCCAAGATAGATATGCAAGATCATAAGGTAACAGTCAAGATGACACTAAAATTGATAAAATGTATAAAAATCCTTTATTTTAACAGGCAAGAGTTAGGCCCCTTTCCAAAGCTTAACTTAAATATTTATAAAAACATATAAATATTTGTTAAAAACACAAAAAAAGACCTGTCAGCAATCACACAATGATCCTAGAATGCAACAAACAAGGTGATGCCCTCTCAACTTACCCCTAGTGATCAACTCATGCATTTGGAATTCAAATAATTTTCCATATTGAAACAGATAAACTATGCATAATTTACAGCAAAAAGACACAGAAAATTCAGCTTTTTTATTAAATAAGCTGGTTGACACTCTGGTGACTAAGTTGTCTTATTTTAGCTGTGATTGTTAGGTAAATTGATAAGGAATCAAAGGTCGGGACACTTAATGGTCGCTGTGAAGTATTTTTTCAGTGTAAAACTCAAATTGACTAAGTTATAATCTCTCCACACAATATTCCTTCTAGGCTAGGACTATATGTTTAATAACAGAACTATATTATACAAAAAGGTATTTTATTGAAACAAAATTAACAGACAGGTAAGGAAATTTAAAAGGCTACCATGAAAGGACTGACAATGGAATGTGGGCTTATAATAAAGAGGGAGATTAATTTGAAATGTATGCCTCAAATTTACAATAGTTTAATTTAAATGGGCTCTATCTCAGGGTAGGGTATCGTGCTGGCTTGAATGCAAAGAATGAATTAACTAAATAATGTCCAAATAAGTGTTTAACTTACAACATTCCAACAATGAAAATCAAATTTTGATGTTGTCCAAAAGGTAAGTCCAAATGTGCCCTGAATTTACTACTAAGTCGAGCCCTCTTGAGGTTAACTTTAATAATTTGAATAGCATTTGGATTTTCTTGATGAGATTAAGTTAATTTAAATTAGATCAAATATAGGCTTCTTAAACAATTTTAATTATGGCTTCCTTCTCTCTTCAGAGTCACTATCTGAATGTTCACATGAGTCTATTGTTGAACACATGGTCTGACCACTGCTCACTTGAATTTTAATTGCTTAAGGACTAATTTTGAATAATATAAAATTTTGATATATTGCAATTCTCTTACAAATTACTTCTTACTTACGGTGTCCTCGCCACAATCGTTTGATCAAGGAGTCGTCAACTATCTTCCTTTTTGGGGGTTTTCTGTGTTTCAGGTTTCCTGTATTTATGTTTTGTATGTGTGCTCCTCTATTATGTAAGCCTAATAAATATACAAGTCGTGGGCTTAAAAAAATAGGCTATGAAATGGATATTAGTCAAGATATCATTCATAATTAATTGAACATAGATTGATGGAATTGTATAAATAAGTTAAATGAATACCTACTAGGCCAGCCCTATCATTATAGATCAACGATGACTTTCTGAGGAGTGATTAATAACAAAGGAATTATAAGTGGTGTAAAAACAAAATCAACATATTTAAAGGAACTTAATACTAAATAATGAATGTATTAAATGAAATATCACAACTTGAATTTATATAATCATTCTATCTTTTCAGGTGAGCCTGACAGGACCTAACTCTGTGATCGGTCGGACTCTCATTATTCACGAGAACGCAGACGACCTTGGCCGCGGAGGTCATGAACTCAGCAAGTCCACAGGTAATGCTGGCACTCGGATAGCCTGCGGAGTCATAGGGTTGACAGGAAGTACCACTGCTCGGCGATAAACAAGCATTCATCACAAATGTTGTACAATTTTACAAAATAATATTGATATTTTATTTATGTGTGATTTATTCAATCAACTGACATACACTTGAGTGTGTAAGCTGAACTAGAGGTCATCTAGTGGTGGAAAACTCAACCAAAAATATGTAACGTACAGGCTTCTCTTTTTCACCCCATGCTGTAAATAAAACATGTGATTGCAATTTCTTCCATTTGTTTTTATTTTCTGTATATATTTTTCGTCACCAGCATCGCAACCCATAAGGCCCATGTTAATTTTTTTTTCAAATTAGTTTTTTAGAACAAAAAAAATACTCACTGTGGTGTCACTCCACATCTGTCTAACCATCCTACATGCAATAGCCTCCCAACAAACCAGACCTCACCATCACATCTCCAGACATGCATTAGATTTCACCCTTCCAATCCACAATCTATCACTTACTGAAAGAAAACCATCCTATAAAGGAACCAAATACTTTAACCTCCTTTCAGAACAACTTAAAAACAGAATAATTCATCCATTTTCAAGAAAAAACTCAAAGACTGGCTGATAGAGATCTTTCTACACCGAAAAAGAATCAATTCATCTCACAACCTTAAAAATTAAATGTTTCTGTCTCCCTGTAAATATGGATGCAGTATTATTCTCAACGAATGTGAGTAAAGAATATTGTCTATTGTCTTCTTGAGGTGTCGTCAGAATAAGTTACACACATTTTACACATAACACCAAAACAATTTAAGATAGGCCAATTAATTACACGCATGTACATTGGTGCGGGAAAACACAATCCTGGGGCTAACAAAATGAATTACAGGTATAATAAGAAACAATATTACTTTAGCTAAGAGTCATGGTGTGGCGAAATGGTTCCAATTGTAGCTGAGATTGTGTGTGTTACAGTTCGGTCAAAGTTTCTGTGCGCGTGATCATATCTGGTCGGGTCTTGGCGAGGGGGTTGCCAGGGTAGTTTTGTGTAAACATTATTTGTGTCTGGTTTCTTGCTACTCACTCACCCCTACCTCCAGCACTGCCAAAAACCGGTACCCGTATGTTTAAGTTCGACTAGTAGCGACCCATCCGCACGCACAGAAGTTTTGGCCAAACTGTATATACAGTAATACTGTCGAACCTCGGTCAAATAAATTCTTCAATAAAACAATTTTTTTAAATCCCCTTGAAACTTTTATAAAGGCCAATGCTAAAAACACCTCTATGCAACGCAGTAATTAGGTTAAAAACCTCCATTAGACAAATTTGTTTGTGACATGAGCTAGGACTGATTAGCCTCTGTCTGTCTTAATCTAAATACTTGACCTCTTCAATCCCCTCTCATTTCAGGTGAATTTGTCTCCAAACTCTAAAGTAGCTCATGTGTAATTTAGAACTTGGATGGTTCGTGGTAGAAAAATTACAGACACAATAAATTAAGAACTATTTTATTTATTTACACACTTAATGGAATTTGACAAATAAAAGTACTCCATAAAGTCTGAAAAATACAGTCAATCTCTTTAAATGTAACAAAATAAATAAATAAAATAAACACAATTGAAAGTAACAGCTGAAGATGTATCACAATTATTATATACAACCTATAGTCAATGTCTATACTCAACACCCACCCAAAAGATTATTTGCCATACTAATAAATCTTCTTCAACAAGCTATTGCATATTATCTTACCCAATGTTCTTTCTCGTTTTCAATGATCAATGTTTCAATAGCCTACAATGACAAATGTACTTAACATGACATGACATTTTGCTGGTGTTCTCTCAAAAATGAGTAAAAATTAGTTTTTTTTACAAATTTGTTAATGATCTACGTACAGCTATAAACGTTATCAATTATAGATAAAAATAAAAATCAATCTCATTGTCAATGATTAAACAACGCTGAAAATACTTAAGCCTCAGCGAGCATGTACTACTCGGTTTCATTTGTTCATATTGCTATGGGTAAGTGAATGTCATTGTTTACAATATAAAACTATTATTTACAAATATTTCAACACAGTTAAGATAAAAGTAGTTTATTAATTAGTAATGCTGTCCTCTAAAACCTTGAAAAGCCTAAACTTGAAAAGCCTATACAGTCTTTTGATAATCAAACCTTTAGAGAGAGGTTAGAGATTTTTATCTAACATTCACAAGGGGTAGGATTACTAAAAGTGTGGCAAACGTATTAAGTACAGACCTAAACACACATTTTAGTTTGGATTAATTTACAGTTTGAGTAAACTAGTACCTGAGTAAATACCGCAAAAATCTTATCTCGTCAACAATAATCTCTTAAAAACAAGCATTATCGTAAGGCAAATTCTTTTAGTGGCAATATCCTGTTTCAAATATTGAACAATTGTGTCACCCAATAGGTGCTTATAATTGGTCAAGATACATTTTCTCAAGATAAAAGTCACGGCCCATACCAAACTGCTGTTCTTCATTAGGGTTAAGGTCCACAGGCAGAGAATGGAGTAAAATAATTTTACCCTTGTTCTTTTCAAGTAAAAGTTCACTCCATTCTTTCTTCCCTGCTTGGGAAGCATAGAAATGGGCAACATCTTCGTGTAGGTCCTTGCACTGATGGTTAAAGACTTCAATGACACACAACAACCACAGACGTCCTTTTTCGGTCAAATCCCTTTTAACCAAATTACCTCGAGCATCATCATATAGCCTTAAAACCTTCTCCTTCTGTTGGTCGTGAAGGGCTTTATAGTTCATAAAAAGCTAGAAAACAAAACTGATTAATGTCAGACCAGCATCTATCAAGGAGTTTTAGATCACGGCCGCCGCGGGTGCCGAGGCTAGGGGTCGCCGCGGCCGTGGAAGGAAAGAAAAATATTTAACGTTATTGGTGAACAAACATTTTACAGCAAAATCGTTAACATAATCAATGACAATGACTGTTTATAAAAGGGGCAATCTATATATATATTGGTTTTATTCATTAAATAAATAACTTAATTTATTATAGAACTTGTACGATGTTACTTGTTGGCAGCACTGTCAGTCGCAACATACAGCGCATACAGCGCATACGTCCACATGCCCCACAGTCAATTGTTTCTAACCTCAAAATTTAACGTCAATTTCTATTTGTGATGTTGTCCGTATCATAAAGGCAATGTTTTTACTAATTTAGTTCATCGAGTCTTACTTACTCAAGTAAGACAGAGAATCTTATTACTCAAGCAGCCCTAGACTTCCTTTTTTTCAAGACTGATTTTAAGGCACCTATATGAATAAGAAAACCTATTTACGACAGAATGTCAAACTAAATAATGAAAGGGGGTACTTTATTATATGTTTTCTTAATATTTTGTTGTTTTGTTATCATTAGTTTTTTAGAGGTCAACTGTAAGAAAGCACCATGAGGTCCTCAGTTCGCCTCAATAAAGAAAGATTTTCATTTTATTTCATTTCAAAGGGGTTGTAAACTATTTAAATAGGTGAATAGCCCTAATAACAATATTCATTTGAATTTTATATAGTTTATTATCAAGGCTCACTATAGTCCTACATATCTATCTGTCTGAAGCTGAAAGTATGCTTCAGAGCGATATTAGTTGAACCATATATAAATTGAAAGTTTACCTGCTGCACCAATAGGGAAAGTTCTGGAACTCCACCAGAGTTGAGAAGATAGGTCATACATGAGATGACGGGATCAGAAAAGACCTCATATCTCAAATTCAACTCAAGCGTCGGCCTGAACCGAAAATAAACTTGGCCAAGGAAACTACAGAAGTTTAGAAGACGAATTTTTGTCTCCGCTGACAAACCTGTGCTATCTGAAAGAAAATATTACTACAAATTAAAATCTGACAACCACTTTTCTATACCATCGTTACTCCTATTACACAATAAAAATAAAATAAAACAAAAGGTGAAAAGCTCAAAATATTTGTCATTGACTACAAAACTATAGCTAGTTGACAACTAAAATTATGTGTTAAACCTTCAAATTCGCCACGTGGGTTTTCACAGATAAATTTATGGCTTGATTCATTTTGCCATTGAGTAGCAAATTTTCTCCTGATTTTCTTGTCAATACACATGACAATACAATGGGTAAAATGACCTTTAGCATTAAAGAAATACAGCCGAATATTAAATACTGTTTAATGATGTAATACAATAAAATTATAAACAACTTTTTACAAAGTCTGAGTTTCACTATAACTTTTTATAATGTAGTACTACACAGTATATTATTTCCTAATATCATTATGATTATAAAAAGATATATTATTTACTGCAATTTCTATAAACAACTAAGAGATAATCTTAGACCACTGCTTATGCCATCAGAATGATCGTTAAATTGCAGGGTATAAAATAAATTCCCGTTTTGACTAGTTTAACATTATAAAAGTGCATTTAGGGGCAAAATATCGGATAATTGGGACATGAGTGAGACTCGCAAGTCAGTGAAGTCCCGCTCTAACCACTAGACCAGCTCACACCCCTGCTTTCATAATGTGGTACTGTCCCCCTTACCTCAATTCTAAGAGACCTCCGTGTTATCCAAGATCAGTAACCAAGGTAGTCTTGGTCTCAACAACTTCGGTTACCAGGAGTGTATTGTAAGCTATTAAATAATGAGCAAATCTGACATGTTTATGGAAATACTTGAGTAAAAAACGAATAAACAAATTTAAATTTGCATGGTTTGCTGCAGTGGGGGTATTTTTTAATACTTATATTAGGGCATTACAATTTCCATTCAATTTGTTTATGGTTGGTCAATTGAGAAGTACTTAAATTGGCTAAGATATCTTTTGATGCTTAAGGACTATAATAGAAAACTAATAATATAGGAACTAAGACAAACAAGTTCTAAATACAGTAGACTCCCTCTTATCCGGACTCCTCGGGACCGAAGCCAGTCCGGATAGCGGCTCTTCCGGTTAATAGACTAGTAAAATTGTTGGTTAACCTAGAAGTAATTGTAATATAATTTCTATAAATGGATTCTTATGTAAAAATGGCGGAAAAAACGATGGTGAAAAGTCTACCACTCTACGGAGGTGCGTTGGCCTTGTATGAAAGGTTTTTCAAAATGGCTACCGTAAATATTTATGTTTTAAGCCAATAAGTCCTAAACTATTACAGGTAGCTTAAATAAGTAAATGAGTAAATTTTAAAGAATTAAATTGCGCAACTTTTGGTATATAATAAGTTACAAGTCCTTACATTCTTAAAAGAAAATAATGTAGTCAAACAATTTTAATAGTTTATTGTTATTCATAGAAATTTTGAGTTATGGATTTTAAGTTGGCAACAATGATTGTTTTGTACCAGCTGAGAGTTCTTATTGTTGTTGTTAATATTTCTACATGTTTCTAGTTTACTTTCATGTTCAGTAGTGATGTTTTTAATTAAATTTTAGTAAAATTAGTGTTGCGATGGGGATGTTAATCCCCCTTAGTATGACAACTGAAAATAGAAAAATGAATATCGAAACATGTTTTATTTGTGAAAAAATTATACACGACAGTTGTGAGGTGTTATCTCTCACTCAAAAAGCAATTGAAGCAATACACCGAACCAGTAAGGAAAGGAAAATAACTGAATTCCATGTAATTTTTGGTAAAAAATTCATAAAAAATGTAGAGCGCAGTTTATTGACTTAAAGTCTTCATTCAGAAAGCGGGAGGATGAAACCAGTTGTTCCCGTTTGACACGTTTTAGTGAAACCTATTTTGATTTCAGAAGTAAATTGTTTGTTGTGCACAGCTGAATTAAGCCTAACATATAAACAGAGGAATAAAACGAACGGTTTGAAGCTCGGACGCTAAACTTAAGAACATCAGTGCTAGAAAAGTGCAACGAATGTAAAGATGAATGGGCTGTCAAAGTCAAAATACGGCTTCTAAATGTGTATGATTTGCCTGCTATGAAAGCATGTTATCACAAACAATGTTTAGTAAAATTTCGAAATGGAAAATCTATACCACAACAATTAGTGACATAAAGCTCTGCCAGGTCGCCCATTCTGCTGCTGCACATAGAGGTACAAGTATGCCTGATCACAATCCACATCTCCTGAGTGTTTTATTCAATATTCTGCTGACAACATTGGCCACAATATAATTAGACTAGATGGTAATGGAACTTTCCATGGCATGGGTATTATAGCTAGCGTAGTTCCAGCAGGGGCATTTTCTGAGGTTATCAAGAAACGTAATGTTTCCTATCAAGAGAGCTTAAGGACGTGGAAGATTTACATTAGGCTACAGTGTATTCTTCTCAGGCTAGTAGAATGCGGTTTCTGAAGTTAAAGTATACATATCGTTTAATGTGTCTATGAGGCAATTGATCTAAATATGTGCTTGGTCATGAAAAAAAAATTGTTTCCATGGTACAGTAATCATGAAAATAAATACTGTAAATTGGAATAAGAATTAACACTAAACTTTTATGGCCAATGGGGTGGAGCCCCAAGACATCGGATTTTCAAAACATGATTAGTCATTTTTGTGTTGTCCAAATTACTACCTACTCTTATGAAAAGTTTCAGCCCAAATGGTTCTCGAGTTTTGCGTTCTTACTAAAAATATATCATTGCCACAAAATCTCGTTTGTGATATATATAGTATAAGTATTATACTACTAGAAGAGTACCCGTCCTTCGTGGGGGTTGGCAAATAAGTACATAAAATGCTTATTGCAGTTATACTCAATCTTTGCGTTTGCAATGTGAGAAGACACGGTTTGAGAAAATTTGCGCCCTCAAATTTACGGTATGGTATGCAATAGTATTACACATCTACCATAGTCACAAAGCTCTACCACTTCACCTACACAATAGAGAAAAATAGTTATTAAGAATTCGCAAAATATCACAAATTATTCATGAAATTAAAAACATAAACATAACTGTAAACAATCCTACTTTTACTCAGTTCTCATTTGTATCACAGGTTTTTTTTGCTGCTTAGTTCAAATTAGCTTTTTTTTCATAAAATGCACTGAAATTGAATTAAAAACATCACTACTGAAAATGAAAGTAAACTAGAAACATGTAGAAATATTAACAACAACAATAAGAACTCTCAGCTGGTACAAAACAATCATTGTTGCCAACTTAAAATCCATAACTCAACATTTCTCTGAATAACAAAAAACTATTAAAATTGACTGACTACATTATTTTCTTTAAGAATGTAAGGATCTGTAACTTATTATATACCAAAAGTTGCGCAATTTAATTCTTTAAAATTTACTCATTTACTTATTTAAGCTACCTGTAATAGTTTAGGACTTATTGGCTTAAAACATAAATATTTACGGTAGCCATTTTGAAAAACCTTTCATACAAGGCCAACGCACCTCCGTAGAGTGGTAGACTTTTCACCATCGTTTTTCTCAGCCATTTTTACATAAGAATCCATTTACAGAAATTATATTACAATTACTTCTAGGTACAGGTAAATTTTAAGCTATTTTTACTAGTCTATAAACCGATGTCCCCAAAATCTCGTTAAAATGCATACACTCGAAAACTAACCCAAATATTTGACTTAAGCTTAGGAGAGCATTGTATTTAAACACCGTCGTTTCAGTACCGCCCACTTCCTGCCAATCCAGTCTGTTTAAACCGATGTGGTGATAAAATTGTCCGGTTAAAGAGATGTAATTTCTGCCGAGTGAAGTCCGGTTAAACCGATGTCTGGTTAAAAGGTGTCCGGATAAGAGGGAGTCTACTGTACACACATTGCCTATATTTAATATGCCAACACTGCAAATGAGTGTAATGTAAATAATTGAACTGCAATACTTGTTTCATTCTTAGAAGTAGGCTATTTCCTTTTATTATTTATTTACCTTTCATCAATGCACTCATGGTCTCATAGTGGGAATGTAGTTTAGACATGAAGACTCCCTTGATTTTCGGCCCATAAAGCTTGTGGGACGTGATGTAGTTTAGAGACATCGCAAACTTTTTTCCAATCAAAAATGAATCCAAGGCACATTTTATGACTTTTTCCACATAAAATCTGAAACAAATAAAATTTTTTTAACATTACAACCTGCAATCCCAAGAAATCTGCAATGCTAGAATCCCAAGAATGTTTTTACCTTTCATCTTATCTGTGCTCCTAGTCTCAACACTCTGTAAAAATTCTGAGCTTTTAATTTTCTCCAATAAGGTCATAAGAAATTGGCTCTTCTCTGCATAAAAGCCTACATCCTAGGGCGTTAGTTCTAGCCCGGAACTGTTTTACACATTAGTTCAGGCTAGTAGATGAGTGAACGAAGTGAACGAATCTATGTATCGTGTATAGCGGAGTCGGAGAAAAGTTGTCTGCTGGAGTATGTGTGTGACTGTGTTCGCACCTAAAACTCAAGAACCGTTGCACTTATAGCGTTCAAATTTTGCACAAATAATTATGACACGAGTGGGAAGACACCATTAAAATTCTAGACTATTCCGCTCAGTATTAGTTATAAAATACTTAAAAAACATTTTAAATTTGTCCCATAAGAATAACATTAGGAGCTACCTTCTTCTTGTTTTTATTTGTTTACGTTTTGCGACCAACAATTTTGTTGTCTACTTAAGACAGAGAGAACGACTTTAACTCTAAGCTCTTTCATTCATGGAGTTAACAGTTTGGCGTCTATGAATATATATCATTATAATTTCACAGCTTTCAGAATAATGTTATTTAAGCTAAATAAATTTCACAACTTTCAGATTAATAAATTGAACTTAACAATATTAGTCGGCAGTTATATACCGTTTATGTTCATTGTTCAGTATTAAAACTCACCTTTAAAATAAAAATATATATGCATGTATTTAAAACAAAGCAGCTTTTTACATTATTCAATTTAATGTTGACATTGAATATTAAATATTCAAAGATGTTGGTATATCTTTATACTAAAAAACTATGCGAGAGGGGGGGCAGGTCCACGACGTAGAGGGTGGTAAAGGAAGCGGAAAGGTAAGCAGTGAAAAGAAAGGAGTACGGAAACCCTTTATGACTGTTAAATTAATGTAACTGTAATACTTAAATGCTATGGAAATATAGGGAAATATAGGTCTACGATGTAGAAAGTAGTGAAGTAGTGAAGGAAGTATTAATGTACCTGCAATACTAAAAAGCTATAGGGTGGGAGGGAAACAGGTCCACGACGTAGGAAGCGGTGAAGGAAGTAGTCAAGGCGAGCAGTCCGGAGTGTAGAAACCCTTTGTGACAGTTAGATTAATGTACCTGCAATACTAAAATACTATAGGAAGGGAGGGAAACAGGTCCACGACGTAGGAAGCGGTAAAGGATGTAGTCAAGGCGAGCAGTCCAGAGTGTGGGAACCCTTCGTGAAAGTTAAATTAATCTATTTGAAATTCTAAAATGCTATAGGAAGGGAGGGAAACAGGTCTACGATGTTGTAGGAAGTGGTGAAGGAAGTAGTCGAGGCGAGCCGTCCGGAGTGTAGAAACCCTTTGTGACAGTTAGATTAATGTACCTGCAATACTAAAATGCTATAGGATGGGAGGGAAACAGGTCCACGACGTAGGAAGTGGTGAAGGAAGTAGTCAAAGCGAGCAGTCCGGAGTGTAGAAACCCTTTGTGACAGTTAGATTAATGTACCTGCAATACTAAAATACTATAGGATGGGAGGGAAACAGGTCCACGACGTAGGAAGTGGTGAAGGAAGTAGTCAAAGCGAGCAGTCCGGAGTGTAGAAACCCTTTGTGACAGTTAGATTAATGTACCTGCAATACTAAAATACTATAGGAAGGGAGGAAAACAGGTCCACGACGTAGGTAGTGGCGATGGAAGTGGTAAATTCGAGCAGTGCGGAGTGTGGGAACCGTTTATGGCATTTAGATTCATTAGTTAGATGAACATTTATTGGATTTTTAATCAGTCTTAGATGATATAATAGCGCTATCGTTGATATAAATCATCATTGTAAGCAATACGATATTTTTTGGAGATTCCTTACACTGTGCTTTGGCAATTTATTTAAGTTAGATTAGTTCAGTTTGGCTTAGTTTTGTTTATGATAGGCTTCATAACAAATATGGAAATAGGTTTTATTTAATCAAAAGACGTTTTGTACAGGAACGATGGATTTACCTCCTATCGATAACTGTTGGAAATCCATTACGTATATTACCAATGACTTTGGTTAATTAATGGACGAGAAGTTAGGATTGTTGTTGACTGAGATTTGGTTGATTTGCCCATACAAAATAACATTATTGTGTTCACCAGTGACACCGGTAAGTGGTAAGTAGGCCAGGTGTGGGTGGACTCTTTCATTATTGCGCTCATGTTCACTCATCCCGTTACGCGCAGAATAAGTGTACTACTAGTCATATAGGGGTGTGGCATTATCACATAGATAAAATCCATTAATGATTGGCAGGATTTAAATCCGGGACCTCGGTCACCGAAGCCACGCGCAGAACCACTAGATTAGCTCTCTCCCCAATCTTACTACAACTACGGTACCAGTAGGCCTACCTTAAAAAAATTTACGTTGCAAAGCTATCAAGATAGAAAATAAAGGACTCCAGACCTCTTTTACGACAATCAATATTTTAGGGTTTACTTACTGAACATCGTTGTCATTGTTGAAAAAATTTATTGTTGCACGAATAAAACATCTGTTTGTGTCCTTCAGTATATTATCGAGATCCCTTTCAAGAATTTTCTTTGGAGACTCTTGAGTGTTATTCGATGTATCCAAAGAGGATAAATTTTCTGCTATTTGATTCACTCCTTGAGCATCGGAAAATCCTCGACCAATGATGGCCCTAGGGATTCGTGGTTCAGCAGGGGTTCCTGGGGGTTTAGGTACTCCAGAACTTGGAGGCTGTGACAGTGCAGACAGTTTGCGAAAATTACCTCTTCCTCGTCCTAAACTTACACCTTCCATGTCTGTAACATTACACATTGATATGATTAAAATGAGTAATAATACAACACGTAATAAGTTAGCCTGTATGAAAAAAATTATTGTGAAAATATTATACAGTATCATTATTTAATAAATATCCAATATTACAAGTGTCTGTAAGGGAGTCTGTCCCATGCTACCTGTGCGGTTTGATATTCTTTTGTCAGATCAGGCCCTGATTTTAAATGTTTAAAAATTATTTTGTAACTTTGTTTGAGCCGTATTGTGTCTGTTTACCCTTGACGAATTAACAACTCATCAACTCTACAAGTACCCGTAGCTGACGATGGTGTTTTAACACTGAAACATGTACTAAATTGACATAGGTACCTGTTTTGTTTAGCTGTAACAGGAATTACGATTAATTTAATCTTACACTATGTCCAACAGCTCAACGGCTAGAAATATAGATTTTTAATCAGGCAATTCTAAGAACTTTTTTCCTTCAACACATTTGGCAAAAGTTGAGCAAACACTGTTTCTACCCGGAAATTCACATTTTAAGGTTGACTTATTTTGGAATGTGAGGATTGTAAGTTGGGCTTTATGAGAATTCAGGGCTGTATTGTTTTGAAGTTAGGTTAGATTAGGAAGGTAAAGTTTAGGTTAAAAATAATGAACCAAACTGTTAGTTTACATTGACCTTAACTTACCTCTAGACTGTTTTTAGCAAATTTACCTGTAGGGAAGTAGCTTTTACCATAAGTGGCACAAAAATACCTAGACCCAGGACCGATATACTTAAACATTTTGATGTCTCTAGAGACCAAAAACACTAGTTGTTCAAATTTGAGTAAATATATATGAACCACTCTTAAAATAAAGTTAAGGTACTCTCGCTTATTTAGAGAGGGCTTATTTACTCGGCTGTTTTAGAGAGATGAAAGTTTGTAAGAGACATAAGACTGCTACAGGAGTGACAAAACGTGTAATAACCTACAACAAATTAAATTACCGTATAGAAAATTAGGCACAAAGGGTGGCAGCACTAAATAAAAACTTTGAAAAAATTATCAACAATAGTTAAGAAAAAAAATACAACTTTAAGTTACAAGAAAAAAGTAGAACATTTATGATTGATTAAGTTAATGTCGTGGATAAAACGATTTTGGACCAAACCAACTGTTTTACAACTGGTGGACCAAACAATTTTAGCCCAAACGAACGGTTTTACAATTGCTGGACGAAACGATTTTGGACCAAATGAAATACTCCCAAGTAAATTACAAATTATATGACTTGATTTTTTTTACGTCTTTATAAATTTAGGTAGTTATAATTTTACATACTGACAAAGGTCCCTTGAAGCACACGCACCCACAGACACACACACTCCGAACTTCCTTGCAGCCCGCAGTATAATCCCCTCTCGATTTTCTTCCCAGGTCCTCCAACTCCCAGCAAGGCCCCACTAGAAAAACAGGCCATGCTGCAGCGCAACACTACGTCACAGTGGTGGATAGTTGTACTAAATCTTACCATTAAAATCTGACAAACAGCCAGCTTAATTACCTAAAACATATAGGATATTGGAGTGAATCTATGAACAAATCTATCCACCAATGTGACGTCGAATGGATCCTGCAGCACGGCCTTTTTTCAAGTGGAGCCTTTCTCCCAGACTCATCACCCCTCCATCTTCTTCATTATACCTTCTCATTGGCTGTTTAACGATAGGGTGGGTGTGTGGCTTATAGGTTATAGCCGTTTCATGGAAGTCAGTCCTACTGGCCTAGCTCGCGTCAGCTGGGAAAAGAATTTTGAAATTGATGCTCATGCTACTGGTCAACCTTGCTCACAAAAGCTGGTCGACTAAGTGTAATGTGAACAGACTGTCTGCGTACAGATGATCATCATGGGTACAGGGTTAATCCATTTTCTTACAATATATATATCCATACAGAGTGGAGAAAAAACCTCAGAGCTTCAAAACTTGGAACACAGTTACTGGACATTAAAAACATTTTAACCCTTCCCGGACGGGCGAAATTGTGACATAGAACGGAAAAAAATTACAGGATAAAATAAAAATTAATTTTCCTTATTTGTGTTTTGTTATACAAGTATACATAAAATAAACACAATGTAACACTTCATACTGTCAAAATAATTTTTTACTAGTTTTTAACTATGCAGATATATCCCCATCTTTGAAGATATGACCTTGACAATGTTAGGCCTAGTCAATAAATAAAGAAATATTTGTAAACAATAAATAAAGTTAACGTAGTGTTGGAGCGTAGGAGAGGTGGGTGGTGCGCGGGAGAGGGGGTAGGCGCGGTAAAATATATCCATTTTCCGAGCTTGAGTAAAAATAAACAAAGAAATAAACAAAAACACAACTAATCATGGTGTAAATTAAAATTGTTCCCCTAACTTTGCTATGGAATTTAATTTATGAAAGCTACTAATTTTTTTTGTATTCTTCTATGGAATAAAATAGAAATTTAATTAAACAGTCTTTTAGTTATCAATGATTATTATCAATTATTTATATTATTAGCCTATATCAATCAATTATTATTATCAATGATTTCTTTTTGATATAAGGGCGGGGTACAGTGGGTCACTTTTTGCTTTCATAATTTTAATTCATAGTATTTTTCATTAGGGGTTGAGATAAATATTTATTGTTATTGCTTGGCATTTCTTCTGTTATAAAAAATTTGTTTGCAACTAAATATTAAGTTTTACTACACTAGATAAATTGTTTTCTTTAACATTACATTTTGACCCACTGTGCCCCTTGTAGGGGTACAGTGGGTCACATAGTGGGGCACAATGGGTCATAAAGAAAAAAAGAACAAAGTATCACACCAATATATTATATTCCTGGAAACACAATTGCAAAACTGAAAAAGCTATTTTCAGAAATGTTGCTCAATACAAAATAATGTCTTAATGCACGTTATAGGATTCAAAGTTTTGTGGGAATGTCAACTTGGTCATTTTTCTTTCTGTACCAGGATATTTTTTTTTGTTTTGGTTGTTTTCTCTCAATGTGTTTATGGTCTGCCAAATAAATTCCTTCTTCATCAAAATTGTGAGTTGGCAACATTTTTCTCGTGTATATCACTTCATATGCTTTTTCTGATTGTATCATATGCGTTTTCAATGGGACCCATTGTGCCCCAAACGAAGTGACCCACTGTGCCCCAGAGGAAGCTGCCATCTTTAAGTGATTGTAATTTTGTATTCTATGATATTAACGATAAAGTCTTATTATCTAAATGAATAAGAACAGCCGAGGATCGTTTAGGTATAGAGAAAGATACTTTACATTTAAAAAAAAACATGGTACTGTAAATATAAAAAATAAGTGTAATATAAAAATATAAAATTTCACCCCATGACCCACTGTACCCCGTCCTCCCCTAGGACTGTATCAATATTTTATTTTTCCATCTGATATATCCATATTAACGAATTGAAACATATCAGCTGACAACTACGATATTGTAAATAAATATCAGCCTAACTTAGTCAGTATCAATAAATCATCCAAAAAAAATTATATAGTAATGAAACTGTTCTAAATAAACCTTACCTAATTAACTTAGGGGCCGTCCACATATTAAGTATGCTAATGCATTGATAATTTTTGTAGATTTAAAAACCCCTCCCTTCGCCTTGTGACACTACTTAACGCAAGCATAAACCCACCCCCTCCCCACTGTAACGTAACGCTGTCAGATATTTTTTTTAACAAGGTTGTGGGATATGAAATCGAGGTGAAATTTTCTCTTTAAGTCAAAACAAGTTTTAAAACTGGTTTTGAAGTAATCTTAGCAATATAAACAAACACAAGCTGCTATACCCGTGCTTTGCAACGGGAAGAAAATGTGACCTAGAGAGCTATTAAAGTAATCCTGATGTGTTTTTAAATACGGCAACTCTATGATTTAGGTAGTTTGAAAATATAAACTGATTTAAAAGAGTAACCCTTCTTACTTTCAACCCCCTCTACTTTTTATGTTAATTGATCCAAAAGAATATGACAACATACCTTTAGTGTAGCAATAACATCAATTGCTTCATTTTGATGCTTCACCAATGACATGTTTTACCATAATTCTTCAACTTTAGTCAAGCCTCTTTACATGTAGCTTTTACTATATAAATTACAAAATGAAACTTTGATCAGTACTTTACAAAACGTTTACAACCTTTCTTTAAATTCAAACATTACCCTCATAACCTAAATCTATATAAAGCGTCACAAACATCTTTTTCGAGTAAATAAACAAACACCAGTCATTGTACTGACCAGCTGTTTCATTAACTATATTAAATTAAATCATGTAAACTTTGGAAGTATGCCAGGCGTAGCCCTTTGGAAATCAGCCTGTGGGACAGAGCCCTTAGGAAATTCATCCATATCAACACTTTTCGGCAAATCTACACACTCTAAGCTTAATTTTGACGTGCCATATGCCTATATTTGTATTTGGTAAATGGCCTTAACCGTTTACATAAAATTTGATTGTATCACTTTAATAATATAATAGATTTTAAGAACAAACTTTACAGTTTAAGCAAGTAAACGTCAGCAATTTGTATACTTAAACGTAACACTTCTTATAATTTTTTTACTGTAGCACTTTTGAAAAATTAATTTACATACCGGTAAATTAACAGTACGGTATAAACTTCAGATTTATCTTATTTGCGATCGTATTCAACCTAGGGTGACTGAATCCATTTTTGATGTCTTCTATGAATGAAAGATCACAGCTAGGAGTTGGTAAAACGTTTGGGAGTTAGAACATCAGTTCCAGAGCAATAATGTTAACTGATAATATGGATATTTTTACCTAAAACACTGTTTAAGTTATAAAATAGCTTTATTATTGTGGCACTTTGGAAAAAAATGATTTTAAGTACGTTACGATGATGATCTTGAAAACCCCTCCCCCTCCTCGTAGCGCTAAGCCCAACCCCTCCCCCCGTCCTTTATGCATTATACCAACATGTGGACAGCCCCTTAGCTGTAGGCCTAACATTTCTTGATAGTCCCCACATGCCTTTTCTGTTATCAAACTGAATTTTGGAATGGTCATGGTAACTTAAAGAAAGTTTGGCTAGGCTTAGTTATGTTAGGTTGGTTTAGCACAGTTTTTTTTTCTTAATCCATATTATTTTTGCCTAAACAAGATTAGTTCTCAATTTGCAAAATTTTTTAAATGCGTTTGAAGATAGGCCTAAGTTATTAAAACAGAACATTTATTATTTACGAAATAATCACTCTAAGTTAGTCATCACTCTTTCTCTTGTTAGTTCAGCATAAGTTACTGTAGGCTACTGTATGTTACTTAATATTTAACCATATTTCAAAAGTAAGTTAACTTATTTTCACTGTTATAACTGTTATAACCAATAACAGTTTGAATGAATAAATAAATAAATAAAGAAGACATAAGTATCGGTCGTAAAGGTAAACAAAAATATCGATATTGAAAATAAATCATCGATAATAATGAATGTTCCCTTCAACATGAAAGTACCAATTCTTCTTGCTAGGCTAGAACCTAGGACCTAGGGGTAAGATTACCTCGAGTAGGTATCCACGCTCAGCCATGATAAAATCTATAATAAATTACACTGCCCACTCAAGTGGGGGAGATGGATGCACCCTCTTTTAAGTAGGTAAGTACTGAGAGATATACGGGTACAGTTTCTTAACTGGGCTACGCTAATAATGATTGAAACTATCGATTCGATTATGTAGTAGGCCTAAACCTTCATGCGATTACTTATTTCACCATCAGCAAGTTTGGTTGGTTAGGTTAGGTTATGATAGTTTAATTTTATAATAGGCTAGGTATAATTTAAAATATCGATTATTAATCAATATTTTCAATTCGATACTTTCAATCAATATTAGCGTAGCCCAGTTAAAAAACTGTACCCAGATATACTGATAAAAAGGCCACTGTTAATGTACTTACTCCTTAAAGAGGATGAGCCCCTCGTGAGATGATTGTTTGTCCGCCTTGCCAATTAGTAAACGGCCAAATAAAAGTTTAAGTGTGACTCAGAAATTACTGTAAATAATGTACATAGTTTTATTATTAATTATTTTATCAGGCCAGCTCTGTTGAAGATGAAGAACTCAACTAGGCCTATACAAGGATTTCGGGATTCAAGTCTAATCTTAGACTGTGCACAAGTTTAAGGGTCTCAGTCTAATTGGTCTCATGATTTAGGCCTAACTTACATCCTTATGAATTCCTAACTTACTGTCCATTTAATAACTAACTTAAACTAGGCCTATGGCTGCACTTTACTTTAGGTCCTACACTCATTCGAATGAAAATATTGATCGATATATCGATTAAAATAAATAAATTTTCATTAAAATCGATGAAAATTTAAATTATTCAATTGTTTCATTCGGATATATCGTTTGGTTAGTTAGGTTAGGTTAACCTTACCTAACTAACCAAACGATATATCGAATGAAACAATCGAATAATCGATATTTTCATTCGAATGAGTGTAGGACCTAAAGTAAAGAGCAGCCTAAACTAAGTTATATATCAGGATGGACCATCAGGTGCAAAGGCCTAGGCCTAGCTCAACTTTAACCTAAAACGATCCCCAAAGATTATTGCAATTATTATTAATCACTAGGCTATTATTGTTTTTTTATTAGAAATGCATATTAAGTTAAAATAAAAATTCAATACAAGTTAATTATAAACAGCTTACCAACAAATGCACGATGATTGAAACTAGGACAGTAGGACAGACAGCTTTTGGTGTGTCGATTTGTAGTGTAGTGTGTAGTGTGAGGTGAGTGTGGTGGTGGTGGTGAGTCGTCGGTCGCCGGTCGGTGTGTCACTGTCAACTGTCACATCCACAGTGTTGCCACCACGTTGTTGCGATTTTACCCTAAAGGCGGGCTAAAATTACCCTAAATTACCCTAAATCTACTTTGAGTTACCCTAAAAATTACCCTAAATGTTAATATTTGCGTTTAATGCTATAAAACATTGTTAAAATCATATAAATCCTACATAAGATTGTTAATTATACTATGAAGTTCCAATATCAATCAATTTACGTAAAATTATACTCGATTCTAAAAAACCACCCGAAAGAAGAACAAAATGTTGATATTGATCAGCTCTATCGACTATCGTATAAGGAAAAATATCGAATCAAGAATTATCGAATTTTTTTACTGTATCAACCCATTACTACTGTTTTTGGACAATCATGTCTTTAAAATAGTACAGTACCACCAAAGCTTTAATCTATACATAATTATTATTACATATAAATAATTTCTTGACACAATTTGTAAAATAATCCAGTTTAATTCAATTCAGCCACATAATTAAATATCAAACCCAGTAATTAATAATATCTCATATTTTATTAGGCCTATAACGTGTTATAGAATCGAATACATTCTAAAACAGATAATTCCCAACTATTGATAAGATCGATTAGGATAACGTATTATGAAATCAACAATCATCATATAGCAATCGATTTAAACAGATTTGAATCGAATACATATGATGGTTTGGCCATAATATGTAATGAACGTTTTTTGCCAAATTTTGAAGTTTTTTTCATTTTTTTAGTAAAATTTCCATTGTTATGCTTACTTTTAGTTTTACCCTAAAATTACCATAAATCTACCATTACCCTAAACTTTACCCTAAGACCAGTAAATTACCCTAAAAAAGGGTAATTACCCTAAAAGTGGCAACACTGCACATCCACTATCCAATCCACATCACAAATCACAACGCAAATTCACATTTCATTTTCATTTCACCAACTGTCACAGACAGACAGTGCAGATAATCTGAAGTCTTGGAAAACTGGAATATGGGAAACGAAACATGCCATCACCATGACGTCATGGAGCGTCCCGTGAGCCTTGCGGGAACTTGACCCGTCGCGGAACTGTTTCGGTCTCCTTTGTGATAATAGATTCATGGTGGAAGATAGATTATAACTGGAGTACCTAATCGGTACTTTCCTGTTAAAGGGAACATTCATTATTATCGATAATTTTTAATCGATATATCGATACTTTTGTTTCCATTACAAATTGATAACTAATCTTGTTTAGGCTAAAATCTAGTCTATAGCCCCGTTCACACAAGGCCCCACTAGAAAAAACCACGGGGCGAGTTTACAAGCTACACGTGGCGTGTAGCTTTGGCGTGTTGGTTTGGAACAGTTTCATTTCAATTTCTTTTATACTGAACAATATTTATTTACTGTAGTTGTCAGCTGATAGGTTTCAATTCGTTAATATCGATATATCGATTGAAAATCATCAATAATAATGAATGTTTCCTTTAACAGGAAAGAACCCACTAATCTCTGGTTAAACAGCACAATTTGTCATTCAGGATTTGTTTTGCCAACAGTATCATTTGGAGGCTATTGATTGACTATAATGCAGGTTTACTATTTGAAAAATTAGTTTTGTTCACAACATAAAATTATAAATGCCTCAAATTCAATTTTTAATTATAAAATTAAACTGTCATAACCTAACCAAACTTGCTGATAATGAAAAATCGAATGAAGGTTTCATCGAACAAATAATTCTGTTCATAAAATATAACAACTATAAATGGCTCAAATTCAATTTTATATTGTTTTAATTTTAAAATTAAACTGTCATAACCTTACCAAACCAACCAAAGTGGTGTTGTAACAGCTGTTTTGTTTGGAAGCAGCTAATGGTATTTGTGTATTTACGAAAGATTGGTTACTGGAATATGACAATATCGACTCCGCTTAAAATGTACAGATATAGATTGTTAATTCATATTTGTTACGGTTTTCAATTCTGTATGTTTTATTTTCAATATTTTAATGAATTTATGTTCATAAATTTAAATTTATACAATAAAGTGCGAATTAATGAGCTGATGTCACCTGTCTGCCATGTTATCTTATGGGACGTCAGTCACAAAACAACACCACTTGTGACTTTGCCAACTCTACCAGGTAGTTAAAGGTGGCCGTGACTAGCCGCTAAGCACCTAAGCACGGTGCTAAGCCACTAGTCTAACCACCGCGCCGTGGGACAGCGGAATTGTAATCGGAATGGTACATCGGTGCGGTTTCTTATTCATTCTTCTTCAAATCCCAAGCCTCCTCTAGAACGAATGTCGAATAGTCGATTGGGAATAGTTATTTTCCTACAGTCACCCGACAAAGTTGGCTTCCTTGTACTGTTTATAGTACAGAAAGCTGCTAATTGCTGCATATTTATACTTTGTTGTACGGTTTATACTTTGTCGTACGGTTTATACTTTGACGCACATCAGGATTCCAACGAAACAACCAAAAACCGCGTGGTTCTATTATGCACGTAATCCGCTTGGAAATAGGTTGGCAACACTTAAAGATAATAATACCATGAGCAGCTGATTGACTATTATAACTACGATTTAACTTGTCATTTCGTGTTTATAGTTTATGTTCTCTTTTCGGTATTTCTGAACTTTCTGGACTTTTCTTTTAAACTATTTAAAACATTCCAACGATCTTAATAAACAAGAAAATTCTTTAAAAGCATTTTTTAGGCGCGGAAACCACTGCAAATTACAAAAATATACGGAACTATTTTCTCAAGTCGTGGAGCACAGTGCTTGCCGAGGAAAAATAGCGGAGTGATACGGACTGGGTTTCTTTAGGGCACCTATTTATTCGTGTTGCCAGCTGAACCTAAAAACATGTTGTATAGTGTTTGAAAACTAATTATTTATATGCTTTGTAGTGACTGTAGGTAAAATATAATGTGTAAGGCTGCGGCCACACGGGCGTTTTTTTCACGCACAAACGCAGCGTGAAAACACGCGAAAAATTAGAGTAGCATTGAAACAAATAGGCACCCGCTACTGCGGGAAAACACACTGCGTGTGGCATACCTCATTACATTTAATGGTGCTCATATTTTTCGCGTATTTTCACTCTGTTTTCTTGCGTGAAAAAACGCCCGTGTGGCCGTAGCCTAATACGAGTGCAAAAGGCCTTTGCTGCACTCGAGATCATTCAGTTTGTTGTATTAATAGTCAATGGTAATATGTACGCAAACCCAAATTTAAATAGTAAATATTTAATTTCCACCAAATCAGTAAAGCTTTACATTGAATTGCAAAAATAAATATTAACAGCAATTGAATTATCCAGCTGATCATATTGTAAACAAGGACGTCGGCGTTTTGACAGAAGACGACAGTGATAACAATTTTGACGAGTGCAGTCAAGGTGCAGTTCGGATGTTCCGTGTTCCATTCCATTCCGATACCAATTCTGCTGTCCCGGATGCGTTGGTGGGGGGTCGGGGACCGGGGTCCTCCATGGACCATACGAACGGTGAACGGACGAACGGTTCCCTCAAGCACTCAACAACATCAGTCATCAACCAACACAACCAACCACAACAAAACGAACACAACTCACTTGGCCTTATCTTAAGAAGCAGTAAACGATCCGATTCCTTTTGAGTTGAGTAGTAAAGGAGTAAGTGCCTTTTTTGTTTAGCATAGTGACTGTAGTAACTTAATTATTAACCTGACATTTTAGCACTCATTAGAGAGAGAATCACAAAATGTATCGACCAATCTAAAGTGTTGTTATCAATATCTTGTATGGTTATCTCCACGAAAGTAAAACCAAAACTGACTATATGTGTTAAACTTGCACAAACCGAATGAAATGATTGGGGTAGGTGTATGGCTCTGGGGAGTGGGATTCTTTTACAGGGATTTCCCTTTTCAGGGTATTTATCCCATTTTGTTGACAAGGCAGTACAAACCCATGAATATCTCTATTTTGTGGGCGAGGAATCCGATGGAACCATCGCCGTCCCCCTTTTTACTTACAAGGAAGGGAAATGTTCCCCAAATAATATATATATTTTTAATTTACAATTGATTTATTATGTTATCCTCCATACAAATACACCCTTTTTTAACAATTTTTTTTTGTCTCTTCTCCTGTTAGGGGCAAGACCCCACCTTTTACTACATGTATTTTCCTTACTTTTTCCTTTAGAGAGTTTGTCGGTAAAGCAGTACAAACCCACGTATATCCCCCCTATTTATGGGGCGAGAAATTTAATGGAACCATCGCTGACCCCTTACGCCCCCCCCTTTCTACTTACAAGGGGGGGAAATGTCCCCCAAATAAAAAATATATACTTTTACTAGTCAGACATGTTTATAGAATCTAGGGAATATGTTCGGTAAGGCAGTATAGGTACCCTATAGGGAAATTCGTTAAAACCAGTCTGATCCTACCTGGGAAATGGGTCTTGTTTTACTAAAATTGGTTATTAGCAAATTTCCTTTATAGGGAATAAGCATTTTTTTTTTCTTAACACAAATAAAAAAAAACTTGAATTCAATCAATTTCAAGACACAATCATTTTAGCATCTGTATTAAATATATTTTTAAACCTATGGATGCTCACAACGTGAAACACTGTATTTCCACAGTAGTTGCAGGTTCGTTACAGCTTTTTTAGTTCCGTCACCACTTAGTTTTGGCGTATTTCCCCTATATAGGGAATAAGCTATTACCGTAGTACTCATGGTAAGACCTGGACCCGGGGCCGATTTACTTTTTCGTTTTGAGGTCCCTAGAGGCCAAAAACACCATCCGTTCAAAATCATATATATATATATATATATATATATATATATATATATATATATATGGGTATACTAGTGGAAATACCCGTGCTTCCCTACAGAAACTTTCAAATTGGTTGAAATTATTGATAAATTAGTGTTTAAGTGCCTACAACCTTCAGTGAACAATTCAGCTACATCCTGCTTTGCTCCAACCGATGCCATATTAAAGCAGCTATTATAATGTCTCACCCGGTCCATCAAGTGTGTATGCTTAGGGTAGTGCCCATGACCAAACGGCATAAAGGTTCAGGTAGGTGCCATAGGTGCTGCAAAGTAGTAAAGTAGCTTTGCACTTTACCACCATTGCAGTACATGTCCAGTGTTTATTCTTTCCATTTAAGGTCTCGCAGTACTTAGGGCCCTTTCACCGCCACTGATTGCCCGCCACAGCTTTAACATTATTTTAAATGGGACCTTTCACACGCAGCCACTGTAGTTGCCCGCCACTACACAGTGGCCGAGCAGTGTCTCCTCGCGCAACTGCAAAGGCGGCAACTCGTCACGGGGCATTGAATTAAATGGGAGCTTTCACACGTAGCAACCAGTGGCCGCCACCGTGGATGAGCGCGCAGCTACTATTTTGAATCAGTTCACGTGCATACTGAAAAGACAAACGCACTATGGTAGTTGTTGAGTGTTTTCGTGTTGAATTATTTGTTTGTGAAAATGAGTGATAAATAAAGAAGAAAAATATAGAGGACATTGCTGAAAAAGAAAAAGACAAAGGAAAACAACAGAAGAGAATAAACCAAATAAAAGAAGACAAAGTGGATACTGAAGATCTAATTTGCGAAATTGAAAAGTAACCGGCAATTTGGTATAGTACGCCTGTGTCTTTGCCTTATTTTCTTTATTATCAATGCGAGAAGAAGGAGATGTTCATTGTTCGACAACATTTTCACAACTGCCATTGTACAGTGGCTATGTAGTAGAGTGGCTTGTAAGTTGCCTGTATCATCCACTGCAGTTTCCCGGCCGGTAACTGGTGGCGGACACCGGTGGCCGCCACCAGTGGCCTCGTGTGAAAGGGCCCTTACATTTGAACGTTATGGTCCCTTTCGCCACCGAGCTATCTCGTTCATAGTCTATTTTCTGATTGTATGTCATTGCTCATAGATTTTTCACCATCATCCATTGAATCTTTGTCGAATGTCTTTCAGGATGAGTTTGTTCATAATTTTTGCTTGCTTTCTTCACCTGTTTTTTTCCTTTGTTTGTCTGTTCACCTGCTACGCCGTTTACGCCTTGATGTATTTTGTTCAGATTCCGGGATTGGCTGATAATTGGGAGAAACGGGCTCTTTTTGTGGCTCTAAAACATCGAAGTACCCACTAGACAGGGATTGTGTAAATCTGAGTCTTTTCACGGGATTACGTTAATCGCCAAACTTGACATATAATTCACCATTCCGATAAACCTCAAAACAAATATGAATAGTTGTGAAGCCGCAACCAGCTCACACAACCCACCAAAGGTAAACGGCTTAAACATTTCATAGAAGTATTCCCTGAAAATTAAGGTAATTATTCCCGTTACTGTCGTGGGATAAGATTGAGAAGTAGTCCCAGTTCCTCACAACATGTTCAACAATTGCTTCGCGCACAGTTAGTGTGTGTAAGGTGAATTATGAATGAGAGTGAAGTAAATAAACTCGCACCATCTCCTCTGATGTGAATGATATTAAGTGGAACGAACTCGTCATTAACATTTAAAATCTCAGTGTCCATACTATGAAACGGTTTAAACAACTACAAAAATGTTAACAGAACTATAGGTATCATAAGATCTTAAATATTAAAATGCAATAAAAAACTAAGCTCCATTCTACTTTCTTCAACACTAATTTATCTATCTAATATATAAAATTCTCGTGTCACAGTGTTTGTCTGCAAACTCCTCTGGAACGACTTCACCGATCGTTATGAAATTTGGTGTGTAAATTCTGTAGGTATGCGAATCGGACGTAAACTATTTCCCGTTTCGAAATTCTTAAAAGGGCTCCGCCCCAGTGGCTCTGGAGTTTCCCATGTTAACCTTATGAGAAATGGAATTAATGAATCTTAACAGCTGTTTCAATTAAACAAGTTGGTTCTGTTCTATGATGTTCAATAGCATTTAAGTTACAAGGATTACCAACAGGGTGCAGCACTATTATTTCTTTTACATTTTTGACAACAGCTAATTTGCAACCAAAAGGTGAGTGAGCGTAGCGAACGAACTTCAACCTGGAGGCGAGTGAGCGTAGCGAACGAGCTAACCTGAAGGCAAGTGAGCGCAGCAAACGAGCTCCAACCTAAAGGTGAGTGAGCGTAGCGAACGAGCTCCAACCCAAAGGTGAGCGAGCGTAGCGAACGGACTTCAACCAGGACGTGATTGAGCGATGCGAACGAGATCATCTTGAAAATTAAACGTAACGGTACTTTCTTTCCATCGGTCTGTCTTAGGGGAAACCTATAACTTAGGCGATACGAAGTTCGCCGGGTCAGCTAGTCTATATATATAATAGGCTAAGCCGTTTTTTGTTAATCTAACTCCTCCGTTATTATTCGCCCGATTTTGACGTTTGAGGTCTCCAAATAAAGGTGATACGTGTAGTTGTGCCCAACGGTATTAAATTTTTGATAAAATGACTTATGACTGTCATTCGTTTTGAAATAACGCCTGTAATAGTTTGAAATTGCTCGAATTCGAGCAACAAGTGCACTAGTCTCACATATATTAGAAGTGGATAATATTAATAGTCAAAGATAAAACTAAAAAGTGAAAAAGTCCAAAAAATTAGGTTAACTTCACTGACATACAACTATGATGTTTATATGGTCCGAAATAACCTTAGTAAACTTAATTTTTATTCTAATATTACAGCTGATGATTAAATAAATTGCTGACAAATGAAAACAAAACCCAAAACTAATTATTCTTGCTAAACAAACTCCATGCTAACTTTGACCTCCTGTGGGGTCCATTGGGAATTTTGTAAAATCGCTTCTTATTGTTTGCCTACGCTATGAGAGGAATATGTATGCAAAATCGCATGCTACTAGGTGATATGGTTTGGCCTGTGCGTTGATCGGAATTTCGCATTTATATATAGATATATAAAAATATATGTCCGTTAGCGTGATAACTCGAGCTGTTCAAGGTTAACACATGATACACCCAAGAGCGTTAGTTTTCAGAGATCCGATTTTGACAAAATTTGGTATAAACAAGTAAACCTACATTTATTTGAACAAGTTCGCAAAACCAGCATGATCAGACTATGGGAACAGGGGTTTATGGGGGGTTTTACGGGCTAAACATTGGGTTTTCCCATTTTTGACCCAAAAAACATAAAATTTAGCAATTTCTTTACAAACCATTTTGTAGAGCTTAAAAAAATAAATAATTTAGTATACTGAAGCATTATTATGCGCCTAATGGTTATGGAGAAAATCCCAACAAAATTTTTAATTCAAAATTCCTGTGTTATTCTTATGGAGAATAAGTAAACTATGTTGTAGTCTGCTTGTTTATTAAAATATTTTGATCAAATTTGGAAAATGCATTTAGTTATTACTAAACTACAGTATTAACATTTTATACATTAAAACAAACACTTTAACTCTCCTTGTTGCAGCAAACCTAAGTACTTTTTAAACTAATTCTATATTTAAATAGGAAATAAATTTGATATTTTTAAGTAGACATTTTAGTGTAAATCCAATCAGGCAAAGGGGTACTTTAGTTTTGTTACCTATTCTGTAAGCATTTATTGAACTGAATTAAAGTTGAGCCATTCCAAACATTCACACCTACCTGATTTCTAATCACTAATTTACTTATATTCAGCAAGTTTTTGTCATTTTAAATACTTTGCTCTGTTTATTAAAATCATATTCTTCAATTGCAGGAATACAATCTGTGAAAAATGAAGAGCTCAGAAAGGTAGTGTAACGGTATCAGGGAGAAAACAAGAATTAAAGTGGACAAACAAGTCACAGAGAAAGAGAGAGAGGAGAGAAGAAGATGAATATGTAACTGAGAATCAGAGCAGTCTCAGTTGTAAGTTGGTGGGCAGTAGCAGTAGGCTCTAGGCAGTCAGCCACTATGCAGGATAGTGAGCGAGAAGCCTTTACACCGAATCCAACGTGAGTTGAAATAATTTACAGACTCTTAAATATAACCTATATTAAATATTTATTCATATGTAAAAGAAAAGTATAGTTTAATGTGGTCAGAGTTAACCATTCTAGGAATATTGAGATGTTATAACATATTTATAAATGACACAACTTACTGTTTACACCCAAGTCTTAAGTGTTTTCTAATCTCTATAAATACAAGTACTTGTTCCAAATTATTTGTTTGAATGAGAATTTTTTTTAGAAATCTTCTACTTTTTGTCAAGTACTTGGTTGAAAATTGTGATTGATGTTTAAAATTTATATATCTTAAGTAACGAAATGAGTGTTAGTAAGGAAACATGTTTTGTATTAAAATAGTAAAATAACGTACTACTTTTGGTTTATAATACAATACAATATTCTGTATTGTTCATTCGTTAAGAATTACAATAGTGTCAATACAATAGTGAATTGTACGTGTTAATTTCCATAATTTTCATAAAATTCCTTTATTGAGTAGAAGGGTCTTGCGTTTAGCCACTTCTTCAACTCCTGGTGTAGCTTATAGCTGAAACAGTCAATAATCAAAACTCATTATTAATTTGACACAAATTGTACATAAATAATGGTGTTTAAGTAATTAAATGAATACTACGTAACATTTTTAATAAACTTAAAATTATTCAGGTATCATATACAATAATTCATTTTGAACACAAACACTGAACAATGCAGTTTAAAATACTTAATGATGAGGCAATAATCTAATCTTAATGAGTAAATATAAAATACCGCAGCAAACCTGCCGACTAAGTGAATTTCGATTTGCCTAGATTGATTTTCAGTTAATCTATTAAATTATCATTTATGTTTAACGAGTACCTAAATTTGCTGCTACACAGAGAAACTAATAAAGTCTGTTTTTTATTTAAATATTAATAGCTTAGCATAAAATAAATAAATCTGCCAAGTTTGATCAAAATATATCCATAAACAAGCCAACTACAACAGTTTACAATATTCTCCGTAAGAATAACATAGGAATTTTAAATGAACAATTTTTTTAATTTTCTCTGTAACCGAACAGTGCATTTTATTAGTACAGTTCACCTTTGTACTATACCGGCTCACCCCTTGCTTTGCTGGATAAGTTCCACACACGGGCAGTTAGTCTATGTGGACAAGCAAATGCAAGGTTCCAGGAGGCCGCCACCCTCTTAAAAAAAAACAAAAAAAAAACATGGTAGGTTTTAAAACCCTGATTTGCTGATTTGACTGTATTTAATACATGTTGTTTGTGTATAAAAAATTAAGAATTATTTGATTTGACCATGGGAGTAGAGCCGCAAGGGGGTTTAAGATCTGATGTGAGACAGAAGGCTTTCCAGTGCATATGTAGAACAATTTTCCAAAGTTTCACAAACCGATTGAAAATTTGGTACTGAACAAAGAACCTACAGACAGATAGATGTTAGAGTTTATACAATTGAGATATATATTTTGCTTATCTTGCATGAACCCTTAAGTATCTCAAGAATAATCTTTAAAGTTGTATAAAGATATACAATTTAAAAAGTTGTTATGCATGTTATTTGATCAAAAACACTCTTTAAGTCTGTTTTATGTGGTTTGCAAGTGTCTTAAAAAATCCACCTACTCCCCACTTGTCATAAATAAAATGAGAGTATCCTACACACAAAAATATCTTGTAGTGGAAATTATGTTCACTCAATGTTGCAAAAGTTTGGGGCAAGATAATCATCTCCTCTTTTATGATTATTAAGATTAAACATCAAATTGTAACAGTGAAAGTAACTAGTTAATCTATAGTCTTTGTAGAGTTTAGAGTTTAAATTATAATAGACTTTCTACAAGACTACAAGCTCTTATTTTACTGGACCTTGCAATAACTGTACCGGTAACCCATTGACAATCAAAGTTGATGTTCGACCCACTATAGTTGACCCTCTAGACAGGGAAATAAACCTTGTTATCTATTGAGATAGCTTTTATACTCATATAGTAGATCTAAAAAAAATTCGATATGCAAACTTTTTAAAGTGGTAAAAATGTTTACGAACTTTTTTGTTTGTTCGTAAAAACATATATCTACTAGATGGCAGATATGAGTTGTCATAACTATTGCTTATTTCATTAACAAATAAATGTTCTCAATCATTTCAAAAGCATAGACCTACTTTTTAATAGCACTCAAAATGAAAGAATTACAAACAAATGTGTGTGTGAAAACTATGCACATGAAAATGTTAACGTGTTAGACTAATGGCAAGCCCCATTAGAAGATAAAGGAGTGGTTAGACACAGTAAATAAATTTTATTTCACCTAAAGAGTAGAAAATCCCGTTAATATAGTTTTTTCACTACACTACCATGTTTTTAGCCGTTTTACAAACGTTTATTTTGATATATTTTGATTGATTAGATGATGAAAGCTAGGTATTGCTGTTCATGCTAGCTGTCATCGTCATTATTGTGGGTCGAGCAGGTTTTTACATCCCTAGGGCCTAAAATCATCTGCTTGCTTATTTTCTTAAAACATTATCCTATTCTCTAATACGAGCTATGTCTCTTTGTCTGCTTGTCTGTAATATATATCTCAAAATCCAGTGGAAAGATTTTGACTTAAGTTTGGAATTAGGGACTTATAGCCCTAAAAACGTGATTGGTGACAGCCACTATTCCGGGAAAATTCATATTTCGCTACACACAATTCATTAGAAAATTTAAAAAAAAAACGAGGTGGTAGCCCGTCCTACGTACGGGAATTCAGTAGTCAGTGTCTTGCAGTTTTAATGTGAAAATCCTCTTGTAAACAAATGTTGTGTGACCAAATATGTTTTATTCCATCATAGGCGTATACGATATGCATTTTATCCACAGTATAATACACAGTACAGTATAATAAGTTAATCAGTGTAATAAGTGTATAAGTTATATACAGTATAATATTTGCTAATGTTTTTTTAGCAAACTACAAAATACAGTTAAAAGTATCATCAGTTGTAACTACTGAGCAAAGATTAAGATTACACTTAAGATTACTCGATATGGGAAAATAGTTCCTATCAAATACTGATTATTTTTCTTAGCAGCCCACCAAAACATACCCTAAAGCACTGAGGCATTTCAAGTAAGCTAATTACATCTGGTGGTTTTAATTGGCATAAAAATATTACCAATATTAAAATATTATCAAATTACATAATTTTGTAAACACATCTGTGTTACACAGTTACAAAATTATGTAATTTGAAAAGAAAATTTTAAATGTGAAAGGCATAAAAGTAAGCAAGATAAGCCTTATCACAAGCCCAGGCTTACATTAGTTCCTTGAACATCTCACTAGAAAACCTGACTGTACATTTTGTATACACTACAAAAGCCAGTTAAAAGTTCACAAAAAATCAATTTTAATAGGTTAGTAAAAAAATGACTGCGTCTTCAATGAACTAAAATATTGTAAAGCACATCATGATCATCTAAGCTTGTTTTACTAATAAGAATGAAATTAGGTAGGTGTTAATCATGTCAGTAACGTTGTTATAGGTCGGCCGCTTAGAAAACGACCTTTTCCAGCATTGGTTTAGCATTAGCGCGCAGGTCGTTTTCTAGGCGGCCGAACTATAGTTACTAATATTAGTTTAAAAGCAGCGTCTACGACTTAACAATAAAAAAATTAATAGTAGATATTTTTAAACATACTTCCTAATAGACATAAAATATAATTCCAAATTGACTTCATTTGATGGATAGGGATGATAAATTTAATATAAAGTATAGGTATATTTGTAATTGATAATTTTAATAGTAGGCTACATAGTTTCAAACCCTTAATTTTGTATAAAGCGTGTCAGTTTATTTTTAGAGTTTATGAATTTTTAAATCTAATTTTAATCATTTCCGTATATTTTATGTATGAAAAAAAAAATTAATAACCAGTAATAACAATGTTTTACAAATGTTTTTTTATCTTGAGCTAATTTGTATCTCCTTATTGACCACGCAGATATATTTATATATTTTTCCAATGGCTAAAAGAACAAAATTCAAAAGATTGAGTTCAAATTAAAACTGATATTGAGACATTGAGTTTTATATGAATTGATGCGACAGTCATTTGCTTTAGTTGGTTGATAAAATGTACAGCTTTGGGCCATAAAATCTTGAAGTGGAGTCAGAGTATTTGAGGTAAGATAAAAGAATATAATCTTAAGTACTGTAATTAATGTATTACTATTATCAATATAATCACTAACAAGGCCTAGTTCAAATGCACTAAACCACCTGTTAAAATGGTGGCCAACAAATTACCAAAAGACTTAAATTTTATTCTGTGAGGGTGTCAAATAGTTTCATACCTAGGGCCGAAAATGAGGTTTTGCTGTCTCAAGATTTTTTAAATGATCGAGAGCTGCAAAACAATTTCGGTCCGTGGTACAAACTCTATTTTTCACCACACTATACCCTGTTAAAACTATTATCCACAATAATAATGCACACTATAACAGTCAACACAGCTACAACTTGAAGGTTATGTGAAGAAATAATTTGAGGAATCGGCAAAAATAATAATAATTAGTTGCTTTAAGCAGCGGTGACAATAAAACAAGTCTATTGCAATGCTATGGATACTGATTGTGTATTAAATATATAAGTACCGGAGGACCGAGACGTGCTCGGTTGTAGTTAATTGGGTTTCATAGTTAAAATAAAATAATGTAAACAATCATTTTATGATGTACGAAAAAAAAACATTTTCACCACACTATGATGTTTTTAGCTGTTTTACATATATTAATTAGTGGCTGAAAGTTACGTTTTGCTGGCCATGCCAGCTGTCATCGTCATTTGGGGACCAAGCAGGTTTTTACATCCCAAGGGCCGCAAAACCAGCTGCCCGCTTACTTTCTTAAAAACATGAATGCATATTAAATACACATCAGTATCCATAGCGTTGCAATAGAATTGTTTTTTTGTCACCGCTGCCTAACAACTATCTCGAG